GTTAATACAATATAAATTGGACACAATGCGCACGTTCAATTAGAATAAACAATTTCATACAGAGCCAAAATGATAATTTTGAACAGCGTAATGAGTTGCATGCAGTGAGCGTGAGGAGCACAACGACAGTAATGAAGGCTTAGCCCAGCACCGAAACAACAGCTTAAGATAAAGCCCGTGCACGCTAGGTCGCTGTACCATGGTGATCAGCGAGGCATGAATGTAACAATAGGGCTGGAGTCTGAGTGGAAATCTTCTAAACACGTTATTTGCATAATGTGCATTCAGCACAAGCCTGGGTTAGAAATGAGAATCGGATAGAATGATAATGACGTAATCCCGATGGGCGATTTCATTTTGGTCACGAGACTTACTTAGAGGGTACGTGGCACAGTTTTATACTGATCAACATGAGTTGAAAACAATTGCCTGTTTAAATAAATTTGTAAAGGACGAAAACAAAATGTACTGCACCCACTTTTGGGGGTTGAATTTTTGGACTGACCGGTTACAGTCGCATCACCGGGGCACTTGCTCAATAAAAGGCATCTTCCGTTGGTGTAGCAGCGTATCCAGCTGGGGTTTTTTTTTTTTGGGGGGGGGGGGGACACATCCGTGCTGAACTTGATGTCGACATGTTTTTTTCACCGGACACTTGGTCTCCGTAAAATCAAATGGGGGGGGGGGGGGCTGGGCTGGTACCCGGTTTTTAAAAAAATTGGAGCGCTCTTCGAAACCGGCCATTTTATTCTGGTTCTGTATCTGGTGGAATATACTGCATGCATAGTCTCATCAGTAGGGATGTAATATGCAGACGCCATGGTGACCGAGCAGATATTTACATGAAGTTGTAGCGTTTTCAAATTATCAATTCGTCTTAATTTTCAGTTAATTATCACACTTTAATTGTCAATGTTCCTTTTGAACTTTTTAATGATTAATTCTCTTGAATGCATTACTCATTGTTTTCCTTGTATACACATACACCCACACAGTGCCTATGCAATGTGTAGTCCCTATACTTTTATACAGAGCAAATGACCTTCACTGCCCACACACAAGTATTTGCTTCTTAGTACAACCAAGTTACATTTTTAAGGAACTGTATTACTCATTCCTAGTCATTTTTCTGAGACTTAAGGAAACCACGATATGACCATGGAGGAATAAGAACATTCCTCCATGATATGACTAAGTTTCCCCATTCTTAAGTATTTCTTATTCTCAAGACTTCCTGTTTCCACCAGTATGTAAGTGCTGCTCCACTAGCAGTAGGCCTATCTCATTCTGTTTCAATTCTGTTTCAATTCCAATTCTGTTCCATTTCTATTCTAGTCTATTTCAGTTCACCCAGTTCTCTTTGTCTCAGTTCACTGTAACCAGTTCAATCAATCAATGTGTATTAAAATATTGTTGTGGAATAAACAGTCACGGTAAACACAGTCCTCAACCAAATTGTGTATCGACCTATCCATTCCCCAACAAAGTGGGCCCCCTGATGATGTCATCTATGTTAAGAGACAGAAATTCTGACTTGAAAATTCCAATGCTTGGTGCTTGACGTATTTCCGGTTGAATTTATAATGTGCCCATTTTCAAGGCCCATTGTAGAGGTTTTAGGGCTCGGATTTTCATATTCCCCGCTCATATCAGAACTCTCAGGCTATACCATTTTGGGAAAACAAATTATCCGAAATTTTAGAGCCAGTTTTGTTTTTATCTCGAGGGGGCCGGCACATTTTATGCTCAAGGGGGGCACATTTATGTCCGCAGGAGGGGCACTTGGAAAAATCTAGGGGGTGGGGGTGGGGGTGGAGTGTTACCCCGGTTTCGCTGCACCTGGGCCCGAACTAGGGACAACTAAATCGTACTAAATAATTTATTTCACGACACTGTCGATGATCGCAATTTTTTTCTAGACATTGAAGATCTACAACATCTTTTTTTTCCGCGACATGAAATTCACGATATATGTATGGTGGTGTACGATAATGATCATCGGGAATGCAACGAAATAAACGGAGTTTTTTTCTAATAAAGGTATACGGTGTGTGGGTGGACTATGATTGACCTATCCAGTAAGCACCGCCCATGGTGTTCTGACCAATCACAGCCGTGACTTAATGTCCGACGTGCTCGCACAAAAGTCACGCGCGTATGATGCGCGCGGCAGGAAAATGCATTGTGGCATTGGATAGGAGCACATGTTAATTTGCCCAGTGCGCAGTGGGCGGGGTTTACTGGATCGGTCCATTAATCCGGTTCGTCATACACCATTAGGGACACACTCTTGGAAAAAAAGGACTGATTAACATGGTTGACTTATTCCTTATGATGGGACTTGCGTTTTGGCCGGTCAATTTAACGTGATCGGCTGACTGATAAGGTTTACGCACAAAACCCCGAGCCAACAAGGTTTTTGTATAGAAGCTGCCCAACCACATTTTGCGAGAGTGTGCCCGTAATGCAAGGATATCTTGAAAAAAAAAATAATAATAATGACAGTGCGGGAACACATTGCCCGATCGTAGCATAAAACCAAATGGAGCCAAATTATTCAAACGCCACTTTTGAAGGATTTCCGGTACAAATGCAAGAAACTATTGATCTTAAGAATTTGGGTTGGAAACACATTAGCACAGCTGTACCGATATTCGCGGAGTGCCCGGGACCTACTAGTCGCGCGTAGCAGCCGGTCTATTTCGCGGTCCGTTCATGGTGACTGCGGGCGTGCGGCATGTACCGCGTTCACCGTTTGTCAATCTCAACTTTAGGTCCTCAGTTTCACTAAAAAGTATTTTAAGAATTAGGGATGTATAATTTGAAAAAAAAACAAATAGTTATTTGTTTGTTCTTAAAATGTTATAGGAGGAGCTGAGGCTCAACTTTCAGAATCTAACCCGAAACTCAGATAACAAAGCTGATTTGAACGTGATTTACCCTCTTCTCTTGCGGAAGGGATTGTTTTATTTTCATGTGTGACCTTTTTATTATTGGTTATCATTACCATTTATTATAATAATTATTGTTATTGTATCAGACATCATTTCAAATGGCGTTTAAATAATTTGGCTCCATTGAGATTCACGACACGACCGGGCATGCAATGTGTTCCAGGGGGCAAGTCGGTCAGGGGGCGAGTAGGTCAGGGGGCGAGTCGGCTAAGGAGGCAAGTTGGCGGAGGGCGAGTCGGCTAGCAGGGGAGTTCGCCAGGGGCGAGTCGGTAAGGGGCAAGTCAGTCAGGGGGCGAGTCAGTCAGGGGGCGAGTCGGTAAGGGGCGAGTCGGTAAGGGGCGAGTTGACCTGCAATCGTTTATTTCTAGCGCTGCAAAAGTTGTTTTGATGAGCCATTGACATTTCACAAATTTACATTTTAGGTAAACAAAAAACACCCACCCCCTCCTTCCCAACAAACAAGAGGCCCACTTTCAGAGGGTTGCAGACGCAAAAACACAAATGTTTTATTTTTATAAAATAAAACGTACAAATTGAAAAGCGAAATTGATGACGATAAAATGAATTTACAAAACCTCAGTTTATCAGCACAAGCATATCAAAACTCATCTTTTTTTGTCCAAATTGCACGTACAACGAGTAAACAAAAACAATTTGGTTTGGCACTGTAGCTGTTGAGAAACATATATCTTCAGAAATATTAGATTCAAAATAAGCATAGACAAATTAATATATCTTTGGCACTGTATGAGATGTGCAAAAAAGAATGATAGGTAGACACAGATCTACATGTATCTTAATAATGTGACCTACTGAGGCAAAATGAAAAATGTCCCCCAAAACCTTGTTTTGAGTAATCAACGTCGGATAAACTAGTAAAATCATGTCCAAATCGATATTGATTGTTTTGAATTTTTGAGTAGCCCAAGATTCACACTACGCATTTTTGTTGGAGAAAAAAATACCCACAAAAGTGGGGGGGAAAATGAACATTTTCACGGCCATTGGCGGCGCAATGCGTGTCTCTTTTTTCAAAGCCGTTTTTCTCGACAGGAGGTTGTCGCAACTTGGCAGGACACTGTTGAAGTCACTGCTTCAAATCTTTGGAATCAATTAAGCAACAGAAATAAATTTGGTCTCAATGGAAAGCCTATGATTTGCGCTTTAACATGATGTAAAATAACGTGAACATTCAAAGGTGGGGGTTATTCCTCATTATGCTATGGCAGGTCACAAGTACTTGAAATGAGAAAGTCATAACGAAAAAGAACATGAAGGCAATATAAAGGTTATAATAAAGATAATATTCCTGTAAAGCTCCCATTTTTTTGTGGATAAAACTATCCATAGTTGATGAGTGAATCTCATTCTGCTTTTGCCCCATCAACCCTTTTTCCCCCCATTAAATGTTGACTATTTATTTGTAAGTCATACTTATGGTTCACACATAAAAATAATATAATTTGATATAGATTTGTGGATCAAATAGCTATTAGAACAAAAGGTATTTGTAAAATTTTTGAGGAAATCAAAACCAAATCAAAACAACATAGTATATTGGAGTTGGTAACAGTTATACACAAAATATGTGCATTACAACAATTCAATATATATATAATTTTTTTTTTTACAGGTGGTGGGCTCAACTCTTTTCTTCTTATTTTATATAAATGTATCCAACTACCATTCCTATACACCAGATGTCAATAATGATTTTTGAGCTGTCAAAGCAGTAAATAAAGCTTTTTGTGTAGCTAATGTGCTAGAAAAAATACGGGGCTGTATCATAAGTCCGACGCCTCATAGGTCCGACGCCTCATAAGTCCGAAATTTTGGACCTATGAGGCGTCGGACCTATGAGGCATAAATCCGCCTCATAGGTCCGACGCCTCATAGGTCCGACGCCTCATAGGTCCGACAATGGACAAACGCTGTTTCAGACTTATGAGGCGTCGGAGCTGTGAGGCGTCGGACTTATGCGGGTCGGATCTACATGTATGAGGCGGAATAAACAAATTGTACGCCTCATAAGTCCGACGCCTCATAGGTCCGACGCCTCGTAAGTCCGAAATTTCGGACTTATGAGGCGTTGGACCTATGAGGCGTCAGACTTATGAGCAGACCCCAAAAATACTGTAACAGCGGAAGACTTGGGCCAGAATAAGAGTCATGCAGCAGAGGATTTGAGCAAATGTACAATCATTAGCTGACACTGACTATTAAATGCACTAGTCTGTGATAGATAGATTAGAATTTTCTTCACACAAAAGAAAGCAGAGTTGATGAAAATTTGAATTAGAAGGCCTAAAGATATAACCCTAAGCCCCTAAAGGCTCTTTGGGAGTCAGGACCAAATACTACAGAATACTACATGTGATGTTCACACTTGGAAAGAAATGTACTGAGATACTACCGATTACTACTTGGTAGTATTTTGTAGCTTATGGGCGCTTAGGGTTTAGGAAATACACTCGTTCATTTCCAGATGTGTTTATGCCTGCAAACTATGATATAACTCCAAAATTTGTACAAAATCATTTTGTTTTCACTTTTATAATATCTGTTTTACCAAGTTAATTTTAAATGCTGGATTTAAGAAAAATTAAGTAAGAATACTGATTATCTGTCTGGATATCATGGATGATATTCTGAACGTTTTAACTAAAGCATGCCTTTCAATTGTCTACAAATATGATTACATAATATAACGATCTTTGGTATTGTACATTTTTAAGGAATATTTGTAACTTTCTTTCGGTAGTCATTCCTTGTTTCATCAGTTTTGGTATCATACTTTCTGCCGAGAACACTTCATGCAAGGGTTACCATTAATATAAAAAAAACGAGTTTTGTTTTGGTATATATTCTATTGTTGGGTTGCAGAGTGGCAAGCCTTCTTGCTTTTCTCCCAGAATTCACTCAGACGATTGTCGCAGTTCTCACAGAAGCTGGTGAAATCCTGCAACAGTCTCTCAAGAAACTTCTCATCTCCGGAGGAGCTTGTGCGCCAGCGTTTGGTGAGCAGGTAGTTGGGCACCCACAGGAATCCCACTTCTGCCACCAAATTTGATGCCCGGTCTTGCATGGGAAGCCCTTTCTGATCAGGCTCTGTCTTGACATATGTCCTTGCCCCCTGATCCGTTGGGCTGTTTCCGGACGTTGAAGCACCGTAAATGGGCAAAGGGTCATCCCAGAATGTAGTGTCCTGATTAGTGGGTGGTACAATGAGGATGAGCGCCATGCCCGTCATATGGACATATTGAATTTGGTCTTTAATGGAATGCTGGGATGTGATGGGAGAGAGGGGGAAGGGTTCGCTGGCCTTGATGAAACCAAACCTGTACAGGGGAAAAAAGATCATTATGGACTTTCAAAATTGGCAATGGTAGATTTCATTGTAATATTTTGGTACTCAAAATGAAAAAGTAAAGAGTGATATGCTTAGGTTACACCTCTTTGTTCCGACACCCCTATGTTCTGACACCTCTATGTTTCGACACCCCTATGTTCCGGCTGCACATATTCCTATTCCTATCCCTAACCCTAACCGGGAGTAACACAATCTTATGTGCTGGTTGTCGGAACATAGGGGTGTCGGAACATAGGGGTGTCGGAACATAGGGGTGTCGGAACACAGAACAGTCACCATATGCTTATTCTTATTATCAAAAGTGAAAAGCAACGCTAGTCACATAGTTGGTATATTTCCATCCCTTCCAACTCTGTGACCAAGGTGCGAATCCCACCCATATGTGGACTGGGTTTTCAGTCTGTGCATAATCCCGTGGGTTTTCCCTGGGACGGCAATCTGGTTTTCTTGTCCCATCTCTGAAATAAAAGTATTTGTGATGCGATCAAGCTAAATGAGTCGTTTGTCGGGAATTTTTATTTGGAGATACAGGCCAAAATAGGGCCACTTCATCACATCACTTCATCACATCTCTTGGTGTTCCGACTTCCATAATGTTTGAAGTAGAGATGGTATCAGCATGCAGATTTCACAGTAGTAATGCTGAGATTGTGCTCTTTTCAAATCTGTAATAATTTTTTTTTTTGACCAGGGTCGACAAACGACTCATGTAGCTTGATCGCATCACATTTCTTCAATGTCTTCTCTCTATAGGCCTCCCAAGGAACTTAAGTCCTTGTGCATTCGGGGGGGGGGGGGAATCTTAATTTCATTATCAGAAATAACAAAACAACTTTAAATCTAGAGGTTTAGCATGGTGGTTACGTATGCAGGTTCAATGGGTGCATCGTACACTGTACAGTGCCGTATATATAATTGACGCTGTCAACATGGTTAAAATGATAAATCTGTGATTAATATATCAGATTAGCATTTCATCCATGAATTGAAGCTTTGCATGGCGGATGAGATAAAGCAGAGAGATTGCGGGTATCACCATGTGGAAATAAGTAATGTCTTCTTGGAAGTGTGGTTCTGAAAAGATTACTTTCCACATGGTGTTACCCGCAATATTTCTACTTTAGCATTTTATCATTTGACCAAAAAGCAGTGAAAGGAAAACATTTTCTTTAAATGACACATTCCTATTTGTATGTATTGATTGACACTTCACTTCAGTTTGATGTCGTCAGAGCACTCAGATAACTGAACTAAAACCATTTGTAATCTGATACATGATGACTTCAACATGACACTGCAGTTGCATTTCTGTATGAGCTTGATGTTCACAGCAAGTGTCAAGTTCATGCATTGTTCCGTTTGAAGGAAATGTTTTTGGGCATGATGGGGGTCGATGGGGGTGATGGCGGATCACCCCAAATAAAAGCAAAACGTAAAAATAGCAAAACGTACCTCTTCAGAATTGTCTCCTGGAGTAAGTGAACTCTCCTCTCTTGGCTGCTGGGGTCAATGTGCTCAAATAACCTTTGACCTGTGCCTGCTTGAAGACACTGAATGTCAAGTGGGATGAAGCGAGGGCAGGAGAGCGGGTTGTTGAAGTGAGGACATTGGTTGAAGGCATCCATGGGAGCAGGAACAAGATGGAAGCCACACTGGACAGCTTTACGAGCCCAACCTTGTAGCTGAATCAGAGGCAAAAAAAAACAACTTATTTCAGAGGTGAACACGGAGGCAAAAAAAAACCTTAGGCCAAGAGCGCGAATTAACATAAAACAATGTAATGCATCCGTGTCTCATATGCCACAAAGCCAGTGCAACACAGGCCAAGTTCGGGCAAGGACCATTAGTCGACTAGTGGTTGATTTGTGACGTACCTTACGCCTGCGCACTAATAGCAACGTGCGAACGTCTCTAGTCAAACGCTGGTCAAGATGTCATCGCAAAACGTCTGGATCCTGGCTCCCTGCTGTACGTTATGAATGCGCGCAGCTATGGTTACCAGCGATGCAACCAGCCCCATTAGGTTGGGTCCAAATAGTCCACTAGCGTAGTCAACCATCGTTGACTAGACAGAGTTCGGGCAAGCGTTAGTCGAACAATGGTTAACTATAGTCCTTGCGCGAACTTGCCCTAAGATGTATCAAGCAATGTATTGAATGCGTTTATACTTGTGCATTCATCTTAACCACTTCGCGCAGGGTTTATTTTGCCAAAACTTTCGAAATTTTCAAAAAGACAAAAAGGCCCTGCCAACTTCTGGTATGCAGCCAAACACCATACTGACCGCAAGAGTGATTTCGACAGTATTTGTACGATATTTCTTGCCGAAACCTCATATAATGTGTCAATACTGTGGGGTGTGCACTGGAGTGTAAATTGTGCAACAATAGGCCGTGCACAACGGCCCACAGAATCAGCACACGGTGCGCCTCCACAGACTTGGTGTGTGTGTGTACAAAAGGCACGAGGGATTAGAGTGTTTGACGTCACCCGGAGGCAAGTCGAGGCAATCTTGATCCATCAGCCGTGCCTGTGCACAAAAACAGCCAGTGTGTGTTATCACGGCCTCCCGGTGCGAACTGGTTAATAGGCTTTTGTTTGTGGACTAAGCAATGACACCACACTGTGGTTGTCATAATGCTTGAAAATAAGACAGTACATGTATTATGAAATGTCTTATGGGTCTGGTGACATGATGTAATAATATTATCCAGCTTATCAGGCCCATCAGACATTATGGAGTATTTAGGTCAAGAATGCAATTTCAGCACAATCAGTTAAGGTGGAAATCCTGACAAATCGAGTCGACTTTATGCTCGAGTCAATTTGAGTCACTGATATTTGATCATCATCCAATTACAGAATGGAAGAAGGAATACAAGGCACCAGTTTATTTCTACGTAATAAGCAGCCACAAACTTCATGGATACGTGAAGTATGCGAAAATAAATACGCTACCATGGTTACTGTAAGTCACTGTAAATATATTTTCGCACAGTTTTGGGAGTCGAGTCGAGTCCTCTGACGAGGGACTTCAGTTGAGTTGAGTCAAGTCATTTCCTCGCAGTGAATTGAGTCAAATAAGTCAGTTACCCATCGAGCCTAGTGAATCGCAAAAATTGTGACTCGAGCCAGACTCGAATTGAGACACTACTCAAGTCATTACAACTCTGTCAAGTTCTGAAACCGCATTGCATATCAAGTGCTTATCAAGTTGTGTGAGGGCCAAACCCAATATTAAAGCTATAGTCCATCATTTGCAGCCATCCGAAAAAGTAACTGGCGTATTATTGTTGAAAAACATACTTGGTTGAAAGATAGTAAGTGGACAAAACTCCCTGTGAAATTAATCTTTCTGGCAAGCTATCATTTTGAAGTAATCAACGAAAGAAGGCCTTTCAAACGGTGCGTCTTAAGACGCACCGTAGGAACATTTAAATTAGTAGTTCGTTTTGTTATTCGGCGCAGCGCGCGCAAGCATTGGCACGACGCACAGGCGCGCGCGGTTGCTATAATTCGTCGGATCAGTGCGCGACATCGCGTATAGCTGCAATTCAAAACCATTCAAAACATGATTCAGCAACTTTTGATTTGAAATTGAGATCCTAGAATGCTGTTTTTCTCGGAATATACAGCTGAAGCTGAGCTGAAACTTTGTCAGGTTAGTTGTTCAGTATCCTTCATTAGATTTTGAACACTTTTGTTGCTACAAACGAACAAAATGCACAAATTACAAATGATGGACTATATCTTTAACATTCAAATAGGAATTCAGAGCAACCTACCACTTCCACCAGGAGACTTGGAGTGGATACCAGCCACTCCACTTGGAAGCCCCAGGCCTCATCCGCACAGAAACAGCCATTGTAGTTGATGTGACACCATTCTACTCGGTCTGTCTTTGCTGTGTAGCTGTCATACAGTAGACTCTTCAGTGAAGCTGGCTTGACAACTGCATCAACAACAAGATTAAACTAACACATTTTAATTCGGGCGATTCACAATGCAGTGCGCCACCAAGAGTTTGCCACCGAGAGTTCATTTTTCAAGTTTACGGTCGACAAAACATGGCCCATTTGAATGAGTGTCAGTAAACAACTTGAGCTAATGTCATAGATTGGGGCACAGCGTTCTGCTGCCATACAAAAAAACCACCATATTGATAAAAGGAAAAGAAATGGGCAAACAGATGCTCGAATCATACGCTTACGAAACCACTGACCGGAAAAACTAACAATTTCAAATGTCCTGCGCTGCGAATTTGTTGACCATCTCCCACAATGCACTGGGAAAAATGAACTCTCCGTGGCAAACTCTTGGTGGCGCACTGCATTGTCAATCGCCCGAATTCAATGTTTTGGTGATATCTGCATAGATACAGGCATGTACACCCCAGGAACATTACTTACCTTGTACACAGGGTTTTATTCTGATGTATGTTGTTAAAGGGTAAAGAAGGGTATGATGGGTTGGATGGGTACAAAGAAGGTATAAAAAGGGAGAAAAAGAAAGGGTTTGTGGGTACATGGATGTTACAAGGGGTTAGGATGGGGAGGTGATACAAGGGTTAAATCAGGGTATACGGGAGTATGTTGATGGAGTGAAGGGGTACAAGAAGGGTGAAAAGAAGTTAGAAGGTACCACAAACTAAAGGGTATGGGTAAGGGTAGCGAAAGGAGTTGCATACATGAGTTCGTAAGAGGGTACAATTTGAGGTTAAGTACATGTATGTATCATTATGGGACGAAAATAAATCAATGTAATGGGTGACGCTAGAAACAAGAAACTGCCGATATGTGGCCAAGTACGATCAGTTCTAAGCTCAAAATTACGCACTTCAAATGAATTTTGTTGACACAAATATGGCAAATGGCCTCTAAATGTCTCATGTCCAACTGCAGTTTCACCCCCCTCCATGGTACTTCATTTGTCTGTCCTGCTTTGCCGGTACACTTCTTCATTATTTAGCACTAACCTAAGGAATATAAATTAGGAAGCAGAGGTATTTAAGACATTCGTTACCCCCTGCAAGTGATATATTCACAATGTGTCTACCGGGATTCGAACCCAGGACATTTTTCTTCTGCTCACCTTCAGACTTGATCTCTTGAGCCTCCTCATCAGAGTCCATGCTAGTACCGTGTATCGTTTCCACAAAGCTGGTCATGATGGTTGTGGCTGGCGACACAGGGCGGGGCAGGACAGGTAGCAAGAATTGTGGGATATCAGAGGGGGGAGCAGAGGGGCTGCAGACCGCGACCTCAAACCACTCGTTGTGGAAGTTGTCGTTGATCTTGGAGTAGGCATGGCTGTGGTGACCACTGGACGTGGAGCTCTGTCTTGATGGAGATTTCCTGGACTTATCTGACAACACAAATGCATATCAAAAGGAAAACTGTCTGCTCAGCAGATAACAAATCTGAGCAAATTTATATGTTGAGCAAAGATCTGGGCCCAATTTCATGGCGCTGCTAAGCACACAATTTTCTGCTAACAGAGCCTCTGTCTATTTCATGGAGACCGTAAGCATAAGCACAGCAAAAGGCACACTTACTTCAGAGGAAAAATTTGCTTAACCTAGTGACGTAACAACAGAAATCTCCATGCACGCGCGACCGTTAGCACACACACGCCGTGAAATAGTGCTTAAGGTTAGCAAATTTTTTTGCTATGCTAAACACAACTTTTCTGCTAACTGTTAAGCATAGCCGTGAAATTGGGCCCAGTTGAGAGCAGGGGCACATTTCACGGCGCTGCTAAGCACAAAAATTTGCCGAGCACATAAAAAGTCTGGCTTATAAAGGCAGGTTACCAGCCAAAACTCCATGTGATTTTAATGCTAGGCAAACAACAGATGAATACTAATCACCAGCAATATACATCACATGGAGTTTTGGCTGATAACCTGCTTTATAAGGCCAAAAAAAAAAAAGTCTCCGGTTTCTGGTATGGAGCTTGCCCAAAAAGTGGTGCGGCGACGCTTCAAATGTCGGCTGATGACTGCAAATGGTGCCCGACTAAACTTAGTGCAAATATATGGGAGTCCAGAGAGGCCACATAAAGCTTATTCTCGACCATAAAATATGATAACCCAATCTAAAAACACGTTAAAATTGTGCAGCAGCAGGATTCCAGTCAAACCAGTGAGTTTGGCGGTTTTGAGACATCATCTTTCATTGAAAATTTTTTTTTTTCATTTTGCCAACGCGCATGGCTACGGCGACGCGCGCGCATACCAGAAACCGGAGACTTTTTTTTTTGGCCTTAGCCAGACTTTTTTTGTGCTAAGCAAATTTTGGTGCTTAGCAACGTTGTGAAATTGGGCCATCGACACGAGCAACATTAGAGCAAGTTCGGGCACGGACCATTATTCAATTATTGCTTGATTCACGACATAACTTTTATACGCTTGTGCACTATTAACAACATCTTGCTGGTCAGAATGTCTTCACAACACTTCTTAATCCTGGCACTCTGCTGTGCATCATGATGCGCATAGCTATCAGTAACCAACCGTGAAACCACATCCAAATAGTTGACTAGAGAAGTTGACTACAGAAGTCCAACTGTCCTGCATTAATAATAATAATAATAATAATAATGAAGTTTTATAAAGCGCACATATCCACCAAGGTGCTCAGGGCGCTATTACAATGAAAACGAACCAAAACAAAATCAGTTTAATTACAAAAAAACGTATCTTTCGACATGAGGTGCATGTGTTTTGAGAGATGTTTTGAATGAGTGAATAGAAGTGGAGGTTTTGATATGAAGAGGTAGTTGATTCCAGAGATGTGGTGCTGCAACAGAGAAAGATCTGTCCCCCCAGGTACGATGAGATTTGACTTCTTGAAGAAGATATTTATTTCCAGATCGAAGGTTGCGAGATGGTTTGTATATATTAAGCATGTCCAGGATGTACGCAGGTGCTTGCCCATTAAGTGCTTTGAAGACAATGAGAATCAGTTTGTAGATGATTCTAGACGATATTGGGAGCCAGTGAAGATCCAAAAGGACAGGTTTTATATGGTAGTATTTTGTCGTTAAAGTGACCACACGTGCAGCAGTGTTTTGTAGGCGTTGCAGGCGGGATAGCTGAACATCTGGAAGCCCAAATAAAAGTGAATTACCCATATCAAGACGAGATGTAACAAAGGAGTGGCATTCAGTGAAGTTAATTGAATTGTTGCTAACCACAGGCTCCGTTTCACAAGAGAGGGCATTTTTTTTACAACTTTCGTCAGCCCCATGTACGGAACTCACTGCTTTTCGGTGGATACTGGTCAACGCACCTATAGCATAATATACACACAACTAACTCTATTCTGAATGAGCGTCTTCACGTGAGCATCAGGCGTCGTCGGCAATGCATTCAAATGTCTCTCCCAGTGGTCTCCCCCAACTCTCCCTTTCTTACCACTGAGCAGAGCCCACAATCCTTGTTCAAACTTGCTCTTAGCAGCATGTAATTGGTTTGGCATGTAACTTTTGCATGCTCAGCAAATTTCTGTGCTGAGCTGCAGCTGGGCTATTCTTTGGTCACTGTGTGACATAAAATTGGGCTCGTCTGATTTTTTAAGCTTAGCCCCTTGTTAACTACATGTGAAATATCACTTTCACTGATTCATCAGGTTAGTACTTTTCACTCCCTACCTCAGAGTACAGTTTCTACTTTCACAAATTGTGTCAAAATATATGGAGGGGCCATCAAAGTTTGGTCACATGTGTGACATCAGATGAAAAATGTTATCTGGCCCACACTGGAAATTCACGCTTTTCTCCAAAGTTCTAAGGACACACACACCCATACTGATTTTGGAGTAAGACTAGTCGTAACCAAGTGGTAACAAAAGTCTAGTCATTTGTGAATTACAGTATACATAAACAATGTACAGTGAGGGTGACAAATACAAGAGAAACTAGAGAGGTATTTTGTAATATGAAATATGATTTGGAGAAGTCTTATCCATGTTCAATACAAAAACCTGGCAATGACAAGCACCGAACAATTGTGCCATACTTTTATAAGATGGAATTTGCATCAGGGAGATGTAACTTTTACACTGGGTTTTACATTCGCCGACAAATTTTGTAAACACTGTATGCTCAGTACTGTCCAGGGGGCTTGTGAGAAAAAATGCACAAGCTTACTAGGGAGAAGGGCAAAACTCAATACAGTGGAACGTCGCCATAACGAAATTGTGGGATCCACAGAAATTATTCGTAATATAGCGATCGTTCTTTATAGTGATTTTCACATATTAGTGGCGCCCTCTTTTGACCATTGTTATAGCGTAGTTGCATTTACAAACCACGCGGGGAGTTGCTAAACTTGTCCATTCATCTTTTCAATTCCGTAAGCGGAACTTCACCACGCACGCCCTGGTAGTTACTGAAAGACGACTTTAAACACATGCGACTATCGAATCATGTAATTACAGTTTTTGAGCTTACATTGGTGGCTTTTCCCTTCTTTTTGGGGGGGAATAGCCATTTGTCGCTCTTCTGTTGACATCTTCCAACAACAATGTTCGGTATGTTTTGTACACAAAAATCGGGAGCCAAGGATGATGTTCAGTATAGCCAAATTTTTGGTATAGCGGTGTTCGTAATAGCAACGTTCCACTGTATCTAATTGTGCCATCCAAGATAAGGCCAAAATAAAAATAGTTCTGCTTCCGATTACATGCCTTTCAAAATAGGGTCGGTCGGTCAGAATTTTTCATTTTTTTTGCCAATTTTTTTTATGCAGATTGAATGGTGTATTCAATTATATGCGAAGTTTTAGCCTGAACTCTTTCCATTGCACTACGAAAGCTATACACAAAATGGCCACGAAAAACTGAATAAAACCTACCTTAATTATTGTCAATATATCTACATTCGATAATTCTTAAAAAATAATGGAAAAGTCAGGCCGTTCGCACCATATGCACAACGCTAGTCAGGACGAGAAGCTGGCCAAAACTCTGTGTGTGATGTACTGTGCATGTGTGGCCCACGGCCAACAGACCTCGTTTTACGGTCGAAAATTTCGGGAAACACGCTGCATGTATCACTCCAAATACGAGTAGTGCGATCTCAAAATGAACTCTTGAACACGGAAAATACATACACAGACAAGATAGATCAATTCTGTGAATTAACTTGCAAAAATGTTCTTTCTCCATCGGTGTTTTCTTGGCATTTTTACGATGTCGAATCCGACCAGTTGACACTGACAGTGAACGTGCCTAATGCATATGCTAGCGCTAGCGATTGCATAGCCATGACAGACTGGTTACCGCACTTTCATCATGTCTTCTAAATTGGCCCCTGCGCGGCGTGGCGGGAACCAGTCGTCACTGCATTGAGCAAAGTTTAGGCACGTGATTATAGTCACCGTGACATCGAATTGCGAGGTATGATGACAGATCGCGAAGCGAATTTGGTTTCTTTTGAAAAAAATAGCGAATGTAAGTAAAAAAACAAATAAATACAAGCATTTTTTGACGCAAATGGGTTGTTGAGAGGTATTTTGTGAAGACAGAAAAGACAACAAGCTTTTATTTTTATTTATTCAATCATTATTATTATTTTTTTGGAATTGCCAATAAAAATTTTAGGGTCGCAGCCTAAAAATAGGGTCGGTCGGGTAACCGGAAGCAGAAGTATTATTTTTTTGGGCCTAAGCTTGATGGTCTTACTTGAACAAACTCAACAAACCTCTGATTTGGGTTTCCTCTTTGATTATGTAGTACAGGTAGAAACCATTCCAGAATGGGTGGCTGGGGTTGCCTGAAGCATGGCATATCAATCCTTCTTCAGTCATATTCTAGCAAAGAGAACAGTGCTTCATCATTTGACAACAAAAAACAATCTCTTCAAATGATTCAAGTTTGGTTCCAACTGGACTTCAACTTTTGAAATGAGACAATTTTATGAAACTTTAACCAAAATACCACATACATTCATGTACTACATACCGGTACATACATGTACGTACAGACATAGTGACTGCATAGTCTCTTTCCTGAACAAAGTCCAGACGAGACAATAAAGTCCAGGCGAGACAAAACATAATTTCTTCAAATAAAATGACAGGTTTGATAACTTGGGTGTGCAAAGACACATACATGTAGTCAATAAGGATGTAGCATTAGAGTTCATCACAAGTCCATCAAAACTCTGGCAACAAGTAAATTCCACATTAGTTCACAGGTCCTGTCACAAGTTAAAGGGGACTAGCGCAGTGCCTGTTCAAAACGTGCCTGTTTGGAACGGGCAAATTGCTTGGCCACCGGTAGACCCGCAAACGTGGCAGCATACAGTGCAGTGCCTATATAACAGCGCAGCATCCCACCGTTACACGATCTTCCCTCTTCAAGAAATGGTTAAGGTCCATCTGACCGTTACATGATCTTCCCCCTTCAAGAAATACCCATACAGCCAACCACCATTTTGCACGTGTGGGACCCGTGGCGCAGTAAAGAGTCCAGTGCCCTCAAAATTCAAAATGTGCAGCAGTGCGTGGCGCGGTCTGTATATACACGTTTGTATGGTGTAGGCCTCTGGTATTGCTGCTTTTTTGCAGCTTTTTTGAGAACCGCTGATCCAAACAACTTCAAACTTGACACTGCACATTCTTTGTGCCTGAGCAATACTCAGGTAGTTTTTAGCAAGGCCATGCAACGGATGTTTTTCCTTCGTAAGCTTAAACAGTTCAATGTCGATAAGACGATTTTACGTTTATTTTATCAGTCTATAATCCAGAGCATTGTCACTTTTAACATAGTTAGTGTATTTGGTTCACTTTCACAGAAAAATAAGGACAGGTTTGAGCGCATTCGTAAAATGGCTCAGCGCTCTGTCGGTCTCACCTTGCCAACATACGACAAAATCTTTTTGGAACGTGCAATATCTAAAGTTCATTTCATTCTGTCAGATCCAACTCATCCACTTTTTGATTGCTTTGTTTTTAATAGATCCGGTTTCAGACTCTGTGTTCCTCGCACAAACCTTACCCGATACAGGCAATCCTTTGTTCCCAACTCCATTCATTTATTTAACACTTTGGCTGTTCGTTAATAGGGGTATTCCTTTTTGTATGTTTGCTGCAGGTTCCCCAGTTCATTCTCAGACTCTGTAATTTTACTTGTAGTTTTAAATTTTTGAATTTTACTCATATTTAAATTTTGTGTAAATTTTGTGGATAAGTTATTGTTTTATCGAATTGTAGTTTTATATTTAAATGAGCCAATGGAAACTAAATTCTGTATTTTTATGATGCGGACAATAAATTTCTAATCTAATCTAATCTAATCTAATCTAATAAACTCGCCGATTTTCAACTTCATACAGTGCCCGGTTCTGGCGATAATTGAAACACAGACCGATGCACAGAGATTCCTGGAATTATAGGAAGACTTGTATTTGACTTGTATGCAGCACAGTGCCATAGGTGCTCCTACATAGAATCTATAAGACCATTAATAGTTTTGTCAACTTTACCTGAAGTATTTCAACGGCTTCTTCTTGCGTCACATCACCTTGAAGAGTGGACATTATCCAATGCACTGCCTCACTGGCCATGAAACAATTAGATGGGATCTTTCTCTGGTCTGAAGGTAGAAAGAGTAATCCACCTCTGGAAAGGAAAAAGAAGAGGGAAAAAAAGGTTGAGCAAAAAAAGCATTGAAAAAGATTTACAAATTTGATGTATTATTATGGAGTTACAGCTCCAGGAAATTTCAAAAAAGGTTTCACAAATACAATCTTGACTTGCTTTTCCATTCCAACCACAACATTGAGATTTCTCTGCTGCATCTGGACCAGTGAATGTTCTACAGATAGGGGCAAGTTCGCGCAAGAACTATTGTTGACCATTGGTTAACCATAGTTGGACTGAAGTTAGCCTGAACTCTGTCTAGTCGACGGCGGTTGACTACGCTAGTCGACTATTTGGAATCAACCTACTGGGGCTGGTTGCATCGCTGGTAACCAATAGCCGCGCGCATTCATAACCTACAGCAGGGAGCCAGGATCCAGATGACATTTTGACCAGCGTTTGACTAGAGACGTTCGCACGTTGCTATTAGTGCGCAGGCGTAAGGTACGTCACAAATCAACCACTAGTCGACTAATGGTCCTTGCCCGAACTTGGCCTAGGGTGCTTACCATACATGCTGGCTGAAGATTTCAAATGAATTGGTTATTGGTGCATTCTACACTCAGTTGTAAGAGTATGGTGGAAAAACTACAGTGAGCTGCAAGCCGGGTCAAAGCAGCTAGAACGCCTTCTTTAGCCTGTTTTCTCAATAACAGAGGAATTGTGCAAGTTTGTAAACCACATTACTGTTTAGAGTTTCAAACAAAAATCCAGTTTAAGCTAAATGTTAAACTTGGAATGGTGCAAAATAGAACTGTCTTACATACCGGTACTAGCCTATACTTGGAAAACTTTGGAAAAATTTTTACGAAATTCTGCTTCAACCATGAGAGGGACATTTTTTTGGGGACACCCTTTAATCTATTGATTACTGTGAATTTTTGTGCCAGTTCTCCTTTGTGAGGTATGTGGGCCCTTCACACGCACCACCTTTTATGCGGTGTACAGGAGATAATTTATATGCCACAAGCCATGTACCCTGCATGACATTTGGACTGGTAACCTCATTTTACTAAGCAAATAATATGAGCATTGTCTATTTCTGTAAAATGTTCCCCCTTGGGGTCAAGGGTCAAGATGTGGCTTACTGTTGTTCTCGCATGGCCTTAGCAATCTCCCAGAGTGGTGTGCAGAGGGTGAGTTTGCTTCTATCCTCCCATTCTCCCTCCGTGTCCAACTCCCCATCCTCGCCTTCCTCCTTCAGGCTTCTTGGAGAGGTACTTGACTCAGCTAATACTCCAGGCCCTTGGGTAGGGGCATTGGAGGAGGGTAGGGTGCTGGTGACTGCTTGTCTGCTTGGAGTGAGACTAGCCATAGCAGATATCATTGCCTGGAATAAACCAAGGCCCAGTAAATATCATTACCAATATACAGACATGTCCCAATCTGTTGTCTAGAGCTATTGTCTGGATTAACGTTGTGCATCTGGTCGGGTTGACCTGGCCAAACTGACCCGAAACATTATAGATATAAACCAAATTCGAACTGAAACCAATCCGAACTCCCCAAATCCGACCTGGCAAAAATTCAAGCAAAACCAACCTGAACCGACCCTAAAAACCAAATATCTGGCTTGGGCAACTGTGGCCGCTTTTTGTACCTGAACTTACCAGCATCGCGTGAAAATTGTCGCCTCTCAGTAAAGAATCGTACCATACGGTACGGTGAAGACTCATAACATTACCTACTGGTGGGCCCACACGTTACATATAGACAGTGTGTGATAGACCGCAAACCACATGCACATTGGTGCGGTGGGTTGGACCTTGGTTGTACCGGGCACGGTAACTCTGCCACAATATTGCACTGGGGGAATTTTTTATTTCGTGTTTTTCACAAGATAGCTTAACTGACCCAACCCGACCATAAAATCACAAACGCAAAACTGAAACAGACTCGACCCCACTGAAATGATGGACAAATCGACCCGACCCGACCCGACCCGAAGTCGGTTTTGGGTCGGGTCGGTTTCGGGTCGGTTTCAGGTCGGGTCAGTTTCGGGTCGGGTTTGCACAACGTTAGTCTACATCAATGACAATTACAACTATAGATGTGAGGTTTACAGTCGCACCGCGTAGCCAAAATTTCTTGTGTGATTCTGGAAAGCACCAGCATTAGTTGCCAAACTGCTTCTTTTCAGATCCACACAGAGTCACAAAAGAGATTTGACAACTAGGTACAATCTGCAGACATACAAATGATTTTGATGCCATGCAAATTCAAAAAAAGACTATAACGGAGCATCTGAAAACCCAAAATGATCCTATTCTTTAAGAACGTTCCTGATGGGAAAGCAAAGACCGTGTATTCTATGCCATAAATTATTATCCTTTTCTACAGTAAAATTTACCTCAGCCACAAGAATTTTGAAATCTTTAATACTATTTCTTAGTATTAGTGATGCCTCTTTGGTTAAAACTTGGAAAATAGAACAGATCATTAGTACTTGTCAGGAATTGTGACAGGCCAACATATAGACATTTAAACGTACAAGCATGACAAATGAAATAACTTGTTAGTTGTAAACAGGTTCCGTACTTGAATTTAAAAGTACTTTATAATCTAACTGGTGACTGAACGCATCTGTACCTGAACATATTTGTATCTACATGTAGCCTTGGTCAAGGCGTTCGTCATTATCCGTCCGTACGGTAAGCGGCGGAATATCCTCGCTATGCAGTGCACTATTTATATATTCAAATCATTTGGATCCGATCGAACGCCTTGGTCCAATCGTCCGCGAAAGCTTATGTTTTTCTTTATTTTCCGCTAGATTTCTAGCGCACGACCTCATATGCAAATACAAATAAGTGTAGGCGGGGCTAATATGTGGAATGTCCAATCACACCTTGGTAAATCCCGACGTCATCAAATTATTTGCAGCTATTCGCCTTTTGTTGACGTGTCAGAAACCACATTTTTCGTGCATTGGTGCTGTGTGTAATGTGAGACACACATGCACAACGTGTGTGTATGTATTATGTACAGTACATAATGTCACACGTTGTCGCTATATGACCTTTCACCGCGTGTTAACTATTATGCAAGTTTCCACGAAATGACTGACCAAAAAGAAAACGACTTTTAAGGTCAGTGTAGGGTATTAGCATAATCAGCACCACCCCCAAAACCTCACATGGACGATTGGACCAAGGCGTTAGTCTAGATCCAAATGATTTGCATAAATAGTGGCCGCATGAGGTCGCTGTTCGTACTGTATTTTTACATGCACTGCATAGGATCAGCAGTCAGCACGCAGCGAGGATATGCCGCCGGCGAATACCGCATGGACAGATAATGACGAACGCCTTGACCAAGGCTAATTTGTACCTAAAGTTTTCAGGTCCTATAGGTTAGTACCTTTAAGCTACCATCGCTACTCTTCCTGGAGTGACCGTGAACGCTGGCAAGAGAGGACCGACGAAGTTCGGCAGATTTCACAGAGCCAAGATTAACAGAGAAAGAGCCAGCCTGATTTGGGTGTTAATAGAGGTCAGAGTGTTAGTTTAAACAGAGTTAACAAAAGAAAGAAGATTCTGAAACAAGAAAGATTGTGTTAATTAAGAAATATCAGTTGACTTCTTCAGCCTTTCAGTCCCATCACATCAACTTGATCTCTAGATGCTCATTTCTATACGCTAACATCCAAGTAACCAGTGACGTCATGGGTATAAAACTAAACAGGCTTTGGATACGGTATTCAAACTTCTGGTACAGATGACAAAATTAGAAAGAAAAAAGTAACTTTTTAATGTCATTAACTGTGTGGGCTGAATTTTATTTCGAGCCAATAGATTTTGTGTCCCCCAGATCAAGACTAGACAAATACCGGTGTAGCGTGAATATCCGACTCCATGAAATGTGGACTCATTGGTAGTATTGCACATGCGTGAGTAATATGCTATATTTAGGATCATTTTGGGAGAGTGACCTGTCACGTGCGAGGGATTAACCAATAATTGGGAAAAGGGGTCCGATGTTCATAGGAGTCAGATTTTCATATGACACCGGTCCTTTTATTTTTGAGGCTGGTGTATAGTGTACACTGTAATGGCTTTACTTAAAAATATTTGCAGGCAACACCATTTTTATTTGTATTTTTCAATCCAAACCCAACCTTTGTGGATCATTATAAAGTCCAATGCTATTGATATGAATTTTCATATTTTTTAATCAAAATTTCAAGTCACAATCCTGTCTAGTTTTAGATACCCCGTCACAAATGCTGTTAGTATGTTTACACCAGAATTGAAAATTCTAATTCTTCAACAAGAATTTTAAAAAAGATTACAAATTAAAGCACAAAATATAATTTTAATGATGAAAAAAATCTCAATATTTAAAGGTAATATGCAACATTTATTTTGCTGTAATTTTCAGAAATGGATGGGTTTGGGGGGTTAGTTTCTTTATAGCACATATTGTTACACTGATCTGTTTAATGTTTTGTGTTTGTAGAAGCTAAAAACCAAGAAAAAAAGTGTTGTTCTTGTAGTCTGATTCCCTGACCCTACTTCAGACCAAAACAGAGCAACAGATGTCTGGGTATTGTCTGGTCAGGGAACCAGACTAGCTGGCTTGCACCCATTCATGGATGTGTATTTTAGATTGGGATTTTGTTCTGTGCTCCACAAAGAAGTTGTGTTTCAGAGCTGATCTAAAGTAGAAGTTTGTGTGCAGAGAGATTTGGCAATCAGATATGTGGACTTTGCATTGCTTGTGTGCTGCAGTTCTTTACTTGCGCTTCGGGACGTCTGTGTGAAATTCTCTATAAAAACTTTTATTCCTACAAATGTACCATTAGGGAGACACGTTATCGTAATTTCTTCGATAATAGTGAGACACCGGCTTTTAGGGAGACACATACCTGTCTCCCTAATGGCGCAGCCCCCCTTGAGAGGCAAAATTTTGCTGTCGCAATCAGGTTATATTTGTTGCTCGTGGTCTAATTAGTAAAAATACCGAAATTCATGGAAAAAGGACAAGGGAATATTGGGTTAGGGCACATTTAAGTTGGAAAAATTTTGTGCACAAGTCTATGGGAATGTCTCCCAAATGACCCATTCCCCGTAATTATTATTATTGTTATTATTTATAATTATTATTATAATTATACACATCTATATGCCAATGTCAGGTTGGCTTTGGGATGGTGAGATACATATATTTTGAAAAACAAATAAGCAGACAAGATAGTAATCGTATTCCATTCAACAGCACATGCATAAAGGCAGCCTCATACTCAGCAAGAAAGTGAATGCAAACAGGACTTTTCTGAAATTGCACTGTGAATTGGCAAAAGTTGAACACACAAGCGAGTTTCATCATAACTGTTTCATAATATCAAATTTACTTCGCATAGAACTTTGCATGTGTATATCAGACAGCCTTCCGTATTCACGATCAGTATTATGCGACTCTACTCCAGACTGCACCAGTTTTTTTCTAGGGTGGAAATTGTTTCTTTGTTAGTTCATCAAGTGTCATGTGATAAACTCTGAAACAATCACAGAACCAGAATTGGCAAGCTACCAATGAGTACCTTGGACCTTCTACCTCCACTGTGGTGCCTACGGAGCCTATTCAACGTCTCCAGGAACTTGATAAATCCCTCAGTTTGTTGATGGGCCTCCTCCTGGTTATCCACCTCCGGGAAGATGTCCAAGTGAGCGGCAGGGTCTTCAAGGATGCGCTTCTTCTTGGAGCAAACTGTTGGCAAGAGGAGGAACCTGCTTCGCCAGAGCTTCAGTGACTAGACAGAAAAAAAACATTAAAAAAAATGATCTCATTAAAGACTGCCGGGAACCTTCCAGATTTTGATATCAAATTAATAAACAAGAGCAGTGAGTTGAGAGAATTTGTAAGCAGGTGCTTGGTACAAGTCATCATCATCATCAAGTCGGCTCGAGACGTTGCCGTGAGGCCGTCTTGAGGCGGGAACGATGCCTGACGCGCCACACCTCCCTTGACTCCATGCAGCTGGCCAACTCCTCCTTCGTCTCGACTCCTGCATCCTGCATCAACGTCATTAACATAGTTGTCCTTGGCCGTCCAGGCTCTCGTCTGCCATGCGTTGGTTCCCAAGCAACGAGCTTACTAGCAGGCAGCTCAGGGTGTCTGTGGCAGCTGCAACCTACGCGCCTTGATCTTCTCCGTGAGCGCAGGGAGTTTTCCATAGAGCCGGACATTGGTGACGTGGTCCTGCCAGCTAATGTTCTGAACCTTCCTCAACATGCGGGTGTATGTGCCATCCAGTTTCTTAACCATGGTTTTTGTCAGAGTCCATGCCTCACAGCCATATAGGAGGATTGTCTCCACTGTTGCTTGAAAGAGTTTGAGCTTTAAGGGCTTGGGCATTGAAGATGCCCATATCTTTCCCATGTCGTACAAGTCCTGTTCGAGTAACCCCTGGTTCAGACAGGCGTTCCTGCGTCGCGCCAAACCAAAAAGATTAGGAACGACTTAAATCAACCCAAATAATTTTTGGTTTCAGACAGGCAAACTTAATACTCTGGAGTATTGTGCACAAACAAACACACGATCTTAGCAACAAGCCGACATTGCGCAGCGCCATCGATGCATATGGGCTGCGAGCGCATTCCTTCACTAAACGCCTGGCCGTGTATGAAGAATACGTATGAATGACGCTGATAGACTTTTCAGAGTGTGCTGCGCACATATCGAAGACAGCTAGCACGCCATGTGCGCTCGCGCCCTCTTTTGCACGTCACGTCATGTACGAACATTTATTTTTCAAGACTGCACGATGCCTGTACCATATGGATACTGGAAATTTCGGTTTTTCGCAAAAAAAAAATGTATTGTGTGTTGTATAGGGACGAAAGAGCTACGTACATAAAGACGAGTTTGAAAGAGGATCAATTCTACAAAAAGAAAACTTTCAAATTTTAAAGCTACAGTCCATCATTTGTAATTTGTGCATTTTGTTCGTTTGAAGCAACAAAAGAGTTCAAAATCTAATGAAGGATACTGAGCAACTAACCTGATGAAGTTTCAGCTAAGCTTCAGCTGTACATTCCGAGAAAAACAGCATTCTAAGATCCCAATTTCAAATCAAAAGTTACTGATTCATGTTTTGAATTGTTTTGAATTGCAGCTATACGCGACGTCGCGCACTGATCCGACGAATGACAACAACCGCGCGCGCGTGTGCGTCGTTCCAATACTTTTGCGCGCTGCGCTGAATAACAAAACGAACTACTAATTTAAATTTTCCTATGGTGCTTCTTAAGAATCACCGTTGGAAATGCCTTCTTTCGTTGATTACTTCAAAATGACAGCTTCCCAGAAAGAATAATTTCACAGGGAGTTTAGTCCCCTTACTATCTTTCAACCAAGTTTGTTTTTCAACAATAATTACACCAGTTACTGTTCGGATGGCTGCAAATGATGGACTCTAGCTTTAAGCACAGCGTCGCGCGTTAAACACATCGACTGCAGTCTTAATTTATGAAGGTAACTACTGAAATACATTTACATACATTTGCATTGAGTTTGGCTCATGACTAGAGCGAAGTCTGAAATCAAGCCGCTCCCAAGTCATTTTGAACGAATCCGACAGTCAATCTTTCACCATCTGGCGCGTCTAGTCGCTCCTAAAAGGCGCTCCTAAAAAAGCAGCGACTTCCTGTCAGCTTAATTACATTACCGCTTGGTCCGTTACAAATTTTGGTGGCAGCGGTGGGATTGAGTAAACTAAAGGCCATTGTAAGTGCCTGGAAGCTATACCTATGCAAAGTTGGTCTTCCCCAGAGTGGGGCATGTAGTCAAATAAAAGTTGCATTAACCTAATTTGTAAGAGTATTAAATAATAGTTGCATTAACCTAATTTGTAAAAGTATTAAACCAAACAAAATTACACTCTTTCAAACAGACAACCTCACCCAGGGTTCGAAGTTAGTGGAAACCCGTTAGTCAAATGCTAGTCAAAACAGCAGCGGGCTTGTTAAACTATTCCTTAAGTAGCCCGGCTGGTGAGCCAAAAATTATTGGGCTACAGCACAGATGAAAGGACAGGAAGAAATAAATCATTCAATTCAGAAAGCAAACCTGTATCAATTTGTGTCTTATTTCTTTACCTGTTTAGGGTTAAACTATTAGATCTGTTTATCAAAAACACTGACAAGATTGCCTCAGGATACACATTTTACATGTACATGTATGCACATTGTTGTTTATTAGGACACTCTATAAAAGGAAAGCATGTGCGCTAGTGAAACAGCCCTCAGGCTAGTTACGAGCCTGTTTCAGTAGCCCAGCTGGCTAGTGAAACAAATAGTTGAGGTCAAACTCTGCCTCACCTCCATAGGGCCAAAGTCAATTCCTTTTGAGGACACGTAGTTATCGAGATAGTTCCAGTTGAAGTTCTCCAGCATGTAGGGTTGGAAGTTAACGCTAGATGGCTGATAGCCAGAGTTGTGAGCCGACCATAGCTGATAGGTGTAGTAGACTGGACGAGAAATAGTCAGATGCCTACAATATGTGAAATGAGCAAAATCAAATCAATCACTCTCAGAATCAGAATAAGCTGCAGTAATCTGCAAGCGAAATTACAAGGTTAAGAGCTCTTGGGTTTTCAAGAAGACTATTTCATTTTGTTAAACTGTTTCTGACATGATCACACATAATTGCTAATAAGCTACAATTTAGTCTACATTTGCACAAAAAGTACAGGTTTTCCTACATCAAATTTGTTGAAATGTCATATTTATTATTCCTCAAGTTAAAATTTCCTTTTCCGAATTCATATAAAGCATCTCCAAATTTGGGCAACAGAGAAGAAAAGACGAAAAATCATCTTTCCATTTTCCATCTATTTTTACAGAAAAATTAGTTTAAAACCCATGAGCCATATCATTGCCTATATAGTCCATCATTTGTAATTTGTGCATTTTGTTCATTTGAAGCAACAAAACAGCTCAAAATCTAAAGAAGGGTACTGCACAACTAACCTGCTGAAGTTTCAGCTCAGCTTCAGCTGTATATTCCGAGAAAAACAGCATTTAGGATCTCAATTTCAAATCAAAAGTTGCTGAATCATGTTTTAAATTGGGCCTGAATTCAGCGTCCGTGACACGTTCTCACTGAGCCGATTGCAGCTACGCGATGTCGCGCACTGATCTGACGAAATATAGCAACTGCGCGCCCATGTGCGTCGTGTCAATGCTTGCGCGCACTTCGCTGAATAAAGAAACGAACTACTAACGGAAATTTCCAATGGTGCGTCCTAAGACGCACCGTTGGAAAGGCCTTCTTTCGCTGAATACCTCAAAATGACAGCTTGCCAGAAAGAATAATTTCACAGGAAGTTTAGTCCCCTTACTGTCTTTCAACCAAGTATGTTTTTCAACAATAATTACGCCAGTTACTTTTTGGATAGCTGCAAATGATGGACTATAGCTTTAAATCAAGTCATTACACCAATGGTGCTACAACTGTGTATTAACCCTTTTTTGAGATTGTACAATAAATTTTACAAAGAACCTCCGGAATCCTCCAAATTACTGTACAGGAACCACATGGCACATTCTGTTGTAAAGAATGGACGAGGAACTGTAGATTCATGCTAAGTTCGCCTCGTAAATTCTTGCACAACTCTACTGTTCCGAGTCACAAAAATAGAGAACTTGTATTTCATGGGGCATTGAGCACCTCCTTTCCTCCGATCTAAAATAAAATCCTCCAAAGCCTCCCAGTGGATTTGGAGGGATGTGGAAGAAGAAAACATCTGGCCTTACCTTGGTTTGTACACAGTAACCGAGATTGCTCTTTGGTGAGGATGGAGTACCAGTTTGTGGAAGATGCGACCAATACTGAGTACGTACTCATGCTGGAATGAACAATAACCAAGAAAAAACTAGATTTTGGAAAATAGTCAAATTGGCCACAAAATACGTAACAATTATGCTGAGTACATACTGAGGATCACATGGGAATGCATCCACAAAAGCACCATTCTGGTTACCAAAGTGTGTTGGCAGAAAAGGTTCCAGACCAGTAAATAGACTGCCATAGACCTCAATGGTACTTATGCACACTTCCCAAAATTATTAACAATACTCACAACTCTCCATGGTGTTCAAGACAGGCATCAAATTAAAGCTTATTTCATTTTGTTTTCTTATTTTCTCTGTTCAATTTTTTTTAGGGGTAATCTGATAACTTTTGGGAGGAATTTGCATCCGGAGATGATCACCCCTAAAAAATAGTCAAAATCGCCATTTTGAAAAATGATGCCTACGCTCCATTGCAAAATAGAGCGCTTTTTGTGCCTAATTTCATTTAAATTTCACACAAATGCAAACTAAGAGTCTTGTGCACGGCTTCCACCCTGCTTTTTTCACAAACCCTCAAATTCATGGCCCACAAAATGCTCTAATACTGAAGAATTTGAGGGCATGCAAATCGTGATTTGGCAATTTTGGGCCTATTTACTGGTCTGGACCCAGAAGAGCCATACAAAAACAGCGCCACCTAGTGTCAGATAGTGTTAAATCTCATGCACCCTGTATGGACAGTGCACCCTGACGTCAGATGTACAACCACCAAATCTGACTGTTTGACGTCCTGGCATGTCAGTGAATATCAGAAAAGGATTTCTCTTTGAATTACTGCCTGCTGTGGTTCTATCAGAACATTTGTGATAACACCACCAATACATGTACATATTGCTTTGACAATGCCCATGATGTAGATGTGGCTTTGTACAGGGCCCCTACATTTGTTGTACATACAAAACATTTTGTAGAGCCCTAATATTCATGTAAATTTCACTTGACGAAAATGCTTTGCAAACCCTACCTTGTTTGGATCTGTGACCAGGATGTCTTTACTTCGGCGACCTTGTACGATGGATAAAAAGGATTTGGGAACTACAACCATTTGGAATCCCTGAATGAATGATAAGAGACACTTATCTTGTATGCTGAGATGGGTATTCTCTCAAATATTACACTATAATACATTTCAGAGAAAATAATACATCAAAAAATGTATCAACATTGTATTACCATCATTACAATGATTGCGGCCATGTTTTTAGTTTGTTGCCACAATAACTAGTTTTCACACAGACTCAATACTTCTCACTTAAAATACAGTTGGCCTCGTGACCTTTCAACTTTTTTCAATATTTTAACATGCACGAATAGGCTCTGAACTTATTCCACTTGTTTACAAACTAAAGAACAACAAGGCCAAGCACTGTTATCTTCAAGCAAACTTGTATACTCGATCCTGATTGGTTGATCCATGGCAACAACAGTGTGATATTATACCATATCGCCGGTCCATATCGCATCCTGCATATTGACCTTTTAACAATTGTCGACTGCTCCTGCTATGGGTCCCAAGGGTGTTCAAAACATTATATCCCACATCACAGCAGTTTGACAATTGTTTGGTTAAGCCTCTGTCTTGGATTCTTTGGATTGTGATGTAACAATCACGAAAAAAAAACGGCAGTAGACACAACAATCATGACAATCGAATGTCAACTCACATGCATGTCGCGTGCTCGAAACAGCTGATCGTCTGCTAGTTCGCTGCTCCCACTCATGTGTGAAAACATGGCGAAAATAGCATGGGTACCAACGATACTTGTAGCATTTCATACCGTACGTACTGTACGTACAATGTCATAGCACACTCCCTATGGGATATCACGTACATGTAGGTGATATCCCACAGGGAGTGTGCCATGACTTTTTATAAACTTAACATGTGATCATTCTAGGCCAATGAAAATACAGTATTCAAGACAGAGGTATAACAATCCAAGATGCGAGCGACATTCCCGCTGACAGACGCACACAGACGCACTACATTATTTCGCGTTCCACTCGCACTCGCAGGATAACTTATATTGTCAGGCTCATATCAACCATTACAAATTCAGAAACTCTTCTGGTGTACGTTTCCTCATGTACACATATGTGATATGAAGTCAGGTCACCAGTCTACCCAACCAACCTGCATCAGTCGTTGTGATATAATCTCCTGAAAGACGCCCTCGCCTGTCTGTCTCTGTCCCCCTGCTGCCTCATCGTGGTCATCTGCTAGAAGCTCGTAATTGTTCTCCATGAACTGTTTCTCGACGGTCAGGCTATCTGGGTAGTAGTCAGTGGTAATAGGGAAACAGGCAGTGGCTGTCAACGATTTCCAGTCCATTCCTGGCAAGAAAACAATGTCAGCCTGTCATTCGGGGAAACCAAAAGTATTCTCAATCTATAATTGTTCCAAACTGTCCGGCAGTTTCAAAATCTTATCTGTTGCTGGTAGTGTTAAGTATTACTTCCTAAACCAGATAATTTGTTTTATTTTAACTTTTTCCCTCTTTGTGTGAATAAGATACCAAATTAAGCTATAAAGCAAGCGAACATTGATTAGTACTGTATCAATACAAGTGGCTCATGTGATCACCCCATTGCTCCATTTTGTTCAGTTGCTCCATTTTGTTCAGTTAAATTACTAGAGCGCTAACTCCTCATTCTTGCGCGCGGAGACGCTTTGAAGCCATGCTGGGCGCAGACATTTTGAACTCATGTGCGTGTTTGTGGAACATAATGAAATGAGATGGATTGATTTGAAAGTGTACTATAAATGCAACGCAAAACATGCGCAAACAACTTAAGCGTGTCATGATAGTTAAAAAAACGTCACAGCAAAAAGCATCTGCAGCGGAGGGATGCGCACGCGTTGCGCTGTTTGCGTAGAGCAAAATGACACGCTCATTTGCTGATGGTGCGTTTCGGTTTTGGGCGTATTGGCTTCGATAACGCACCGGTATGGAATACAAATGCAGATATGCAAATAGGCGTACAAAATACGTACACAATTTCTAGTTCTTCATAGTTTGTGTACACACATGGATGCGCCCATCAGGCATTACTTTGTACATTGTACATTGAGTTAGCGCACTAGTAATTTAATATAGCTCTTTGGTTAAAAGGCACAATAAGTAGATGGAAAATCCCTCCATCAAACAAATTAGCAGGTTAAAATAAGTACCCTTTCGATCAAAAAAACAAAACTTTTCGGTCCACGAGAGTAAAAAATTATACATTTCCAACAATTTTGTTCAACAGAACACCCCTCTTGCTATATAATGGTAAGGCCCTCTGGCAAACAACTCCTTATATGGAGATTGCTGCGTACTGTGTGATGTGGCGCACAACGCAGATGTACCAAAGTAGGGTGAATCTAGGACTTTGAAATACCGACTCACTGCTAGTACTGTACATGTCTACGTGTGGATTGTGAAGGCTTAACCAGAAATGGGTAAACTGTCTTAGGCATTTAGGAATGCAAAATAAAATCCTTGTTTTCATGGAACAGCCTCATTCGTCAACTTGTGCCTAAACACTCGCAGCCATGACAGTTGGTTGCTATGCCGTCCTGCTAAACTTTTTCCTCTGCGACAATCACTAAGTATTCCTCTAACAACTATGACTCCCACGAGTAATACTGGTACCTGTCTGTATAAAAGGAGTCCATTCTTGTTCGCCTGTGACACCCCAAACTCCACTGGTACTTCGCATCAACGTCCTGAATGAATCACTAGCAGGACTGGTCCTTGAACCTCCATCATAACGGGCCCCTATCAAGAGAAACATCTTACAGCCATGTATCGTTTATCACTGGACAACAGAGTTTGGTAACACCACTGGAATGGAATTGCATATCGGGAAGAAAGAAATTCGGATTTAGCTTTTCACTTCAGTTATTTAACCCTAACCCCTTGGGTATTTTTACAAGAAAGTACCCTGAATCTGCCAAAATCCATCAATTTTGTCATGCAAAAAAATATTGGTGTCCTGAGTCCATCAGAATCCACCAGTGAGTTCATCAGAATCCAACCGTGTAGTACATACATAACGAGGTACATCACTGATTGGGGGAAATATTGACTACACAGGAAGCAGAAAAGACAAGATTTGAAGGTTTACATAGTGAAGGGTAATAATAAGATAAGTTGTTTGCGGTAGCACCAAAAGAACCGGAGGGTACTCAACGTTTCGGACAGTCTCCTGATGACAAGCCGAGCACACTGTCCTAAACGTTGCGTAGCCTCCAGTTCTTTTCAAAACCACACAAAGTCACAAAACAGATTTTGCCACATGGAAGCAGAAAAATAAAACATAAATATATAAATTCTTGTTTACCAGTGTCGGGTAAGTTGCCACTCTGTCGGTGAGTTATAGTCGGTCTGGATGCTATGATGTGCTGAGCTGGGTTACCAGACCCAGATCCCTCACTACCCAGACTAGATGCGCTGCCGGATTTGGGAATGCCACTGACGGCTGGAGGGGCCAGTCTTGGAGGGGCAGGACCATGCCTAGAGGGAGAGGGTAAGAGTCTAGATATTGGACTGAGCTGTCTAGGAGAGGCTGGGTGATTGGCAGGTGCTGAGATGGATTCTGAGAGACCCGCTGGGGTGCAGGAGGGATGCATGTCTGTGTCTCCTTCGCTGGTAGTCCATCGACGATGATGGGGCTGCATAGTCTCTCCTGATGGACCTAAAGAGATGAGACACATTCGCTGTCTTAAATACTGTAAAGAGGAATTTCAAATAAACATCCACGCCAAGGCTCTCTGTGTTAACTGTGGTAAGCCATTGTTTATAATACTAAAAATAATAATAATAATAATGTATCCAAAAAATATACCATTAGGGAGACATTGCCATAGACTTGTGCACAACTAATATCCAACTTTCCTGACCCCTAACCCCAATTTCCCTTATCCTACCCCACGAATTTCGGTATTGTTACTAACTGGACCATGAGCAATCGATCTAGCCTATTGCGACGATAACATTTTGCCTCTAAATAGGAGCTGAGGCATTAGCGAGACATTGAAATGTCTCCCAAATTCCACGTCTCCCAAAGGTGAACCTCCCACGCTAAAGTGTCTCCCAAATGGTATCATTTGCAATAGTAATAATAATAATCGGCATACTTGCATCAAACAAATTGGCACATGGCACAGTGTGCAAAGTGTGAAGGGCATGCACTGTGCTTACGCAAAAAAAAAATTTCAAGTCCAGTACAGAATCTCACAAAGGCTACACTGAAATCCGATTTATTAACTTGTTGGCTTATTGGTACAATAAGACTGTACTTTTACAGCTTTTAGGATGCCATTCTTCTCTGAAGCTCTTGTGAGTAGTCACAAAGTGTCATCATCTTTTTACATGTGTTACTTTCAATTGAATACTTTACTTTAAGCACCGTCAATATATCGATATTACTCGATTATTTTATATAATTCTATTAAATTCCATTCTAATAAAGTGCTATTGGGGATCAAATCCCCAATAGCACTTTTTAAAATCATATCAAAATATCGACATTTTCGTCAGATTATCTTCAAAATAAATATCCCGTTTGTGTTTTTACTTTGAGTTTAATGTTTGCTGTCTAATGAAATAAAACTTGGCGGCAACTTGTGCTTGTGACTCAAAAATAAAAATACCAAAATGCCAAAATCGCTAAAGGCCAAGCGGCGTCGCTTTGTGCTCTGCGTTCGCTGGAATTCGCGGTCTCCCCCAATGTAAAAACCTCATAAGAAAACGCCCGTTCTGGACAAACTCTCAGTGCTGAGATTTGTTTTAAAAAGTTTGAGCAATATGCTCCAGAGAAAGCCGTGGAAAATTGGGACTTAAGTTAAAAAAAAAATTACAATAAAAATAGAATTTAAAGTGTCAACTTTATGGTCTCTACCGGTAACTTTTACATGGGATAATCGATATATAGAATTTTCTCGATATTGGATTTCCGATATATTGATTATTGAAAATTCTGATATCATTTAACATAAAATGACTGTTCTTTCAACAAACACACAGTACCTGGTGGAAAGGTATGAGTCCATCTCCTCCTATTTGATGTCAGTCGAATGGCCATGGTGGATGGAGCAAATGGATTGATCAGGGTCCGATACACAAACTGATGATTTGGACTGCCAGACGCAAGATTATGGATGGCGTTAGCACTACCAACAATCACATCCGTGAAGTTCACTGGCGTGTTACTGGATCGGTGCTCGGTAATATGTGCATCCCCAACACTACGGCTGATAGAGGCTAACAACACACATAAATTTGAACAGGTGATCAAGAACTGTTGGGTTAAGTGTCAATTGATGACCGTTATAACAATTTGCACTTTCGTAGTCATGGATGATCGTGCACTACTGATTTGAAAACAAAAGCTAAGAATATCTTTTGCCAGGTTTTAGGCCGATCCGGTTTTGAGATACTATAAATTTTCAAATAAAAAAGTCCCTGTTGACTGTGCTGAAAGGATAGACAAGCACCCGATTCATGAAACACATCATACCTTATGAAGCATCGCAGCGCTGCGATGCATCGTATCCCTACGACGTGTCGCAGCTTAGATGCATTTCACAAAACACGTTGTAAGTGCGATGCATCGTAGGTGTATTTATAGCACAATTCGGTGACTGTTTTATGTATTTATTCAGCGCACAGTAAATAGTCGTCCGATATTCTCCTCTCGAAAATTTTTAAAATGTAAAACAAAATGGCAGACATATGATGCAATTTTAAAGGAAAACTCTCTCTCAGTGGACTGTAGAGCTACTTTGAAATTTCAACTGCAATATTCCAGGCTAATTCATAGTTATTTAATGAATTTTCTATTTACAACTTTCCACACAATGTCTCGGTATTACAATCTTGTTTATGTGATGTTTATGGCATAAAACTTGCTCAGAAAAGGATGCTTCTTATTTTGTGATGACCAACAGATACGTTGTAACTTGCGACATGTTTTAAGCCGTTGTCAAGGAGCTGAAGATGCGTTCAACACATCAGAATTTTCATGAAATAGATCATACGACATGTCACAAGTTGCGACGTGTTACACATTGCAACTCAGGTTGCGACGCGTCGCTGCGCTTTGTGAAATTGGGTGCAGGAGGTACACATGTTGTAGGTGCACTAATTGCATACATTGTTGGTTCTTGAAGAAATACATCTTGTCCATGACCATTTTTGTCCATTTTTTTTCAACATTTCAAAACTAGTTTCCCATACCAACATGATATTAGGCCACAAAAAATAATACTTCTGCTTCCGGTTACCCGACCGACCCTATTTTTAGGCTGCGACCCTAAAAATGTTATCAGCAATTCCAAAAAATAAATAAAATAATGATTGAATAAATAAAAATAAAAACCTGTTGTCTTTTCTGTCTTCACAAAATACCTCTCAACAACCCCTTTGCGTCAAAAAAATGCTTGTATTTATTTGTTTTCTTACTTACATTCGCTATTTTTTTCAAAAGAAACCTCCGTTATTTTTACAACTTTTTTTTCTTTGCAATTCGATGTCACGGTGACTATAATCACGTGCGTAAACCTAGCTCAATGCAGCGACGACTGGTTCCCGCCACGCCGCACAGGGGCTAATTTAGAAGACATGATGAAAATGCGGTAACCAGTCTGTCATGGCTATGCGATCGATAGCGCTAGCATGGCTATGCATTGGGCACGTGCACTGTCAACTGGTCGGATTCGACATCGTAAAAATGCCAAGAAAACACCGATGGAGAAAGAACATTTTTGCAAGTTAATTCACAGAATTGATCTAGCTTGTCTGTGTATGCATTTTCCGTGTTCAAAAGTTCATTTTGATATCGCACTACTCGTATTTGGAGTGATACATGCAGCGTGTTTCCCGAAATTTTCGACCGTAAAATGAGGTCTGTTGGCCGCGCGCCACACATGCACAGTGCATCACACACTTCGGAGTTTTGGCCAGCTTCCTGTCTTGACTAGCGTTGTGCATATGATGCGAACGGCCTGAATTTTCCATTATTTTTTACAAATTATCGAACGTAAATATATTGACAATAATTAAGGTAGGTTTTATTTACTTTTTGTGGCCATTTTGTGTATAGCTTTCGTAGTGCAATGGAAATAGTTCAGGCTAAAACTTCGCATATAATTGAATACCCCATTCAATCTGCATAAAAACAATTGGCAAAAAAAAAAATTTCCGACCGACCGACCCTATTTTTTAAAGGCATGTAATCGGAAGCAGAAGTATTTTTTTTTCGGCCTAAGTAAGATATTTATGGAAAGCTGACAAGTGTTGCTTAATGCCAATACTAACTCATTATTTTTGATTACTTTTTATATTGGCCTGGTATAAACTGACAAAACAAAAATGATTCAATGCAATAAATAACTATATTTCTGAATTTTTTTGAAAAACTTATATGACTGACTCACTTTCTTGAAGCAATCTGGCAGCTGCCGTTACAGAAACAGAGGGAGCAACGAGATTTGGCCGCTCTGGAATGGGAATAGCGGTTGATGATGTTGATTGGGATACCAAGGGATGGTTGTGTGAATCGGTGGGTTCAGTGTTGAAGGTCACAATGCCAGTGACCTTTGACTCCTTCAACTTCTTGCTGGGTTGACATGGGGATTCCTCCTAATAAATCAATGCATACATTTCTAACAAAAGTTAAAAACCAGAAAGAAAGGAATGTGCCATCTTCTGTTCCTGCAAAGAGTCTGTAATCCTCTTAGATTAACGTTAACTCCCTAGCATAATTTACTAGGTACCATACCCATCCTGGCAAATTCCAACACCATATGGGAAACTGCACACACATGTTTTTGACTTTGATTCTGGAGGTGTGCCAACCCAATGTAAAAGACTGTCAGTTTAGGGGTACTGTACCCATCCAGACAGATTCCAACAAAACATGCCGTTGGGATTTGATGGGTTGGGGTTAAAATAAGCCAATTAGGTATCCTAAGATTCAACAATATTCTTTCAGGATAAACAATCCTCCATACCGTTGACAAATTATAGAGCGTACTAACAACTAAAAAAGAAATCTCTTATTTTGCCTGAGGTATACATTTTTCTTGAACTTTTTTGACTGTGTTTGTTGGCAATATTATTTACACTCAAAGTTTTGTGCAAACAGTATTCCATCTTCATCTTGATTAAGAATGTAAAAATTTAAATCTACATTTGGCTGTTAATATCCTCATAGACATTTATCTCAAGCATTAATTACATTTAGGCAGCAACTAGGAATATTTTAAAGAGGTTGTGGAATGCTCGAAGACATTTCCGTCATTTTTCGGGTATATGTAGCCTAAGGTGTGATGAAATAAAAACGACTATTGTTTCTGTCATAAAATGAGTACAAAGGGTACTTTTGAGAGCTGTTTTTCAAGTCCTGTCATGCCTGTTTCGACCCGAACGTGCAATTTGTGTAAAAGTCGTCGTTGCGGGCAGCAAACAAAAAACAGTAAATCGTGACGTAATAAACAGGACTCCCGATGCAGAGTAGCATAAACGAGTCCTGTTTATTACGTCACGATTTACTGTGTTTTGTTTGCTGCCCGCAACGACGACTTTTACACAAATTGCACGTTCGGGTCGAAACAGGACCTGAAAAATAGCTCTCAAAAGTACCCTTTGTACTCATTTCATGACAGAAACAATTGTCGTTTTTATTTCATCACACCTTAGGCTACATATACCAAAAAAATGACGGGAATGTCTCCGAGCATTCCACAACCTCTTTAATCAATCACTTACCTTGGATCTTGGCTTCTGGGCAGCATTGTGGGTTGACTTTGATGGCCTTATGGAAAATGGGGTTCTGTAGGATACGGGGTTGGATATCAATGAAAATGTAAGTATGCATGAGTTGTAATATTCAAGCAATACTACCAACTGGTTTCAAGTACTTGTATCCAATTAACACAAAACAAGATTCAAGTACACTATGTGCATATTCATGAATCCAATGCACTTCTTAGGTGGAGTACATCATTTGTAATTTGTGCATCCTGTTCATTTTAAGCAACAAAAGTGCTCAAAATCTAAAGAAGGGTGCTGAACAACTAACCCTATGAAGTTTTAGCTCAATGAATACTGTGTATTCTGAGAAAACAATACTGTAGGATCTCCATTTCAAATCAATTCATGTTTTGAATTGCACCCGAATTCAGCGTCTAGGATAATTTCTCATTCAGCCGAGTGCAGGTACGCGATCTCATGCACTGAACCGACTAATTATAGCAACCACGCACGTGTGTGCGTTGTGTCAACGCTTGAGCACGGTTTGCAGAATTAAAAATTAACTACCCATGGAAATTTCCAAAAATGCGTCTTTAGACGCATCGCTGGAAATGGCCTTCTTTCATTGATTTCTTCAAAATGATAGCTTGCCAGAAAGAATAATTTCACAGGAACTTTAGTCCCATTACTATCTATGTGCATCCCCAACACTACACTACGGATTTTCAACAACAATTTTGTCAGTTACTTTTTGGATAGCTGCAAATGATGGACTGTGCCTTTAAACACATGTAGCTAAATATCCAGCATGATGTGCATAATTACTCCTAGCTCGTACATCAGCTCCAAGACTACCAAAAGACTTCTCCATCTTCATAGCCCCCCCCCCCCATCCCACCCCACCCCCAACAACAACAAAAAATGATGATAATTATTAACTTTATGAGTAATTTTGGGACAGGAATAAGTACAGCATGGTAGTTTTATTGTAGTCTGCAAAGTTGTTGTTTTCCATTATTCTGACCTTGGTTTTGGTGAAGCATAGCTAGGAACTTTGAAGACTTCAGCATCGTACTCCTCAAACATGTAATCCTCATCCTGATGAGACTGCTTGAAGTGACTCATGTTCTTATCTTCCGGTAGAGGGGGAAGATGAGGTATGGATGACGGAGTGCTGTCTGCTGATTCCTGAGAGAAAAATGAACTCGTCAAACTTAGAATTGTTGAATGTTTCACCAACTGGTAATAAAAGGTAAAGGTAAAGGTCCCATAGCCATTACTGGCCGTTGGGGCAGTGGGATGTTAGAGGTCCACTATGTCTTGGGTGCGGCATATGAGTGGCGGTGCCCAGTCCTCTCCTCTCGCCGTCTTACCTTCCCTGAACGAATCAGGTACCCATTTTACTGTTGGGCCGTCAGAGAGAGTTTACCAGTTTTTGGTCTGAATGGGATTCGGACCGCCAACCTTCCACTCCGTAGCTCCACGCTCTAACTGCTCGGCTACGAGGCCCCGAGACTGGCTACGAGACTGGTGATAGCACCTGTTCTAATTGAGTACACAGGCTGGTGTCACTTAGTCTGACTATAATCATTTCACTCCTAACGAATGTGTGATACCTGTGTTCATGCAAAGTTTATGTGAACCAGCACGCAAGCCAATCAAGGCTGACATGAGCCTGAACTTACAATGTAACCCTCCATTAGAATGAATCAATGCGAGAAGCTGCCTTGATGTGTTGGCTGGTCTCTGATTTCAGGTACAAAATTAAGGCAAATAACAGCCATTCATAAATACCTAAGACAGTTTACCCATTCCCACTGGTCGAGAGCCCGTCGCGTGGTCAGTCTTAAACGGATGATAAAAACATGTCTGGCTGGTCTTAAACACTTTTCCCAGTGTCATATGAAAGCTGGATTCCTATGAAATCCGGTGCCTTTTACCGTTTTATTGGTTTTGAACATTCACAATCCTAACATGAGCAATACTACCAGTGAGTCAGTATTTCACAGTCCTAAATTCACAACGCACTCACCACAACTGCATCTGTGCGTCATCGCACAGTACGCGTGACGTGCGCGCAAATCTCCATAAAAGGAGTTGTTTACATCTTACTCGCGAGCTGGACACTCTATTATATAGCTAGAGGGGTGTTTTGAAAAACAGAAAGTAAACTTGTTGAACCAAATCGTTGGAAATGTTTCATTTTTTGCTGGTTTTGACTTTGCCTTGGGTAATTATCAGCATTCCAGACTCCGACCAGTCTTAAACATAGTGTTTAACACCTCCCAAGCACACATTTATTCCCTTAATAAAATTAAATAAACCACTTTGAACAGATTCAAGTTCAGGGTTTGTAAAGTAAGTTGTCCGACTGCCCTGGACAACGAAAAATATTTTGTTGGACATCCAGAATGTCCAGGTTGCCAGCCTGTTTGGAAACAACAATTTCTCTCCAAAATTCACAAACTTTTCATAACATCTTTTCTTGTTCATGAACATGTCCTGCAAGGTTATGAACGTTGAAGAATAAGGTGGTAGTTGCAGGATAACTTTCTCAATCCCATCAGGTCCCTACATCAAACTTGCTGGTAAAGTGTTGTGAGTTTAATTAACCCTAACTCCCTAGCATGATTTACTAGGAACCATACCCATCCTGACAAATTCCAAAACCATATGGGAAACTGTACACACATATTTCTGACTTTGTTTCTGGAGGTGTGCCAACCCAATGTAAAAGACTGTCAGTTTAGGGGTACTGTACCCATCCTGACAGATTCCAACAATACATGCTGTTGGGGATTGATGGGTTGAGTTCTGTTATATTAGGGTTAAGGGAATAAATGTGTGCTTTGGAGTTATTAAACACTATGTTTAAGACTGATTGGAGTCTGGATGCTGATAATTACCAGAGCCGGTAAAATTATCAGCATCCAAACTCCAACCCGTCTTAATCATAGTGTTTAATACCGACCAATACCTTTTCGGTCAAAAAATCTAAACTATTTTGTCCAAGAGTCAAAACAAGTCAAAAATTAATAATTTCCAACAATTTTGTTCAGCAATTTTACTTCATGTTTTTCGAAACAACCCTCTAGTTATATAATTGAGCTCGCGAGTAAGATGTAAACAACTCCTTCTATGAGCATTCAACCAATACAACGGCAAAAGGCACGGGATTTCATAGGAGTCCAAATCTCATGTGACATTGGAAAAGGGTTTAAGACCAGCCAGCCATGTCTTTATCAAAGTTACGGGCTCTTGACCAATGGGAATGGGTAAACTGTCTTGGGTATTTATGACTATGTGTTAAAAACTTTAGCTACATGTTGGTGAATGCACAAATGTGACCTGTTCTATCAAAAGCAGACAATTCTGGGCAAAGGTTGAAATTAAGATAGGGCCAAAACACGCTGTGGAGGTGATTTTTTTTTCGATTTTCAAATTTTTGCATATTTGTAATCCTGAACATGTTTAAAATATACTATAAAAGTTTGAAACCCTAATTTGAACTCTAAATAAAGTATTTTTGATGATTTGTTAAGGTATATCAGTTAACGAAATTACTGTTTTGTGACGTTTGTGGCCATTTTCTCCATTTTCTACTTTTCGACACAATGAACTTCAAAATAGCATAACTCTGCCCAGGAATGACCGGTTCCAAAAATTAAACCACCTTATAAAAGGGGGGAAAAAAATATTTTAACAATATGCAAAAATCTCATTTTTGGCCTTTTGTCCAGAAAAGTCTGATTTTGACAGAACAGGTCACAAATGGCAAATGATGTACTCTACCTTTAACTTGTAGCGAATATTATTGTTTGAACCCTGAGTTGAGCAGCAAGGTTTTAGGAGTTTTTAACACACAGCCAAAAACTCCTGACAAAAGTCACTGAACAGAGAACTTAAAAAAAATATGGGGCAAACATTGACAAAATGCTGGTTTTTTTTTTTAAAGCAAACCTTCTTCTCAGCTAGTTTGATCCGAGGGGTGAAGCTGGAGTAGATATGGCATTTTTCTCGCTGTCCCTGGGCTGTGTAGAAGCTGTAATTCAACCAATGAGGAATGCTGTAGTCACGGACGGAGGGATGAGTGCTGGTACTCTGGAACTAGTAACCAGTGAATACAAAGACATATTTAGAAATTAAAACCCCTTTCAGGTACCAGCAAAGACATTTTTACAATATTGAACAATGTCACTTTGTTGTAGGCCAATGTGTCAATATTGAATTGAATAAATAAATGTTTTGCTGAGCATACAGAAAATATTTTCTTACAGGGGCCAATTTCAAGGCGCTGCTTAGCACAAAAATTTGCTTAGCACGAAAATAGGTTGTCTTATAAAAGTAGGTTACCAGCCAAAACTCCATGTGATTTTCATGCTAAGCAAATAACAGCTGAATACTTATCACGAACAATATACATGACAAGAAGTTTTGGCTGGTTAACTTACTTTTATAAGCCAGGCTATTTTTGTGCTAAGCAAATTTTTGTGCTTAGCAGCGCCGTGAAATTGGGCCCTGGTCTTCAGCCAAATATTCAAGCAATACATTTACCCGAACTGTTAGAATACTATCAAACAAATTTTGTGTCAACATTTAGACTTTGGACTTTTACCCAAACCCAGATTTGCAAATGTGCTATATACAGCTTTCAATTCAAATGTTACCGATACTGTAAAGATTGAAAAGATACATGTACCTGTAGGTGAAGTCTAGATTGTTCAATGTTTAACCCTTACTTCCTAGTGTCTTTTACTAAGGACTGGACCAAGTCCACCAAAATCTATCAATGACCCTGCGTTACATAATGCTTTAGGACCAAATCTGCTAAAATTTTTCAAATTTACGGTTGACAAAATATGGCCCATTTACAGTAGACAACTTGAGCTAATCTGTTATAGACTGGGGCATAGCATTCTGCTGCCTTACAAAAAAACACCATATTGATAAAAAGGAAAAAAAAGGGCAAACATACACTCCAATCATACGCTTACGAAACTATTGACTGGAAAAAACTAACAATTTCAAATGTCCCGTGCCGCGAATTTGTTGAACATCTCCCAAAATGTACTGAGAAAAATGAACTCTCTGTGGCAAACTCTTGGTGGCGCACTGCATTGTGAATCGCCTGAATTGGAACCATCAATGCTCTGAATCCAATATAATCCACACGAGGTTTTGCAATGTGGTGGATTCAGAAATGTATAACCAGCTACCGGTACTGTTACAAACATGGGGGCTGATGTCCCACTACTGCACAAATAGGCAACTGGTTTACTGAGCAGTGACGGGTTTTGGCATTACAAAGCGATAGAGCAAAAAATGCATGCAAGGGCTCAATTTCCAGGCCCTGCTAACCACAGAATTCTGTGCTTACAATTACCATTTTCTGCTTACCCTCCAGCAGAAAAAAATTGTGCTAACCATGTAAGCACAGAATCCTTAGTTACGGGATGTATGCATGCGCAGAAGCCAAAATTCTGTGAAATACATGTACCGGTACGCTTAAAGAGAACATAGAACATTTGTTTTTTCTGCAATTTTCAGAAATGGATGGATTTTGGGGGTTAGTATTTTATACCAAATATTGTTACACTGATTTGTTTGAAGTTTTGTGTTCCTAGATGCCGGAAAAAACAAGACAAACAATCATGTTTTTTAGTCTGGTTCCCTTAAATAGAAATGGAGCAATTTATAGACGTCGGGGAATTGTAAGGTTAGGGACCCAGTCTAGAACTTAAGGCTTGTACCCGTTCATATATGTGAAATTGATTGCAAACAAAATTCAGACTAACTAAATATGGTAATTTGGAGACGGTATTTGAAAAAAAGCCAGCTTCTTTCAAACGCTGGTCGGCCGGCCAGCGTTGGAAATTATGACACTTTTCTTGAAAATGTCAGCTTACAGGTGCCATGATTTTACAGGACGCTTTAGACTGCCATTCACTAACAGTCCAGTAAGGTGTTTCATTATAATTTGGTAGTTTTGTTTTTTGATGTTTGCAAATGTTGTAATTCCCTTTAACCGTAAGCACGGCATTTTCTGCTACAGTAAACAGGGATTTTTCGCTAACGGTAAGCAGAGCAATGAAAGTGGGCCCAGGTTACAACATAAACCCACCAATGCTCTAATAAATGAGGTAATAACTGAGGTAATAACTGAATGTCATGATGGAAAGAAAGGGAAGTAAATATCTCACCCGTAGGAGGGGTACAGCATGCAATGGCTGCTCAGCCATACAAACCAAGTCACTGCCAATACCTGTCAGGATCAGGAAGACACACCGGTGGACAAACGGGGTAAGGGAAGGGGAGAAATATCAACCACTACGAGAGGGATTTAGCCAAAAACTATCTAAAGAATGAAAGGTTTGTGAAAACACCATGTGGAAATAATTTCTCAAACTAAGAGAATGGTCCTGAAAAGAACCAGAGGTAATACCTCTGGTTCTTTTCAGAACCATTCTCTTAGTTTGAGAAATTTCTGAAACTAAGAGAATGGTTCTGAAAAGAACTAGAGGTAACCATTCTCTTAGTTTGAGAAATTTCTGAAACTAAGAGAATGGTTCTGAAAAGAACTAGAGGTTACCATTCTCTTAGTTTGAGAAATTACTCAAACTAAGAGAATGGTTCTGAAAAGAACTAGAGGTAACCATTCTCTTAGTTTGAGAAATTTCCCAAACTAAGAGAATGGTTCTGAAAAGAACTAGAGGTAACCATTCTCTTAGTTTGAGAAATTATTCCCACATGGTGTTTCCGCAAACCTTTCATTCAGTAGTATCTCCACATGCAAGGCCTAACATTTTACTTATCTAAAGCAATACATGGGTAGAGTCGGTAGACAAGGAGAGGAAATGGAATATGGTTCAGATCATCAAATTAGGAGTAAATTCAAGGGATATGGATCTGCAGAAAGAAACACAGATTGGAATGTTGTCCCTCTGCAACTTCCTATACTGCTAATACACATCATATCTATATGTAATAAGATCATGCCAAAAGACTATCTAAAGCCTAAGCACACAATGCACAGGTTACAAATAAAGGCAGATTTAGGCAGGATCTCTGGAATGCTTTGCCTCGGTATGCCTTGTGCTCACACAATAAAGTTAAAGGTTTGTGCATCAGATTTGTAGTTGTGCATATTTCCTCTGGCACGCGAATAAACTTGTGCACATATGCAATATGTCCTAAACATGGCGCTGTAGCTCACTGGCCATGTCTGCGATGAGTACAGATCGTGCACAAGAAACTGTATATTGTGCTGTGTAGCATGTGCACATACTACACAACAGGAACGTATATTGCACAACAGGAACATATATACTAGAGCAAGTTCCCATGAAAGTAGCTCTAAAGTGTCTTTCAAATGCAGTAATATATTTGTTAAGGCTGCAAAGGACATGATAATATATATGGAAGAGATTATAAATGTTTCAGTAACTCATTCTCATTTTGATAAAATAACAGGCAAACAACAGCAAATGACGGCTGCATGTTAGACTCAGGCATGCAACTGGGAATTTAGGAGAAAAAGAGGAAATTCCAAACCACACAAAACTTTGTAGGGTGTTTTTCAATTTGTAATACCTTATTTATGTGAAGTAAAAAAAGGGGAAAACAGTGGATCTGATGAAAAGTTGCATGCCTGTCGGCTTAATACTTTATTTGCTGTGTCTGCATCTTAACCCAATTTTGAGTTATACCACTTTTTCAGATATCAGCGAAGACGTGGGAGAGGATAACAATTGGAGCAAAATAGCACATGCCCATAAGAGTCAAATGTCCATGATTACACACACATCCTACCAGTAAGTTTGCAGTGCACTGTCTAAAGCCTGGCACACATCAGAGCTATCTGCTTCGCCAAAAGTCATTCGTGGCCGATGGCGTATGCAGATAACTCCCGTGTGCGGGCAGTTTTACCAAAGATTTTGGTCATTCGTGACGCTGCGCCAAATATCTAACGTGTTTTGATAATTCTAGTCACTCGTGCCCAAAGTCTTACCGTGTGCGGTGAACGAAAGCTATCTGCTTTCGGCTTGCGTGTTGAGCGCATGCGTGCTTCCTCCTCCCTTGTGGACATTTCCGATTCAGAGAAATCACTGGGCGCAGCCATTTTGCCTTCTTACGTCATATGACAGAAGCACACAGTTTTGGTCAAACTGACCGCACACAGTTTTGGTAAAACTGACCGCACACAGTTTTGGTAAAACTGACCACACACAGTTTTGGTAAAACTGACCGCACACGGGAGCTATCTGCTTACGCATTGGCCACGAATGACTTTTGGCGAAGCAGATACAAAATGTAGCTCTCGTGTGCGCCAGGCTTAAAGCCTTACCATTGTCAATCATTCTCTGCTTGGTAATCTTGTAGAGCTCCCTGTCAACTTCAAAGACCCCTGCTCCTGGGGTAACAATCACCACTACCTGACCAGTACGGTCAAAGTTGCGATTGATGTAATGCTTGTCAAAAACTGCCCAGGAAAACAAAAGATGAATGTAAACAGTTGTGTATCAACTCTCAAATCAATTTTTTTTATATTAATGGTAAATTGCTTGTTCTTCAACTCTGGGATGAATAAAATAGACAGGACTGACTTCACAGTTTAGACTTCGAGTCTCCAACAGCCAAAGGCTTACAATACTGAAGTTTTGTCTTCAGTCTCTTTGTCGTGGTCATTTTAATAAGTCTCTCTGTTGTGCTCATGCTTAGTTGTCTTGTCCACTGTTAGTCTGTTTATCTGTCTGTCTAGTGTGTGTTTCCCAATCTGTTTGTGTAAGTCTTTTCTAAGTCTCTTTGTCGTGGTCGTTTATTAGTCTCTTTATCGTGGTCGTCTCGCTGTTTGCTTTGATTGATGTGCTGTGTCTGTTTGTTTTTATCTGCCTGTTTTAGACAATTTAATTCATGTACACTTTTTTTTTACTTTCTTGTATAATTATAGATTGTTTGTTAAATTTTAACTGGTTTATTTGCATTTCTGTGAAGTGCCTTGAATGCTTGAGCATCAATTTTTGACGGATTTGGCGCTAAACAAGAATTAGTTATTAGTCATGTTAGTATTATTATGAAGCTGGGACCAGGGCCAAATGGCAAAGACCTGCTAAGCAGATACATCTTGCTCAGCTAATTTTTGAGTTCAGCAAAAATCAACTGAGAACCAGTCCCAATGTACAGGGTGAATAAAAAAACGCAGTTTTGAACATAAGGCCCCAAAAAAAAGTCTCCGGTTTCTGGTATGCGCGCCCATCGCCGTAGCCATGCGCGTCGGCAAAATGAAACAGGTTTTTTTTCAATGAAAGATGACGTCTCAAAACTGCCAAACTCACTGGTTTGACTGGAATCCTGCTGCTGCACAATTTTAACGTGTTTTTAGATTGGGTTATGGTCGAGAATAAGCTTTATGTGGCCTCTCTGGACTCCCATATATTTGCACTAAGTTTAGTCGGGCACCATTTGCAGTCATCAGCCGACATTTGAAGCAAAAAAATCAGGTAAAAAAAAAAAGCCGAGTCGCCGCACCGCTTTTTGGGCAAGCTCCATACCAGAAACCGGAGACTTTTTTTTTGGGCCTAAACACTGTTTTAAAGTTCGGTCCAAGGATCACAAAAAAAAACGAAAGTGTTCTTTCAGCAAAATGGGACAAACGCATGCATGCCTATGATAATTGTTTTCGTTTTGCTGAAAGAACACTTACCCTATTTTGTGATCCGTAGACAGAGCTTTAAAATGGTGGTTGTGTTCAAAACTCCGTAACTTGAAAAGTACTTGAGTGATTTGAACGGTTCATGTACTAAAAGAAAGCTTAATGACTGGATTTTTATATCCTAGATTTTAAAAGTGCTACCTGGGCAAAACTTCATTCATAAACTGGTCCTGCCACTTGGGTTTCTTCTTCTTTTTTTTTTTACTTAATCTGTACACATGGCATGGCGTGTTTTCACCAAGCAAATACATGCATCTTCCTTCCAAAGCAGATGTTTGTGTTTAGCAGTTCCATAAAACTGTCCCCTGAAGCTCAAGCCGTTCCTTAATAAATTGCCTTGAAGTGTCTAATGATAAGCAATAGCTACAGCATGCAACTAATGAACCTTAAAAGCCCGAGTCATATTTATAGCTCACAGAATGGCTTCAGGCAATTACTGAAATATAGCCGGGGCTTCTTAAAAGCTCTTTTAAATCAAGCAACAGGCAAATGTTAGGATGCTCAATTAATTCCAATTAAGGCACGCACAATTTCTTCTGCACTCCTCGTTAAATGTACATGCTTCATTAATAACTCAATATCAGTTTTGAGTTTTGTAAGTGCAAGATTTGCAAGATAGATTATCTTTTTTCCCCTTTTTTTAACAGCCCATCGTTAGTTCTTCACTGAAGAGTAGCATTTTGTTCAATCATGCACTCACCGTTCAGCGTTAGATTAAGAGCTTCTAGAAAATTGCCCTCGGCAGCATTGGAGATGTAGCCACTAGGACGCTGGCGCCCTTCTTGTGGGGAACCTGCCAAAACATAATGATTTAACTATCACAAACACAGCCGACGCCTGGAGTATTTGCATTCAAAATTAAAGAGAACATGTGCATTATACTTCCTTTGTAATATGTTTCTGCAAATATCTACCCAGCATCATCAATCGTTTTTACCTCTGCGACTCAAAATGTTCTAATTAGTTCGGGCTGACTGAAATTTATTAAAGGATGCTGATGATTGTTTTTATTTTGCATTGGAAAAAAAACAAGGTGATCCACGGTTCACATGTGTCGCCTTTGGTCGTGGTCGATCCCTATATGTTTGGTGTTCTTATTCTTGTACAAGCTGCTCATTTTCTGTTGAGGAAATGATTGGCTCCTGGAATGTATTTGTTTCTATGAAACAATAGCATTGTCACATCTTTTCCATCACGAGTTATGACCTCAATTGACCCCTGGATGACCTTTGACATGACATCGTCAAAACAACATCATCAGCCCTAAACCTTGTTAGTGAACACCCTTTCATCTGTCGAAGAAGTCAAATATTGTGCATTTTTAAACAATGACCTCAAATGACCCCTATATGACGTTTGACCTCCAATTTCGGAAAACCTATCATGAACCCCCACCCAAGGATCACTCATCCAAGCTACATTAAAATCCATCAAATTCTGTAGACAGAGAAATATTTGAAACATATTTGAACAATGACCTCTAATGACCCCTACATGACCTTTGACCTCAGTAATCCCATGAAGAATTGTGCCTTCTCACCCAAGGGTCACTGCATCCAAGTTTCATCAAAATCCATGGAAACATGAAGAAGTTATTCATTGTTTTTCCAAAAATTTAACCTAAACTTTAAAGCTATAGTCAATCATTTGCAGCCATCCGAAAAGTAACTGGCGTAATTATTGTTGAAAAACATACTTGGTTGAAAGAAAGTAAGGGGACTAAACTCCCTGTGAAATTATTCTTTCTGGCAAGCTGTCATTTTGAAGTAATCAATGAAAGAAGGCCTTTCCAACGGTGCGTCTTAAGACGCACCGTAGGAAAATTTAAATTAGTACATGTAGTTCCTTTTGTTATTTGGCGAAGCGCGCGCAAGCATTGGCACAATGCACACGCGCGCGCGGTTGCTATAATTCGTCGCATCAGTGCGCGACATCGCGTATTGCTGCAATCGGCTCAGTGAGAACGCGTCTTGGACACTGAATTCAGGCCCAATTCAAAACATGATTCAGCAACTTTTGATTTGAAATTGAGATCCTAGAATGCTGTTTTTCCCGGAATATATAGCTGAAGCTGAGCTGAAACTTCATCAGGTTAGTTGTTCAGTATCCTTCATTAGATTTTGAACACTTTTGTTGCTGCAAACGAACAAAATGCACAAATTACAAATGATGGACTATATCTTTAACATACCGGTACATCCGGGGATACGGTCATACAGGGATACAGAATTTAGGACTGGTAAGTGTTCCCCAAAACTTTGTTTTAGACGACACAAACATTGAATTCAATAGGCCAGGACCTAGCTCTACTGTGGCTATTTGAATGTTACTTTTTTACTGACTTTTTTCTTGACAATAATGTGACACAAAAGAACTCTTTTCACACAAAAAGTAACTCCAAAAGTTTGTTAACCTCTGCTTGTATAAATCTTTCCACTTCATTTTCCAAACCACAGAACTTTTTGAAAAACACTCCACAAAAAAAACAATGTGCATCAGACATGCTGTTTTTAAACCTAAGAACAGACCCTCATATTCAAGGTATTTGATGACACATTCCCATTATCAAATTTCTTTGGGATGCTGTTCAGGTATTTCTCCATGAATGCTTTTTATTTCCCTAAGAGGTTCAAAGTAAACGTAATACAGCAGTTTCACAACAGGTAATACTATTACAATAGCTCCTAGTGAATCTATGTGATGAAATCTATGAGGTACATGTACACTGAGTGTTCTATTCACTGTACAGGGACCGATTTCAGTTTTGGAAAGAGTATTAAACTCGTCCTAACAATGTCGTTGGGAGGGCACATCTTTTCAGGACAGTTTTTCTTAACTTTACATACATGTTCGGTAACAGGTTTTTTTTGTTTACTTTTGCCCCTCCGTGGGCACCCCTTGCTAATGAGATATTTTTTACTTAATTGTTATCCAAAATTTAAAATAACATACGATCGGTCTAAGGTCGTCTCATGATTACAAGCATAGATTTGTATATCGACTCAAAATCAGTGCATTGTCCTTCATTAAAGGCGAGTTTCAGCCTAGGCGTAAATTTTTGCCGCAGTTTCGAAGCTAATTTTAACGCAAGAAGAGCAAAACCACTGTAGAAACAGTTATGAAAAGATTTCTGACACACGGGTACCGGTAGTTTTAAAGGTATAGTCCATCATTTGTAATTTGTGCATTTTGTTCGTTTAAAGCAACAAAAGTGCTCAAAATCTAAAGAAGGGTACTAAACAACTAACCTGATGAAGTTTCAGCTCAACTTCAGCTGTATATTCCGAGAAAAACAGCATTCTAGGATCTCAATTTCAAATCAAAAGTTGCTGAATCATGTTTTGAATTGGGCCTGGATTCAGCGTCCGAGACACGTTCTCACTGAGCCGAATGCAGCTACGCGATGTCGCACACCGATCCGACAAATAATAGCAACCGCACGCGCGTGTGGGTCATGTCAACGCTTGCGCGCGCTTCGCCAAATAAAAAAAACTACTAACGGATATTTCCAACGGTGCTTCTTAAGACGCACCGTTGGAAAGGCCTTCTTTCGTTGATTTCTTCAAAGTGACAGCTTGCCAGAAAGAATAATTTCACAGGGAGTTTAGTTCCCTTACTATCTTTCAACCAAGTATGTTTTTCAACAATAATTACGCCAGTTACTTTTGGGATAGCTGCAAATGATGGACTCTGGCTTTAATAATAATTTATTTCTAACTTATAAAATTTAATTATAGGCCCACACCTACATAATAACATTCCGAGTTCTTGAAATAGAGGGATGAAACCGGGGAAAGACTCGGCCAGTCATAATTAAGGGTATTAATTTAATGGTATACTGTGACTATGTAATGCTATATAAGCAGACAATAATTATTTTCAGCCGAAACTTTATGTTCCATAAACGCGCGGGAAAATTGGTTTTGCGCATTTCTTATCAACGACAGTTTCCTTGAGCGGTAAAAACAAACATGAAACAGCCGTCAAATTGGCAATTTGGTTCTCGTCCAATAAATAACAATTCCCTTAACTGTATTTCTGTTATGTCTTCCTTAAGATTCGTTTAGCGATATCGGTCCTAGGATGCATCTCAGCTAGGATTGATCTTAGAGAGGAGACTCGTCTTAAGTCCTAAGATGAGTCGTAAGATAAGACGAGTTTTGTGAAATCGGCCCCAGGTTCCTAACCTCTTACAGCCAAGTCACACATTGAACAGGCAACTGACATTACATGTAAGGTCTTTTGCACAATCCAAAATCTGTGTCGGATCTGAGTCGAACCCGGAGATTTCTGGAACTGATTCCACACTAGCACAGGTCCAGCACTTTACACTGGAAAAATTCAGCCCTGCTTGGGACAAGGGTTAAGAAGCTCTACCCATGTAGAAAATCCAAAATCTATGGCTGCCCATGTACAAACTGGTCTAAGTGTGAATGACATGCCTTGTCATCCCATGTTTGAATCGAACTACATGTAGGTTCTGTGAAAAAGGCATTCTGAGGAAACTATATACACTGCAAGCTAAAGGAATCCTCAGAGGGAACAAACAACATTTTCCCAATACTTGACAGAAATTTCTCAAAAACATTTCAAACGAATCAAAAGTTAGATGTGCCTGACATTTTCTCACTCGGAGAGTTGTCTGTAAATTGCCTTACGTGGGCATGGCTCTTAGGGAATACTGCATGCTATCAGCCAGTTCAAATTGTGTTAAGTTTTGTATGGTTCCATTTAAAAGCCTCTGTAATGGTGCGGAAGCTAGGTCAATTTTACTAATGGAGTGTGCAAGTACTTGTAGTTTGAACAAGGCCAAAGTCAAACACCATGCATACATGGTAAGCATACATACATGCATGCATACATACATACACGCATACCTTTGATCTGGTACACGGTACCCTGTGGAGACATGTTAATAATAGGGAACAAAAGATTGTATATGTCTCCACAGGGCAATTTCTATAGGTGAATACGTCTCCACAAGGTCATAGATCTAGATTTCACTCAAAATCTAGGAATTTCCAAGGTATGTTGATCCGTCGCAAATTGAAGTATTTTATGTAAGGGATGTTAAGTCCGAATTTCAGCCCAGGAAATTAATTTTGGTTGAAATAGGGGCATATTGAAACTAGACTTTGAAACTCTAAAATTTTAGTACACAAATTCCAGTATGTGTGTACCTACGCATTGCTAATGTTTGTATGAGAGTGCTGCCAGTGTGGATGGATGGCAGAGAATATGGACCCAAAGACAATGCATGGTTGTTTTCCCATTTTAAAGGATAGAGGACATAGATGCACATATCACATACATTGTATGCATCAAAATCCTGGCCGTGTGATCACTTTACACTCTTGGGAAACCACAGTTATGGCCATAATATTGCGGCAACTATTGTTCAAACTAATCACCATGTATCACCTTGTATGTAGTGACTCTGGAGCTGTTGGCCATACTGGATGCAGTGTGATTTCAGCGTGACAAGCAACGGCGTCCAATCATCAAGCCGCTCATTTTGCACAATCACTCTGGAATTCCATGAAGATAAAGAATACTTTAGAAAAGAAAAATTACGATTTTTAATTTTAACCTTGGTCATTTTATTAGAGATAAATCAGTGAAATCAAAATATTCCTACAGAGCCAAAGTATGAAGCATTATTGGACAATGAAATTGATAACTTTATTTTTGTTTATATTGCATGAGGTATTGATTTACCTTTAAAAACAAGAAGTGTTTTTTTTTTCACTTCATATTTTTAAATTTTCAATGAAAAAAAAATATTTGCATTGCGGGGACACTAGTCAAACTGCTTTTCAATTTGGAAAACCTCACAGAAACTACAGTAACTGTACATGGTCCTTCGGAAATTTCAATTGTTTGAAAACTTATCACTGCCCTTTCACAACACATTTTGAAGCACTCAAAACAAGTTTTGGCTAAAATGTTCTTGACAAGTCTTTACATGTATGTTAAAGCTTTCTACTTATAAAAATGAAATGGCTTGATGATATTTAGGCTGTTTGGAAAGGTAAAATGATAAAAGTAAATTGAATGAGCTGAGTGGGCGTTGAGGATGAGCTATGCTGTACATGTGTCTCCATGGCATTATGATGTAAATTGTGACATTTATGCCTGAAGTTAAAATGCAGCTTGTCAAATCTAACTCATTCTTTATCATGCCTGAAGGGGCATTAGAATCTGAAGTGACGGGATAAAATCTGATCAAGACTACCTAACAAGTCAGGGTCTGGCAGTGATCCAAAAGTTGGGACAGAGAAATTGGAAACAGTACCGCAATAACAAATACTGTTTTTACATTTGGCCTCGTTTTCATAATTTTCCTTTGAGCACCCTGTCAGCATTTGGCTAAAACTGATGAGAAAAGTTTACTCTTTGATAGTCTGCAGTTTGAAGCATAACTTTTCAGCTGTCTTTTTTTTTACCCTAACTCCCTGGGCGTTCTGCTACAACTTCCCGAATCCACCCAAATTCAATTCTGCTCAGTAAACCAATGGCAAATTCTTCAGAGCTCTTCAGACATGTACATTCATAAGGGAATCATGACAACTTGATAAGTGTCTTAATTCCGTTGAGGAATCTTTCCTACATGTACATGATGAACCTTTCTGTAGGCACTTTAGACAGTACAAGAAGATAACAAGAGTTTCTCCAGAGGCAAGACTTTCCCTCTAAAAGAAAATTACAAAAAAAATTGAGATCTTCCGCACACCGGGGATTTGTCCACTTATTTCCCCACGGAACAGACAGCAACAATGCTAAACTAGGTAAAGCTTGGAGCTCTTTTCCCCTTGGCTTGCTAAATGAAATTTCTTCTTACCTGTAGAAGTCCTCATAGGTTCTCCCTTTGTAGTCAACATGCAAACATGCTCTCAGGTCTTCTGGGAACTGGTCTGAAAATGGAAGCAAATCTCTCAATTTCCATCCCACATGGAGCACAGTGCAGGACATACCGGTAGTTACAGAGGTTGTTGAATGCTGAAAGTCGTTTTGTTTTTTATATTTTTTTTATAGTAGAGTAGACCCATATATATCATAATGACAAAGTCCCATTCTTTTGTAATGTGCGTTTATATGTTTATAAAACTGAAATTCATCGAGTAATTTGTTGGTCGGCGAGCGCATAATTGAAATCAACAGTCGTCGAGTTCTTCATAAAATAAGAAAAATCGTGATGTACATTGTAAATAAGCAGGACTCGTTTATACTATGCTGCATCGCGAGTCCTGTTTATTACATGTGTACGTCACGATTTACTATGTTTTGTTTGCTGCCCCCAACGACGACTTTTACACAAATTGCACGTTCGGGTCGAAACAGACCTGAAAAACAGCTCTCAAAAGTACCTTTTTGTACTCATTTCATGACAGACACAATAGTCGTTTTTATTTCATCACACCTTAGGTAACATATACCCGAAAAATGACGGAAATGTCTTCGAGCATTCCACAACTTCTTTAAAGTAATGAAGATTCTATAAATATTTGGAGATCTTGAAACTGTACACAGACATTTGGTACAAATATGTCTTGAGCAAGAAAAAAACTCTATACAATATTGTATAAACACCTACGCGAAAGTTAAATCTCAATAACTGACCAACAACCAAAGACCCATTTACACAGCAAATCAAAAGGTGCTGGTGACCACAGCTTTCACAAATATAGAGCCGTGCCCTATCAGGGCTGGCAATGTTTTTTGTTTTTCTGAATTTTTTTTTTTTTAATCGGATTTATTTGATTTAAATCAGATTTTTTTGATTTAAATCAGATTTTTTTGATTTTTTTAACTTTCAAAATATTGATATGTCTAAATATGTGTCTAAATCTCCCCATGCACCCTCCCACCCATCACTAAAGAGTTTACAGGTTCCAATAATACCCATCATCCACAAAACTCAACAAATTGATAAATGCTTTTCAAAAAAATTGTATTGAATCAGTGATTTAAACAAATACTTGATTTCTTCTACATGTAGTCTACATCATTGGTTCAATAGTACATTAATACTTTAAAGGACACTTTAAAGGTGCATTACTTGAATGAAACAGCTGTATCACACGTTGTGTGTGGATATGAATGAAAACTTGATTTATGGTACCTGTACATGGTATACAAAAAAATACGACACTTCTCCATGGCCAAGTTGATTTCATAAAGGTGCTTCTAATTTCAAAACCGGAGGCACTGATCCTTGTGTAACTTAATGTTTGATTGATGGTCCAAGGTGGAGAACAGAAATCCGGCCTTCACCTTTAAAAGGTTTTATATAAATCTCAAGCTAAATTTGCAGGGAGAAACGTTAGGAATAAGACTTTTTTTAGGAATTGGGACTTTTAATACACCTTTTGATGGTTCATGTCAGCCTACACCAGCACAGTTGATTCACAATATTACTGTACACAGATCAAGGAATGATTAAAGCAAACATGAGTGTGCTCTCTTTAAAATTAAAAACTTTGAAGAAAAACTTTTAAACTCAGATCTTGACTTAATCAAAACAATGATTTTGTGTAATTATGCAAAACCTAAATTGAGTCAATGGTGGTGAAGTAGGGGTGTTTCAATGTGTTTTAACATCTTACACTTTGTAATTAAGTGGAATCAGTTGATTTAAATGATTAAAATGACCTTGATCAATTGATTTTGCCAAAAATAAGATTTTTACAAAAAAGTGATTTAAATCATTGATTTCTATTAAAAAAATCATTTGATTTAAATTGCGATTTAAATCAGTGATTTAAATCAACGTGATTTAAATCAGCCAACCCTGAAATATATCAAATACTTAAATGCTCAAACACCTTCATATTCAAACAGCTTTTTCAATTAGAATGATCAAAATGTAGAGGCTTGGTTTTATTATATGTCAAATGCGATATTTTTTCAGGACTCACTTTTGCTAGTTTAAATACAGGGTGAGTCAGAAAGGAAACCTAAATGTCAGGACCATTTTTTTTAATGAAGTTCTGCATGTAGCACTTTCAAAATCTAGGCCATGAAAGCCCAATTAATCAGCTTTCTTTTAGTACAAGAATCATTCAAATCAATCGTGTACTTTTCAAGTTACGGAATTTGAAACACAAAAACCCTTTTAATATTCTGTCCACAGATTACAAAAAAAGGTAAGTGTTCTTTCAGCAAAACGAAAACAATTCACATACATCTGAATTGTTTTCGTTTTGCTGAAAGAACACTAACCCGTGGAAGAAACTCAACCGGAAATTCAAATCTCGGCAGTTGCTGTTTAAATTGTTCATAAAGGTTCGCTCGATAATACTGCCACATCGGTGCGTCAATAGAGCAAGACACAAGTGTGTACAGTGCAGAGTTGTAATGACTCGAGTCAATGACTCGAATAGAGTCAGACTCAAGTCACAGTTTTTGGTGACTCGACTCGACTAATTCGCTGTTTCATCATTGGCTTTGGGCGATTTCTTATAAAGCTCTTGGATTTGAACGCTGGCTAAACTTATGGTCCCTTTTTATAAATTTTGGTATATAGTGTTAAAATATTCGTGACTCGAACTGACACGAGCTAAATATTTGACTCGACTCGACTCGACCTTTTGACCTAATGACTCGACTCGACTCGAGTCACTTCTTTAAAATGACTTGACTCGACTCGAGTCACTTCTTTAAAATGACTCGACTAGACTCCAGTCACAAAAATCAGTGACTCGTTACAACTCTGGTACAGTGAGCTTTACGGCTTTATGGTGTACATTGCAACTTTCACGAGTGACATAAATGTGAAACATGTTTTGTTTTCCCATGTAGCCTGGTTTTCGTTTTTAAAATCCTCCACAATGACATTCAAAACCTTTCTTTTTTATTGTCTGAGAAGTCACTTCGTAATTTGTAAAGTTGGTTGCGGGTACCTGATTCCATAATCTGGAACCGTTTCCTGACATTAACGGTCGGGTACTTGGGTACCTGGTTCCGATGTACAGCCCTAGTATCAATTCTAGTGCTGACTGGGTTTGTAACATGTACATACATCGAAGAACTTCTTCCTATCTCCTTTTTTTTCAGAATGCGCAATTGGCAATGAGCCAAGTCATCACATACAGTTTGACAGAATCTGCTTCAGGCTGGTTTTACTGTCATCCATCTGTTATTACAAGAGAGGCAAAATGTCTCTAACGGTATTTCTTACCTCCGGATTATGTTGCATGACCAGAGATGACAAACAAGGAACTGCACTTAATCCAAAAATGTTTTCATGACACAGAAACTCTCACCAGAATTGTGTTTGCATTTTTAAAATCCTCCACAAATGACATTCGAAACCTTTCTTTTTTATTGTCTGAGAAAGTCACTTCGTAATTTGTAAAGTTGGTTGCGGGTACCCGATTCCATAATCTGGAACAAGTTCCTGACACTATAACGGTTGGGTACTTTGGTACCTAGTTCCGATGTACAGCCCTGGTATCAATTCTAGTACTGACTGGGTTTGTTACATGTACATACATCGAAGAACTTCTTCCTATCTCCTTTTTTTTTCAGAATGCGCAATTGTATTGGCAATGAGCCAAGTCATCACATACAGTTTGGCAGAATCTGCTTCAGGCTGGTTTTACTGTCATCCATCTGTTATTACAAGAGAGGCAAAATGTCTCTAATGGTATTTCTTACCTCCGGATTATGTTGCATGACCAGAGATGACAAACAAGGAACTGCACTTAATCCAAAAATGTTTTCATGACACAGAAACTCTCAACTAGAATTGCGTTCTCAGTATTTTGCACGTTAAAAAAGTAATCCATTATATCCCTTCTTTCCTGGTTGGCTTAAAGCATTCAGTAATCCCATCAAACAATAATGTAAGAAATCTGAACCTAATAATACCTCAAGTAGTAAAAAAGAAAATGTCATTTTCAATCAGTACATATACATGTACAACTGAGGTACAAGTACATGTAAATGCCAGTAAACCATGTTCTGAGGAAACATGAGATTCAGAGCACTCTTGTAAACCATGTCCAGGGGCGGATTCAGGAATTTTCGCAGGGGGAGGGGGGGTTTCATCAGCAAAAAAATCTGAAAATGTACACAGGTTTTTTTCTCCAGACACTGGGGGAGGGGGGGGGGGGCTGGTACCATATTTCAATAGGGGGCGCTGTTCAAATTCGACGATTTTTAACACTAGATTACAGAATGGTGTACCGTATTTTGAACAGGCAGACATTATACCAGTATAATTTTTTGGGGGTGTCACTGGAAGGGGGGGGGGGTCGACTTATTTTTTAGGAATTTGTATGATAATTTTTTTTTTTTGGACAGAGCTTGGGGTTTTGGGTTTTTTTTTACCCCCAAACCCCCCTCTGGATCCGCGCCTGATGCCGAACGTGGTCTTACTTCAAGTCAAATGGCAGGGGTTTTTTTGTTGGTATTTCGATATATCCACACAGTGTCTACACATCAAATATACCACGGACAAACGTACATAAGTCTACAGGGGATGTGGAAATCAAATTTACAGTCTACAAATTCAATCAAAAAGAAGAATCATACCGGTATTTAGTGCACGTATGCATAAAACATGCCAGATAACATGGTGCAGTCCAAACATTTTCAGTGCTAATTCGATTATGCAATTTCAGGAAATCAAAATAAAGATGTTTTAACCAGTTCGCGTTGGACGACGTGTTAACACGATCTGGCTGTTCTTATACACCGGCACGGCTGACGGGTAAAAACGTCAAGCGTGCCTCGACTCACTTCCGGATGACGTCTAAACACGCTAATCCCCCATTTGTTTTGTACACAAACACAATGTCAGAGAAGTCTGTGGAGGCGGACCGTGTGTTGAACTTGAACAAGGCCGCTGTGCACGGCCTGTTGTGGTACAATTTACGCATGGGCACACCCCGGAGTGTTGAAAAATATGAGGTTGCAGTAAGGAATATTGTACAAATACATACATGTACATTAAAGTATTTGTGGGACTGGCTGTATATCAAAAGCTGGCTGCTATATTTTGCCGTTTTCAAAATCGATACTCCCGGCGCGAACTGGTCAAGCTATTAAAGATGGCAGTATAAATAGCACATAAGTCCGATAAAAACACTATAAAACACTACTCTTTCCTCAAATACACTGTTACCCCTAACATGCTTGCCTAACGATTTTACTTAAATACAGTACATGTATGTTCATAATCCAAAAGTGGACATCACTAAATCTTGGTGTGTGCACATAAGTTGGAACGTACATAGGCTTATTATACAAAATGCACACAATGTCAGGAACTTGGAAACTAAACAAATAATGTTTTGACTTGTGACCTCTCCATAAACCGAGTAAAAAATCAGGAAACCCAAATGGTTGCCCCTGTTTTGTAAAGAGGTTCTGCATGTAGCACTTTTCAGATCTATAGGATTGAAAGCCCATTTAATAAGCATGATTTTAGTAAAAGAATCATTCACGTCGCTCATGTACTTTTCTAGTTATGGACTTTTAATCACAAGCACAGTTTTATGTTGTCCACGGATCACTATAAAGGTACATGTAAGTGATATTTCAGCAAAACGAAAACAATTCACAAAGCAAAAAAACACTCTCTAACCATGATCATACATTTATCATAACCTTTATTTAAACACCTTCTGCTTCCAATGTTAAAACAACATGATTTAAAATATCAAGAGTTTGTAGTCTTGCCCTGCCTTCTACTTTGCTACCCGGAGCCTTATGGGATTATTCTGATATCATTTTCATGATACGACATGGTTTCATTTTACTGAAATATCACGTACCTTAAATGTGATCTGTGGACAAAATTTTAAAAGTGTGTTTGTGTCCAAAACTCTATAAGGCCAAAAAAAAATAATACTTCTGCTTCCGAGTACATGGCATTTGAAAATAGGGTAGGTAGGTAGGGAAATAATTTTTTTTGCAAATTTTTTTGTGTATGAACATATGGAGGCGTCTGCGTGTAGTCAAAGGTAAAAGGTAAAAATTGATGGTTTTTGGTGGTTTTTTCTCATTTTTCCCATAAAAAAATTAAGGTAGGGGCTGTCAGAATAGGGTAGGTACAGTAGGGAAGCTGGAAGCAGAACTATTTGTTTTTTGGCCAAACTCAAAAAGTACATGAGTGATTTGAATGATTCTTGTAATAAAGGAAAGCTTATTAATTGGGCTACCACATCCTAGATCTCAAAAGTGCGTTCATGTGGAACTTCTTTACAAATAGGGGGCGCCATTTGGGTTTCCTTTATTTTTTAATCACCCTGTATGTCAATCTTAAAATTAATGTGGCCTGACGTTGCGAACTTAGCAAGTTCTTCTTCAGAGGCTAAAACAGAAATGACAGAGGTACATGCATTAATATGGGGGTGCACACAAACGTATTTTTATCCTGGAGCAGTGCGGAGGATTTCGAGTATAATCTAGGCCTATATTTGTGCACGGCTGAGCATAAACAACACAAGGTCCGGCCCAAGACCTTGACACAGATCATCCTCCAAAATCAGCCACATATTTTTGCTATATACACTGTAGCCTCAATCCTGCAAAATCCTCTATTTTGCAAAGAGGATTTTGGAGGATTTGGAGGTTAATGATGTAAAGCTGTGCATGAGGTATATGGACAAACTTACCAAGTGTATCAGCGTAATAATAGATTCGAGAGAAGAGAAAAATGGTGACCTCGTTCACAGTGTTCTTCTCTTTCCAATGATTGAAAAGCTCAGCCACAAAACCGTTCACTGACTTCTCCCAAAGCAGATCACCTGAACACAGAGCATATAAATGTACAATGTATCAAATCATGAGACTGGAAATAATTCAACTAATAAATTATAAGTTGCTGTTATCTTGAAAAGTATTCACTGCAATCTATAGCTCCCATTCAGAGCTCACATTTCCGGTAAAAACCAACTCCACTTCAGGGATAGACGTGCAAAATTGTTCTTTACATGTAAGTACAACACATGTATTTTTGGAAGCTCTATGCAAAAAGAAATTCACACGTTGGTGAATCAATAATTCATACCTGACATTCAGAGATTGTTTTAAAGCCTGTTTAGAAAACACATATACATGTATTAAAAATAAACAAGAATCCTGGGGAACAATAAAGAGGGGTAACACTAGGCTTTGTTGCTCAATAATTAACTTGCCTGAAAATTTGATCATAAAAATCACTAGACCAAAACTTAAATCACTAAACTTGGTCCAATTTGTTGATATGGTTATCAGTGTACTTTGTACTAATTATTGAGGGGTCTACATACCGGTTCATCTAACTCTACAATAAAAAAAACTTCTGTCCTCAAAAATCTTCAATAGATTACAAATGTAACCAGGTATATTATCCAAACTAAAACTATCAATTGTAGTTGAGCGGCTTAATTGTAGTTAAGACACCCTCCATCCATTTTGAAACCACAATTTGTACTACTTTCCTTTTGTACATAATTTACAATAGGTTCGTTACCATGCATTTTTAATCACTATACTTTTCACCCTGTAAAGTAGGACTACTGTATGCCCAGAGCTTTCCCAAATGCAGCAAATTATACAATTTTTATCAAACGGAAATATTGTCTAAAACGACATGCATACATGTACCCGGCACATGTGCACATGTATGCAAACCATGTATTTTTTAAAACTAACTGTACGAGCATATTTCAAGCATTTCTAACCTATTTGCTTAAATATAGAAGGTTCAAAATGCTGACAATCAGTTCAGGCCATTCCACTAAACGACTTTGCAACCTCAAAGTTAAATGACAGAAATCACGCAACATTTTTATTTTTTGAGGAAATTTTAACTCAATTGTGCTAGCTCACAGGTACATTTAGACTTGGTTGGACTGATTAAATTTTTTTTAAGTACGTACCGGTATGCACACTGGATCCTATAACATCTTTTCATTTTTTGGATGAATTTCATATTTACAAATTCATAAACTTGTTGCCTCATATTGGCATGACTGACTTCATTTGACATTTAGTGAATCCCCTTTACCACATTTATAATGATTGAAACTTACTTAAAGAAAACTGTAGAGAAAATGAAAACATAATTCTTTGAAATTATACATACATGTATGAGCAAACTTGCATTTTCTCAGGCACAGAAATATTTTTTTAAATCTAATATTAAAACCACTGATGATACTGTATATATTCTAAACCAACATCAATGAAGCAATTAATTCTAGAACTTTGAGATTCCAAGTACTGTAACTACCATAGAGCTATATTAAATTACTAGAGCGCTAACTCCTCATTCTGCGCGCGGAGACGCTTTGAAGCCGTCCTGGGTGCAGACATTTTGATTTCATGTGCGTGTTTGTAGAACATAATGAAATTAGATGGATTGATTTTGAAAGTGTACTCTACATGCAACGCGCAAGTAGAACATACGCGAACAACTTAAGAGCGTCATTGACGGTTTAAAAAAACGTTATGGCAAAAAGCATCTGCAGCGAATACGCGCACGCGTTGAGCTGTTTGCGTAGAGCAAAATGACACGCTCATTTGCTGATCGTGCGTTTCGGTTTTGGGCGTATTGGCTTCGATAACGCACCGGTTTGGAATACAAATGCAGATATGCAAATAGCCGTACAAAATTTCTAGGTCTCCGTACATGTAGGTTTGTGCACAAACATGGATGCGCCCAGCAGGCATTACTTTGTACACGAAGTTAGCGCTTTAGTAATGTAATAATAGCTCTATGGTAATTACAGATATAATTACATTGTATTTTGTACATGTACATGCACAGATGACATTACTGAAGTTCAAGAACACACAATATCACATCCTCATCAAGTCAATGAAACTGATGAATCACAAAAAAAGAGGTTTTTTCACACAAAACCATGTACATGTAATACAAGTACATGTATGTATGTACATGTATACACATGTGCATTTTATAAGAAATTTTTAAATAAATATTATCGATTAAAGAAATTATTTGGAAATTTACAATGAAAAAAAAAACAGGAATGTAACAATGATGTGAGCTGTACTAACATTGTACAATATCCATTTGTAAATATCCACATTTCTGTGGGAATGTAGCAATGCCAAATTCATGACTCAATATCTAGAAGTGCTCAACTTGAGTATAAAGGATGACTTAGCTAAACAATGCTGAAACGTTACTTGAGCCTCAAGACCCCTGTTTTTGCAGCGTTTCCATGACAACTGATCAAACAGAAATGTTTTGCCAACCGGGAGATGCTAAAGAAAAAAATCCTTTCAGGGGATACAGAACTTTGTTGATTGTTGAGAAAAAAATCTGATGTCAGGCTTACAGTAAGCCCTTCCAGATGAAATTTCAGACCACTTCATTTTTGCGACAATTTCTTGCAAGTAGCTCTGGCTGGCTAATCTGACAATATCCTGTTTTCAAGAACAGAATTTTCTGCAGAAATATCTGAATGTACATTGTACACATGTATTTCAGGTGCAGCCTTTTTTTTCAAATTTGCTTCTGTTGCGACCAATTCTTCTATGTCAAAGAGAATTTTTTATTTAAAGGATTAAAATTTTGTAATGCAGTGGCTGATAGACGTACATGTATGTACATAGTATGTACATGTACATGGTTTCTTTTATACAGTAGGTAACAATTATTAAGCCCATAAAATATGGCTGTGTTTAAAGGGCAAGTAGCAACAAGTCACTCCTTCATTGTCTTAATTAAGATTTTAGACTTATCTAATTTGCTGCTTAAAGGGACACTAGGTCCTGGAACAGCCCCATTGGGCTACAAAACACACTTTGAACGAGATTATGTTAAACGGAAAGAACATTTAAAACTAGGATAGAAACATCCACACAACTACGTGTATCCTCTAAAAACTGGGCGTTTTTGTGTTATTCCTGTATTTTGCGTGAGAGCACGAATTTCGGGGTCCACTTTTGCCTTTGCGACCCCATAAATTCGAGCCGTTTGGATGCTAGTTGTGATTTATTTCGTATGCGTAAAGTGTTCGCCTTTGCGAACGTTGAAGAAACCCCACTTTTTTTTTGCATTGGTGATTGGTCACCGCTGTTCCCGAGACACACAACATGTATATCGTACACTGTAAGAGAACGACACGAAAAACGTATTTGTACTCCATCGTGTCCGATGTAAACAATCAGGTTTTTTTGTCTTTTCTCGGGAACGGTAAGACATTAGGTTGGTTTCCTTTCAACCACATGTTTGAAATAGGATAAGTAAAAAATCCACAACATGAAATTTTCGGGGATTTCAGGACCTAGTGTCCCTTTAATGTGGGCTGAATTTTTAGTGTCTATGTGTAACTGGATATAACTAGAAAAGAAAAATGGGCATACAATCATGACAATGTACAAAATTAAATTTTGCTTTTACAGAGATGACAAATTGACCAAAACCATCCCATCAGTCATGTAACTTGATACAACTATCAGGGACATCAGTGGATTCTGACATTTCTACCTGGCCTGAGGTACAAAGGAAAAGTATACACACATGAATGCTGCCAATGTGGCATTTACATCTTGAAAAAAACACTTAAATGCGGCAATTGACAGTAGGTGTACTGCTTCTGAATGTTGATTGGATTTAAAGGTATAGGGTATCATTTGTAATTTGTGCATTTTGTTCGTTTGAAGCAACAAAAGTGTTCAAAATCTAATGAAGGATACTGAACAACTAACCTGATGAAGTTTCAGCTCAGCTTCAGCTGTATATTCCGAGAAAAACAGCATTCTAGGATCTCAATTTCAAATCAAAAGTTGCTGAATCATGTTTTGAATTGGGCATGAATCCAGCGTACGAGACACGTTCTCACTGAGCCGATTGCAGCTACGCAATGTCGCGCACCGATCCGACGAATTATAACAACCGCGCGCGCGTGTGCGTCGTGCCAATGCTTGCGCGCGCTTCGCCGAATAACAAAACAAACTACTAATATAAATTTTCCTACGGTGCGTCTTAAGACGCACCGTTGGAAAGGCCTGCTTTCGTTGATTACTTCAAAATGACAGCTTGCCAGAAAGAATAATTTCACAGGGAGTTTAGTCCCCTTACTATCTTTCAACCAAGTATGTTTTTCAACAATAATTACGTCAGTTACTTTTCAGATTGCTGCAAATGATGGACTATAGCTTTAACTAGTCACAGTGCTTACTATGTGTGCCATCTTACTGTCAGTGACTAGCCGAAACAGGAAAAATGGATTGACTTTTTTGACTGTCTGTGGCTGGTCAAACAGAGGGTTGCAACAACATGATGTTCCGTACAGTATTAGGAAGCATAATATATACATGTATGGCAAAGATCAACCATTGCATGGTTTGTACAAAGAATGGTTTGCAATAATGAAAAACCAAACTTACTGTAAGCATCGTCGATATATCGATATTACTCGATTATTTGATATTGTTTTGATATCGATATCACCGATAGCAATTTTTTATCTATCGCAATATCAAAATTTTCGTTGAGGAATGATATCGACAACATAAAAAATGTGTCAGATTATTGTCAAAATATGTCTCCTGTTTGTGCTTTTACTTTGTATTTACATATAATGTTTGCTGTACATGAAATAAAACTTGGTGCTAAGTGGCGTTGTTTTGTGCTCTGTGTTTGCTGGAATTCGCAGTTTCCCCAATGTAAAACCTCAAAAGAAACCGCCCATTCTGGACAAACTCTCAGTGCTGAGAGTTGTTTTAAAGAGTTTGAACAATATTATTGCTCCAGAGAAAGCCGTGGAAAAGTGGGACTTCACGTTTTTGTTTTTTTAGGGTTGTTTAATCAAAGTGTCATCTTTACGGTCTTGTAACTTTTACATGGATAATCAATATATCGAATATTCTCGATAATGGATTTCCGTTATATCGATTATTGAAATTTCTGATATCGATGGCACTTAACTTACCGTTTGCATCAAACTCCCACATCTCTGAGCTCATCTGTATGAACATATAGACCATAGCTGTGGCGGATCGGAATGCTACACGGGTATCCTCAGACACAGCTCCACACATGACCTTCTCACCTCGAGCCCAGAGTTCATTGACCTGGGCCCGGATACCGGAGTACTCAACTTTCTTGGAGAGGTAGGCACAGGAACCAATCTGGAAAAGAACAATCACAACTGTTTCAGCATGTAATGTCCCGATCGTCCTAAAGCATATGTGGGCGAGACGAGCAGATCACTAGGCACAAGGTTCAAAGAACATTCCAACCTGAAGTTAGCCCCTTTAACAGCGGTTGGTGAACACATGCAAGATCACCAACACTCCATCAGCTTGGAAAATGTCCAAGTCATAACCAGGTAGGACCAGTTCTGGAAAAGGAAAATACGCGAAGCAATCGAAATCAGGACACAAAAGCCATCCCTTAACAGAGACACCAGATATGACCTGCCCGGCATCTACGACGACCTGCTGGTTTGTGATCGCCCAAAAGGTGGTCACATGACCGGAGTGGTTTAAGTCACTATGCTGAATGCAGATATTGTGATGACATCGAAAGCTACGTCGCTGCAATATTTCTGATTCCAAAAAGGTATCTAAATATTTCTCTTCACAACTGTTTGTTTTCCCAATGAAGATCGAACTGTTTCCTAACAATAAATCTGCACTTGTTTGTCGGAGGTTTATTGTTCTTAGCTGCGAGTAAAATCTTACCACAACTTAAAACTACATGATGATGATGTCGTATGCTATTTCCGAAAACTACATTGGTATCCTATATAATGCGGGTGGCACGGGTGGCTTATGCGTAAAGCACTCGCCTCTCACCAAGGTGACCACGGTCAGACACCTGGCTGCGGATCCTGGCCTGGCCGCGGATCACATGTGAGTAGAGTTGTACGTTGGTTCTCTCCTGTGCCACAAGGGTTTTTCTCCGGGCCCTCCGGTTTTCCTCCCTCCGGAAAAATCAAACACTTATCGATCTCAGGCTGTGCTCCGTGGTCATATATGGGTCGATGTGGCCAGCAGCCATAGGCGCCTTTACGTGCCAGCGGCCCGACCACGTTGTAGCCGCGTCCTTCGCAATTCAGCACACCGGCTGCCAGTAAGTATGATTAGCCTCCCAAATTATATTATAAATTATATTATATTATGTAATTTTTTTTTAAATTAAAAACAAATTGCATTGTTGTTGAGAACATTAGGGCCCACAATTTCCAAATGTCCACAATTTGGCGATCGTGTACAAAACATATGGGAGGTCTTCCTTAAAAGTTCAAGTACAAAACAAAGAGGGCCAATAGGGGTTTATGATTGAAGATGTTTACACACTTGTGTGTGTGGGTGCCCTGGCCTACAACAGCAATGTTCTGCTGTACCAAACATCTTTTAAGATCATATTCCACTTTAAGCTATAGTCCATCATTTGCAGCCATCCGAAATTAACTGGCGTAATTATTGTTGAAAAACATACTTGGTTGAAAGATAGCAAGGCGACTTAACTCCCTGTGAAATTATTCTTTCTGGCAAGCTGTCATTTTGAAGTAATCAACGAAAGAAGGCCTTTCCAACAGTGCGTCTTAAGACGCACCGTAGAAAAATTTGAATTAGTAGTTCGTTTTGTTATTCGGCAAAGCGCGCGCAAGCATTGGCACGACGCACACGCGGTTGCTATAATTCGTCGGATCAGTGTGCAACATCGCGTATAGCTGCAATCGGCTCAGTGAGAATGGGTCTCGGACGCTGAATTCAGGGCCAATTCAAAACATGATTCAGCAACTTTTGATTTGAAATTGAGATCCTAGGATGCTGTTTTTCTCGGAATATACAGCTGAAGCTGAGCTGAAACTTTATCAGGTTAGTTGTTCAGTATCCTTCATTAGATTTTGAACACTTTTGTTGCTTCAAACGAACAAAATGCACAAATTACAACTGATGGACTATATCTTTAACTGTACACACAGTTGTAAATTGACTTTACCAGGCTGTTCTTGAGTCTCCACATGTCACTTCTGCTGATGTATTGATCTTTAAAGACCAGCTCCACCAGGTCCAAACACACATCCTGGGTAGATGGGACTGGGTGCACCTCCACATCCTTGTAAGCACGTAGCTGAAAGAGACTGGCTATCGTCTGATCAACACTAATTATATCTGCAGGTTCAAAAGGAGTGGAATGTTAACATTTTAAGTTATTTCATATTTAGCCTTGGTCAAGGCGTTCGTCATTATTTGTCCATACGCGTTAAACGATCGGCGGCATATCCTCGCCATGCAGTGTGTAAAAATACAGCGCGAACAGCGACCTCATGCAGCCACTACCGGTATTTTAAATGCAATTCATCTGGATCCAGACAAGTGCCTTGGTCCAATCATCCATGTGAGGTTTTTGGGGTGGTGCTCATTATGCTAATAGCCTAAGCTGATCTTTAAAGTCAATTTCTTATTGGTCGATCGTTGCGTGGAAACTTGCATAGCGGTGAAAGTTCTTACGGCGATAACGTGTGACATGTACTGTACATAAAAAACACACACGTTGTTTGTCTCACATTACATACACACATCACCAACGCACAAAAAATGTGGTTTCTGACACGTCCGCAAAAGGCGAATAGCTGCAAATAATTTGATGACGTCAGGATTTACCAAGGCATGATTCGACACTCCACATATTAGCCCCGCCCACACTTATCTGTATTCGGATGCGAGGTCATGCGCTGGAAATCAAGCGAAAAAAAATTAAGAAAAACATCCATGTAAGCTTTCGCCTTTCATCAAGGCCCATCGTGGCTTCACTTGCCCGCATTCAAAGCGGCGAAACCGCGAAATGACTGGAGATGAATACCACGCACACGAGTGGCTTCTGACTCAATAATCTTTGCTCCAGTCGCTTCGGGTCTTCGCAACTCCGCCGCTCTAAGCCACGATGGCCTTGGCAAAAGGCTACCGACAATTGGACCCAGGCGTTTGTCTGGATCAAAATGACTTACATAAAATAGTGGCCGCATGAGGTCGCTTTTTGCGCTGTATTTTCAATGCACAGCATAGCGAGGATATACCGCCAATCCTTTTAATACACGTACGGACGAATAATGATGAACACCTTGACCAAGGCTATTTCATATTAAGATAAAAAGGAAGAAATGTGAAGAGAAGGAATTTCTCTTCATGTTTCACAATGGAAAGAAAGGTTTTGTTAATTCAGAAAGAAGTGCTTAGGGGATCCCAAGTGATTGGCAAGTCTGATCTTCTTTTCAATATTACAATTTGTTTCAACTTGTCCAGTTGAGCAGATTAATACTTCTGACATGAATAGTCTTTTATTGAAAAACAGACTGAATAAAACTACCTTTTCCTTTCTGCTGAAGGTCCGTCTGCAAAGATTTCACTTGCAGTAAGAGGTGGCTGGGGGGGGGGGGGGAAATGAAAATTTGACATCATCAGCATCGTCTGTTTGCCCAATTAAATAGGTAAAGTACATGTACGATAAAAAAAAACCAACAAACACATTACTATCTTGAAGGACCTGCAAGTTTTGGAGCGATGTGGTCCAATGGTTATGGTGTTCAACTCACGTGCTACTGTACGTGAGTTTGAACTTGACGGAGAACATAGTGATTGTGTTCTTTGGCAAGGCACTTTACTACAATTGCCTCTTATGTGTAAACAAATTTGATTTTATTTCCAGAAAAATTTCCAGTTACATGACCCAAACCTTGGGTACACCAGACCCAAACCATGACCACACCAGGTCTAAACTATGGGCACACAAGACCAAAATCATGGGCATACCAGACCCTAACTATGGACACACCAGGCCCAATCATTGGTACACCAGCATAACCAAGCCCTCACCATGGGCCACCAGGCTGGTTTCTTCATGACCACTGGAAAAGAGATGTTTTTATCTGACCTGTCAGTTTGATGCCTGCAGGTTGTTAGTGGGTATCTCAAAAGATGAATGTTAAGGGCTACAAGTGACATTTGATAAGCAGTTAGACAGAAAATTTCCAAACCATATGTTTGCCTCCAGAGTCCAGACACCACCATGTTATGCTGAAGATAACTGTTGTAAAGATATTAGAACTAATTGAAAACAGACTTAATAACAAACCAAACTTGTCAATGTAAAAGCTACCCAAGCCTCCATAGATGTACATGTATGTGTAGTACTGTGTGAAAAACCATGGCGAATTTGCCGATGAGTTAATGCTCTATCTACGGCCTGTTGACTCGAGGGTACATTTTCATTGGATGCTGGAAATTAGTTGTTACATACTGATTTTATGGATTTGTTTTTCCAAAAAGTTCTTGCTTGTGTTGCTTATAAATACAGGTAATTTCAATTGGAACCAGGCATTCATTGCCATAAAGAGCAGGAACCAGTATAACAAACAATGAAGAAGGGTGTTTCTTACTGTGCACATCCCAAACATCAACCCACCGTACATGTATGCCACCCTCTTAGATATGAAGAAAAATAACTCTACAAGCTTTCCATCAGAAGAAATTGAACATGTATGTACATTGTAGAATGTAACAAATATGAGTAGTCCTTAGATGCAGAACTCATAAATAAAAGGTGTGCTTCCCCATCAGAAAGGTTTTGTCTGTAGCCTGTATGCCAACAGAATGTTTCTCGTGAAAAAAAAAGGAATGTTTGGCAAAAAAAAAATATATACTCGGTCTCTGGTCAGCGCGCGCGTCAATTTTAATCATGCGCGTCAACCTTTTTTTTCCTTCAAATTAACACGGAAGCTACAACAACGCCCTTTATTACCGCACCTCCTCAAATTTTTGTACCAAGGAGCACCAAGGAATGGGGAAATTGCACCAAGGCAAATGATAAAGGGTACCAAGGCAAATTATGGAGGACACCAATGTATAATGAGGACACAAAAAAGCAAAATAATACCCACTTTGTCTGTACAATTCATGCTTGAAAAAAAAAAAAAGCCACCAAAAAACCCAAAAAAAACACGTCGCCGCATCAATTCCGGAACTTCGGTCTGACCAGAGACCAACTATTTGTTTTTGGCCTTACCAGCAGCAGTGGGGGAACACTTTTGAAAGTGGGAGGCTAAAGCACCACCAGTGCCTGCTGGCCATTGCAAATTTAAAAGGAGGGGGGGGGCTGGGCCAAACCTAATTATCAACCTAACAAGAGTAGGGGCCATGCCCTCCCAGTGGAAAAAGAGGGGGGGGGGGGGGGGATCAATGACCCCCGTCCCCCTTTTACAAGTAACACTAACCTGCTATCCTCATCAGGGTGAAATATCTCCAAAATGTCTCCAATTCGAACATGAGGAAATTCTTTTGGATTGATAACTAATTCATCTTCTGTATCAAACAAAAAGGAAATAACATAAAGAGTATAATAAATTTATGTTGCAGTCTAGACAAAATTATCATATCATGACTGTAATGATAGGTAAAACCGCTTTGTTTTTTAATAGGCTACCAAAAGAAGAGGTAACAATGATCCAACTATCAAAAATCTAAAGTTTTAAGGAGGCCGGGAGCCTGTAGCATACCGGGTGTTTGCCTATAATTCATATAGCCAACCAAAAACACAATGTCATTGCTGTTCAGTAACTTTCACTACTACATGTATGATAACCTCAGCTTTGGGGATATAGGGGGATACGAGGGGGTGAAATACGATGGGGGGGGGGGGATGGAGTGCCATCCCCATGCTAGGGGGGTCTGGGGTACGTCACCTTGGATGGAAAATTGGGCAATTGCGCTAGTATCGATCATGCAGCAATTAGTCGATTGTACTGTACGAGCAAAATGATAGTATGCCCATGCCTACAAGTGCGCACATGATAGCACATGCGGAAAGTCGGAATCTTTTGGTCTGGGAAACAGATTACCGCATAGGCTACAATGCGCACACTTGTATGCATGGGCATTGAAAAAACGACAGAATCCACCGATGTTTGTTGGGTGCAACTTACGTGATTATATGTCCAGAGGTTCATGTATAGTAGGCCCAGACAATGACGGAGTTTAGGGGCAAACTGTGCAGCGGTTCTGTGGGAAATGGCTGTGTGGTATCTTTTACCACTGCAAATCGACCACAGTCTAAAAGGATTCCGTTCGTAGCGATTCACACGCACAAACTAACGTTACAATTCACTGTATTTTATTCACTTTAACTACGTTAGTTTTAAGGTGCAAAAACACTACAGGAACATTCAACATCACATCTTCAAAAGTCAGTGAGGGGGCTTATAGGGGGGATATGGGGGGGGGTTCTGTGGGAAATGGCTGTGTTTTGATGAACGTTTTTGTACTTGCATGTAGTTGGTGTTTTGTAGAAGCAATCAATTTTGCAGGGTAAGCTGTCCATGGGGCTCTGCTCCGCGGAGCAGCCATAGTTCTAGGGGTAGGCAGGACGCTAAACATGTTTTTTTTAAGTTGCCAAAAGAAATTTTGGGGAAGATTCCCATACCTGGCCATCACTTGTCAACCTGTGCACAAACCCTATGGGACTGGTCTGAAAATTTGTAAGTGTTTTCTCAGCCAAAATTAATATTTTGTCCATGCTTATTTTGACTTTTTAGGATATTATCACTTTCTGATGGCTGATAGGTCATTTAAGGGAAAAATTACTGATGGCCAGATATATGGGAATCTTTCCAAATTTTGGATCAATTGACGAAAACTCTCTTGTTGACTCTAACTTCTAACTTCTAAGTTGACCAATTAACTAAAGAGGGCCCGTAACTACATAATCGCAAGTTGGTGGTTACTGTACTGGTCTGCACCCACTTTGTCTAATTTTGATTTTCACATTTAGGCTTAGTTTGTAGTTTATTTTTGCTTTAGAAGCATACTCACCCTCTTTATGGGCTAATCAGAAAGTGCTGCCTTTTTCAAATGTCTAATTTTTGCATACGCAAACGTGTGCAAACAAATCTGGAAATTTCACAAAAAATAGACATCTGAAAAAGGCAGCACTTTCTGATTAGTCTATAAAGTATAAAGAGGGTGTGTATGCTTCTAAAGCAAAAACAAACTACGACTAAGCCTTCATGTGAAAATCAAAATTAGACAAAGTTCGACATGTTTTTGTACATGGTGGAAGTGTGGCCTTTATTTACGGAGGTAGTCCAGTATTAATTGGCCACATTTATGGGGCTAGAGTTACTCAAGCTACACCCACCCTAGCCCCATAAATGTGGCCTATTTACTGGACTACCTCCGTAAACATAGGCCACACATCCACATGTACAAAAACGTGTCGCACTTTGCCAAATTTTGATTTTCACATTTAGGCTTAGTTTGTAGGGGTTTTTTGCTTTAGAAGCATACTCACCCTCTTTATACTTATAGGCTAATCAGAAAGTGCTGCCTTTTTCAGATGTCTAATTTTTGTGAAATTTCATGTTGAAATTTTGATACGCAAACGTGTGCAAACAAATCTGGAAATTTCACGAAAAATAGACATCTGAAAAAGGCAGCACTTTCTGATTAGTCTATAATTTTATAAAGAGGGTGAGTATGCTTCTAAAGCAAAAATAAACTACGACTAAGCCTTCATGTGAAAATCAAAATTAGACAAAGTTCGACATGTTTTTGTACATGGTGGAAGTGTGGCCTTTATTTACGGAGGTAGTCCAGTAAATTGGCCACATTTATGGGGCTAGAGTTACTCAAGCTACTAAACCCACCCGGCCTATTGGACGAAGTCTTCATTGCATTACGACTAACGTCCAGGACGAGAATTCTCTACATAAGACCACCCAAAATTTGGACCAGATTTTTGTTACGTTTTACCTCGTTACAGAAGCTTATTTCACGCCTACATTTTCTATGTGTCCTTACCTATTGGGCCGCTGGGTTCAGGAATTCCATATGTGATGCTGACCGACATTAATCAGGAAAATAAACTCTAAAGCAGCGTTAAACTTGTACGTGTTTGTAGTCTCTTTTCATCAGTTTATTCCCAGAGTCGTACGTCATGTACAATGTACGTGCGTACGAAAGCGCGCACGCACGCTAGCGCCCTCATTTGTTTAGTTTTGGTTGGAACCGTGTTGTCACTCCAGCCAACCGATGTCACGAAAACTCTCAACCAATGACCAAAGCCGAAACGTGTTTCTGGTAACTGGCGCGAAAACACGCTCGGTCATTGGATTAGCGACCGCGCCTTCAAGTAAGTGCGCGTGCGTATGAGGGTGGTTACTAAGCAAATCGCTCGTGCGCACTGCATATTCATGCTGCATAGTCTGGCCCCCGGACCAGACGTGATATGAGCGTCGAGAATAATTGTCCGGTCTAGGGAACCAGACTACACGCTGCACAGACGTACATCATGTACGACTAGAATAGACTCGGCGGTGAGAAACTGATGAAAAGAGTCTACAAACACGTACAAGTTTAACGTTGCTTTAGAGTTTATTTTCCTGATTAAGGTCGGTCAGCATCGCATATGGAATTTCTGAACCCAGCAGCCCAATAGATAAGGACACATACAATACTACGACGTAAAAATTGGCTTCTCCAACAAGGTAAAAATATTGAAAATATCGGTCATAAATTTTTTCGCCCGGTTTTGAGCACTTCATATCCTGGACTCTCTCCGTTACGTAGGGAGGAAAGGGAATCCACCTGGGCTACCACCCGGCCCTGCACACACAAACTGATTGAACCTTTTGAAGCCAGGCTAAACACTGTAACAGTTCATTTCTACTCACCGCTAAAACCCTTTTGGTGCACCCATAGCTTGCAGAGCTTCATCCCGCTTCAAATGAGCCCCTCTATGGCTCAGTAGCACTTGTGGAATGAGTGATATACTGAACGATTCTGTCCTGCAGAACCCGAAAGTGTACCCACCCCCATGGGCGCAGCCATACTTGACGTCGTTCGGATATTTTTGGGGAGGCAACGGACTGATATAATTTTATGTACTTTAAAAGATATCCGAAATTTAAATAGATAGCGTTTGTCTAGTACCCAGAATCGGTGTTATCTTTTACCACTGAAAATCGTCCACAGTCTAAAAGCATTCCGTTCGTAGCGATTCACACGTACAAACTAACGTTACAAATTCACTGTATTTTATTCACTTTGACTGCGTTAGTTTTAAGGCGCAAAAACTCTACAGAAATGACTAGTTTACTTCAAAAGTCAGTGAGGGGGCTTTTTTGTACAAACTTGGCAATAAAGTCGAAAATAAAAGGTAAGGTGGTGGAAAGAATGATGTCACCTTCTTGTGTGTACAAAGTCAATGGAGAGTTAGCCCAGGTTCGAATCCTCCGTTGTGTACACGCAACGGAGTCCAGGGTATGAACGTCAGCTGCCATGGGCATAGTGAAAAAAATTATAAAACATTTTTTTCATATTTTTACCTGATGGGGGAAGCTGAAATTTCGTTGACATATTCCTTGTGTCCAGAATTGTGCATACGCTGGGTTTATAAAGGGAATATACAACATTTGCAAACATCGAAAAATAAAACTACCAAGTTTTTACGAAATACCTTACTAGGATGTTGGTAAATGACAGTCTAAAGCATCCTGTAAAATTATGGCACCTGGTGTGAAGTCATTTTCAAGAAAATGGTATTTTTGTATACGTTTCCAGCGGTGGTCGGCCGACCACCGTTGGAAAAACCTAATTTTTTTTGCAACTACTGTTCCAAATTTACCATTTTTTATTCAGTCCAAATTTTGTTTGCTTTTGGTTACATATTCATGAATGGGTGTAGGCCAGCTAGACTTGTTCCTTACCTCACAATTTTCCGGCATCTGGAAATTGATCCATTTTATCTTTAGTGGAGTCAGGGAACCAGACTACTTGAACATTTTTGTTTTTCTTGGTTTTTCAAGCATTGTCGAACAAAAAACTTCAAACGTGTCAGTGTAACAAAATTTGATCTATTATACTAACCCCTCAAATAGTTCATTTCTAAAAAATTACAGCAAAAGCCAATGATGTACATTCCCTTTAAGAAAAGGCAAATAGGCCTATGTCCATGGGTGGCGTGTTTACCGAAAATAAACCGCAATTCCATGCTTTCGTTGAAAACATTTTCAGTACGAACTCCCCGTGCGAACTCCCCGTGCAGGCACACCTACATGTACATGTAGGATGCTGCCGTCACAGCAGCAAACGGCACGTGCGTGTATGTCTTCACGCGGGGAGTTCGTACTGAAAATGTTTTCAACAAAAGCGTAGAACTTGCGGTTTATTTTCGGTAAACACGCCGCCCACGAACATATTTGTCTTTTCTGAACCCAGTGTATGCACAATTCTGGACACAAGGAATATGTTAACGAAATTTCAGCTTCCTCCATCAGGTAAAAATATAAATATAACTTAAAATAAGAATATTCTTCTTTATTATTTTAAATTGACTCCCAGTTGATCGTCCCCAGAATCCGGCCCCCCCCCCCTCCCCCTCAACTTTTTCTGCGATAGCCTTTTTAAATAAAAAAACGAGGTGTTCTGACTGTTTAGCCTCAAGCCTTGCGCTAGTAGTAGCCTTGCACATCTTTTGATACCAAAAATATAAAAATCGGGCCACGGGTTGCCGGCGATGATCATAATAACCCGGCCCTTGTTTTTTAGGGTTAGCTGCCAATGAAAAATTACATGCAAATGAATAGATGATGTCATCACCTGAAACCGACCCACACCTTTAGGCCAAAAAAAAGAAGTCTCCGGTTTCTGGTATGGAGCTTGCCCAAAAAGTGGTGCGGCGACGCGGCTTTTCTTTTTTTTTTACCTGATTTTTTTGCTTCAAATGTCGGCTGATGACTGCAAATGGTGCCCGACTAAACTTAGTGCAAATATATGGGAGTCCAGAGAGGCCACATAAAGCTTATTCTCGACCATAACCCAATCTAAAAACACGTTAAAATTGTGCAGCAGCAGGATTCCAGTCAAACCAGTGAGTTTGGCGGTTTTGAGACATCATCTTTTATTGAAAAAAAAACTTTTTCATTTTGCCGACGCGCATGGCTACGGCGACTTTTTTTTTTTGGCCTTAGCAGACGGGTAATAATATGGCACAATTTGTAAATTTGTTCATTTTCAGGTTTTCTGCATGAAGCAAGCAAAGCAGTATTTATTCCTACAGCCTCATTGAAGGATCTGAAGCCAATTGAGACATTTGAACGTGAGTTCCTGAATTACTGGTTTTGAGCCACATGTACATGGAAAATAAATGGAACGATTGTTTGTTTGGCATTGTTCATTATCCCTCGCATCTCCTTGCCAATATTACTCCTTCTCGTATCTCACATAATTTATTATAACACCTAATACCTACAGATTCTGTATCTTAATTGGCCGAGAGCAAGTCACATGGCATTTGCTATTTTTGCAATCTTGTTGTGCTTGGCCAAAAGAATGTGGCCTATGTTTTTCCCCCCTTCAATATGAGTTTATATAATCTTTCTTCAGATGTGACGATACCTGAGAGACCCAAGCTGAAGTTCTACAACAAAGTCCCTAAGAGGACACGCTACAAGAAAGTCTTCAAACGGCTGATTCAGATCAGGGGCCCCTCGGAGGTTGCAAATAAACTCAAGCTGGGACAGTATGGCATTGTGGTAAGAGCGCTCAAACATTCATCCAGTGTCATTTAAGCTATTTTTCATTCTTTCTTTTTTCTTTTTTATCACTGCAGGATTTGTATTTCTTACAAATGCAATGAACCCCAGATCCAAAGCACAGTGCAATTCATTGAGACCAGTGTCCATGAAAACCTGATGTTTTTCCACGTGTCTAACTAATCTTTAAAGGGAAAATACAACATTTGCAAACATCAAAAAATAAAACTACCAAATCATTTTGAAATACCTTGCTGGACTGTTAGTGAATGACAGTGTAAAGCATCCTGTAAAATCATGGCACCTGGTATACTGTCATTTTCAAGAAAAGTGGTATTTTTGTATCAGTTTCCAACGCTGATCGGCCGACCAGCGTTGGAAAAAACTGGCTTTTTTTTCAAATACTGGCCCCAGTTGACCATCGCACTTGTTTGCAATCGATTACACACCTATGAACGGGTACAAGCCAGCTAGACTGGTTCCCTGACCTTACAATTCCCCAATGTATGTAAACTGCTCTGTTTCTTCTAAAATGGAGTCAGGGAACCAGACTACAGGAAAATGATTGTTTTTCTTGGTTTTTGTAGCATTTTCGAACCCAAAGCCTCAAAAAAGTCAGTGTAACTATATTTTCTATATATTTCCAACCCCCCAATTCCATCCATTTCTGAAAATTACAGCAAAAGCAAATGATGTATATTCCCTTTAAGGGTGCAGTGAACTAATTCAAGTGAGAATTTCTACGCGAGCTGATTAGCATAAAAAGTGACCCCACAGTTTCTTTTGAAAACGGAGACCGTTTGGCTTTAAAAACGTTGGAATTGTGTTAATGTAGCCAAGGATCAACTCCCTGGTTTTTGGGCTTCCATCTGAGGGCAGGCTTGATAAAATTACGGTTGAAAAATGGGTCCTATTTGCCTGAGAAAGTGGAAGGATGCCACTTGTAAAATGGCTACATGCAGGGTCGGGAACTATCACTTTTCGGGAGGTGATTTTGTTTTGGTGTGAATATTTAAAAATGTAATCCGCTAATCTACCCAAAATTGAAAAGAAATGAAAAGATGAAGTACAAGACAATAATTAAATTTTTGTTTGAGAAACCCCAGTGATGTCGGCTTGCATTTTATTTGGCCCTGAACTTTGTTGATTTTACACTGTTTTCAATGGGGCTTGAATTGGTTCAGTGCACCCTTAAAAAATATTCTGGCCTACATGTACTTGTAGCTTAGATACTAGACTGAGGTGCCTTGCTGTGTGCTTTGATATGAAGCCCAGGAAGGGACAGGGTGGCAATGCGTTTGGCTGTTAGCTCGAACCCCCCACCCTTCAAACAGGGCGCTGGGATACGCTGATGGGCTTCACAGAATCATGGAAGGAAGCGGGGATGGCATTCTGGGTAAATCATGACCTATGTATAAAGCATCTGGCTGCAGCTGTTTAAGACCGCAGTTAGCCCATGCGCGCAAATGCTATTCGAAATCTTTCTCATAGAAACGCACGCATTCTATATACCGGATGTGATTTCTTTTTCATTGTGGATCATGTGTTCAAATTTTGAGCGTTGCATAAATAATGCAATTTGACCCTTCGTGAATTCGAAACGGAGCCTGAGCAAGTGACGGGAATTGAAAATTTACAAAACAGATAAGTTTTACAGATTTTCCTATTATTGTTAAGCTTTTCAACGAAAAAAAAGCATTGATGAATGGGAATAAAATAGTGATGGCTCAATCTTAACGGTCGTTTCAAACCTTGCAGGGTCGTGGCTGTGATGACTTTAAGGTCACAGGTCACGTAAAATCTATCCAATCAGAGCGTGAATTCATCAGCGTATCCCAGCGTCCTGTTTGCCTAGAAAGCCCGATCTTGCCAGTTTTGTATTTTTTAATTCATTGCAAAATAATGCAAATACTTTTGTGAACAAACATCCAGGATGTTCAGTTTGGCCTTAATTGTATGCAGGAATTGTCAACTTGTTAACTTTTCTCTGGAAGTGCCAATCCAATATCGCATTTTGTCCATTGCGCTCAGTTTATTTTTGCATGGTTCAGGGCCCAATTTCATAGCACTGCTTAGCAGTAAGCAGAAAAGTTGTGCTTACTATAGCATAAAATCATGCTGCTGCTTAAGCACTATTTCATGCTAACGGTTGGGCGCGCATGGAGATTACTATTGTTACGTCACTGGTTTAAGCAAAGTTTCTTCTGGTGTTAAGCATGCTTTTGCTGTGCTTACTGCTCAATGGTCCCTATGAAATAGATGGAGGCTCGGTAAGCACAAAGTCGGCTGTTAAGCAGTGCTATGAAATTGGGCCCAGATTGGAAAGGGGCAGGGGTTGCGGACAACAACACGGCTGTTTGATCTTGTTAATTTTTCAGAATGTAATCTTCCGAAAACATAGATATTGAATAGGATGAATAGTGGAAACTTCTGTCATGTATTATTTTTTGGGGGGGGGGGGGAGGCCAGATTTTAAGGCATTTGATATCTTTTGATGGCACTCATTAACCCTAACCAAACTCAACCCATCAAAGCCCAACAGCAGGTTTTGTTGAAATCTGTTGGGATAGGTACAGTACCCCTAAACTGATGGTCTTTTACATTGGGGTTGGCATACCTCCAGAAACTAAGTCCAACAGTGTGTGTGTACAATTTCCCATGTGGGTGTTGGAATTTGCCAGGATGGGTATGGTTCCTAGTAAATTATGCTAGAGGGAGTTTGGGTTAATGGGTGTTTTTAAACACAGCAGCCGCAAAATGGGCATAAACCATGAATACGCGCTGAAAGAGAAAACTTAAATTTCCCCCCCCCCCCAACTATTAGTGGTGTGATTACATGTATGAGCAGTTAACCCAGTTAGAAGAATCCAATGTCTTTGTTGGTAGAATGTGAATAATCACTGCATCTCACATTACAATGTAACGATGCAGGGGAAGTGATAATGATTGATGATTTTAGGTAAATGTGAAGATGTTCAATATAGCACCACGGTGAAGGAAACTACTACATTTTGTAATTTTAAATGAATAATAAGAACATATGAAACATCCAAATTTTACAGGTTTTTCTCGCCGGTTTCACCCCCTTCCCTAAAAAAAAAATCATTTATAACCAGTCTATTCAATTTCATTTAGAAATAAAAATGTTTTAGATCAAGAATCAATTCCAGAAACCATATTTTGATCTGAATTACAAAAATGCTTTGTTGAAAGCCTGTTAAAGAAACTGAGCTTTTTTTTTTTTAAGTTTGGCCAAAAACTGTAATTTTCACTCTTCATGTATTTTTAAAGACACACTCCTATGGAAGGGGGAGGGCACTAGGCAAGGGTGGATTTAATGGGATTATTTGTGAGGTTAAGCCCCATCTTCCATCTGAACAATTATTTTGTCATTTTGTTAAGATGTTAGCCTGAAAAAATCCCAATACACTGGGAGATTACTGAAATAAAGTTTGTCACACGTACAATTTCAGTTCGTTGTTTTAGCCCCTTAGTCCCTCTTAATTATCCCTGTGTTGACTTCAACACCTTCCGCCAATCCCCTTTAATTAATTAAAAATCCGTCGCTAAAATGCTTTCGCTAGGTTTTTCTGGCCAATTTCGCAAAGTGTTTGTTTGCTTCTGCAGATCAGTCACTCAACATCTGAAGTTGAATGCACGTCTTCAATTCTGTTTCAATTCAACAAAAATTTAATTTGTTTACATTTTGTAGTGTTCAGTGGCATGGGGGAGGAGGTAATTTACCCCCGATCCTTTTTCCAGGAGTGCCCTTTTTTTCATGAGTGCCCTTTTTTTATGAGTGCCCTTTGTTGCGCGTGAACGTCAGCAGCATTGTGCTGTAATGGAGAGCGCCACCTATTGTGCAATAGTGTCCATATTCGTGCCCTTTGAAAAGCTCCCCCATAGGAAGATGATGTCCGGCTCTCCCACCCCATCCCCATTACACTAAAAGTGAAACAGAATGGTTGATCGTCACATTTCGCCTCCTGAACGCTTTAAAAAAAAGTGTATAAATTAATCCAATTTGACTTAAATGAAACGTTCTGCACAAACATTTTAACTGATTGAACTGAAACGGAATCAAATGCTCTTGTAGCAAAAAAATGAAACAACTGTTCCGAACGATTCTCAAAATCTTGGGGGAATTGAATAATCATCGTATCCTAATGAATGGACACTTTGCGAAAAATGGCCGAGAAAATCTAAAATGCACAAGTGAGAATTTTGCGGTAGAAGGTCAATAAAGGTTCAATAAACGGACACATACATTCCTTCAATTATTCACGAAAAAAGACTATAGTGTTATGTTGCAATAGTACATTGCATTTACTGTTTCGTTACTTTTCTTTTTTTAACTTACTAAACCTGGCACAATCAGGTTTTTCATAGCAAGTCATTGGAATGAACTAGTACCCCTTAGTCATGGGAACGAATTATAAATTCTGTAAATGATCTACAAAATCGTGCGAAGGAATGAGTAAATCGTGGGAACAAATGAGGAAATGGTGCAAACAAATTAGTGTCCGTGCAAACGATTTGGCTAAATCGAGCAAACGAATTAGTGAATGATGGGAACAATTTAGTAAATTATTGGTACGAATTAGCAAATTATGCGTATGAATTAGTAAATCGTGCGAACAATTTAGTAAATTGGCGAAGGAATTGCTAAATCGTGGGAAGGAATTAGTAAATCGGGGGAACGAATTAGTAAATAATGCGATTTAATTAGTAAATGGTGCGAACGAGTAAGCAGTGGCCAAAAAAGTCCCCTTCCCAGGCTTCATACCTTGATGAGCATTTGATGAACTTTTGATGCTTTGAAATGTATTTTTAAAAATGGGAAAAAACAGGGAAGCTCAAGCCAATGTAAGCAATACAAGATTTGACTGTAAAGAGAACTTCTGAAGTAGAATCACTAGATAGTTACCTGTAGATGTACATCCTATCAAGAGGTGAAATGGCCAGTTCTTTAGTGATCCGACTCGTAAAGTTAAACCCTGTTTTGAAATTTTGGTGTGAAGTTAGCGTTACAATATTTTGTAAAGGTTTTTAAGCTAGTTAAGGAATCGCATCAATTGACAATTTTCATTCATGTACATCCCACAGGCTAGAAGTGGCGGTTATTTACACCACGGCCATTTTGAGATGATGCGCTTGACCGTCAACCGCGCCCTGGATTCCAGCCGCATGTATGCCAGATGGAGGGTGGAACCACCCATTAAACCAATCACCAAAAAGGGGCAGGGCCAACGGATGGGGGGAGGAAAAGGTAAGAACGCAGTACTCATGGTCGATCCTGTTACCTGTCACCAAAAGCATTAGGAATTAGTAGTGCAGGTTCTTGCATTCTCCCCCTCAACCCCACTCCAAAAAATGGGTTGAAGAACTGTGAATTTCTGAACTCTCAGTTTTCTTGAATGTCATTCACAAAATGAGCAAATTATAGTGTACATTTTTTTGTGTCACCTAAAATAGGGGGATGTGCATTTACGGGTATTCCAGAACCGGGTACCCGATTGAAAGAAACAAGGGTACCCGTGTACCCGTGAAAGAAACCCAACCTGAAATTCAAATCTTGGGAGTTGCTGTTTAGATTGTTCATAAAGGTCCACTCGATAATACTGTTACAAATTAGCGCACCAATGCAGCAAGACACAAGTGTGTACCGTACAATGAGCTTTACAGCTTTACAGTGTACATTGCAACTTTTACGAGTGACATAAATGTGAAATATATGCTTTGTTTTCCCATGTAGCCTGGTTTTCATTTTTAAAATCCTCCACAAATGACACTCTAAACCTTTCCTTTTTTCTTGTCAGAGAAGTTACTTAGTAATTTGTTAAGTTGGTTGCGGGTATCCGATTCCATAATCTGGAACCGGTTCCTGGCATCAGCGGTCGGGTTCTCGGGTACCCGTTTCCGATGCACAGCCCTAACCTAAACAAAGGTTTGGGAGACACTAACCAGTCCTAAATTCTGTATGACTGTATGTACAGGGTGAGTCCAAAAAACAGAACCCAAACCCCAAAAATTATATTTCATATTAAAAAAAATATGTAGCACCAAACATAATAATAACTGGAAAGCCAATTTCATAAGCTACTTTTAGATAAAAAAATACTGAAATTGCTCAATCCATTCAAAGAATATCACCATTTAAACACAATGACCCGAAAACCTGTTTCGTCCAAAAATACGATTTCAAGAATTGTCGTCACAATTGTTTTCAATCATCACCATCGATAAAACCTCAGTTTAAAAGTTAAAAATATTCAACAAAGTCCTTTTTAATAAAGGCCCGTCTTTAAAAAAAAAGTGGATTTTATAAATCATATTGTTTGCCTGACGAGGGTTGTTAATAAAGGTATTGTGTACTACAGTTGGTGACAGTTGTTGAAACAAGTTTTCTGTGTCATTTTCTTTGTTGTTCCAAACAGTCAGAATACACAATAAACTGCTTTTTTTGGACGAAACATGTTTTAGGGTCCTCGCATTTAAATGGTGATATTCTTTGAACGGATTGAGCAATTTCAGTATTTTTGTCATCTAAAAATAGCTTATGAAATTGGCTTCCAGTCATTATTATGTTTGCTGCTACATATTTTTTTAAATATGAAATATATTTTTGGGGTTTGGGTTTACGCTTTTTTTTACTCACCCTGTATGTTAAAGTTTTTGGAATGGCTCTCATTACCTAAATATTTGCCCGTATTCCATAAAACTTGGACACAATGGTCATTGAGTAGCAAAGATAATGTGGGATATATTTCAGGTAAAAGGTCATACATGTAGATCACCTGAGGTTAATAATGATCAGGGGTGTGAAATCTCAGCTTTAAAGCTGGTTTCAGCTTTTTTTGTTTTGGATTTCAGCTTTTTTCCCTCACTTGCTGTGTACAAAAGTACATGTACATGTATAGGAGATTACCAAAGTTCAGCTTTTTTTAAACACTTCAGCTGTTTTCAGCTATTTTTATCAGTGGTCACTCACACCCCTGAATGATGTAATTCACATTTTTTGGGGGAAACTTTACAGCATTGTACTTGTGCTTTCATGGATTTTGATAAAACTTGGATGCAGTGATCCTTGGGTGGGAAGACACAATTCTTCAATGGATTAGTGAGGTCAATTAAGGGGTCATTAGAGGTCATTGTTCAAATATGTTTCTTTGTCTACAGAATTTGATGGCTTTTAATGTGACTTACACGGAGTGATCCTTGAGTAGGGGTTTATCACAACTCTTTTGAAATTGAACACAGAACAACCGCGGAAAAGGCGATACATGCGATACCGAATCACTTGTATAGATTCTTATATCAGAAATATATGGGCATATGTTTGGGAGAACTTCTAATTATTTTATCGATGATTACAGAAGTTGTGGAAATTGACATGATGCTTTCGTCTCCAAATACAAGTCCAACACCCCACACGAGACACTTACATGTAAGACTTATTCAGTTTATCTTGACCCACAAACATGTACATTTACAATGTAACACTTCTCAAAGTTGCTTTGTATAACTAGCTATATTTAAAACTAAAACAGGTCCAACAACTCATTAATTCTAAAACAAGTAGGCCCTATCAAATGCTTGAAAATTATTATAAGTGTTTGTTGGTCAGATACACAGAACACGCCATGCCTGAAGCAATGAAACACATTAGAAATTCTTTGTCTTGAATCCAATTGTCAATAAATAAACATTAACTGTTGTAATCATGGCCATAGGTTTCTCCTTTAAGTTTGAACCCATTAGCCCATGTTAGCGGTACCTGATCCAAATTGGTAGTTTGAAACTTGATGCTAAGTGAAAGAGTCATGTACATGTAATCCAAAACATTATCCGCATGCTTGTGTGGCCATGTTGCTGAAACCTTCAAGCTGTTGTAAGAATATTTTTTTTAAATGTTGTACACTACAGGGTGAGTAAAAACAAAAAAACATATGGCAGAAGCAATTTTTGAACAACGTTTTGCCTGTAGCACTTTCGAAATCTAGGATATGAAAGCCCAATCAATGAGCCTTCCTTTAGTACAAGAAAACATTTTCAAAGGGATGCTTGTGAATTGTTTTCGTTTTGCTGAAAGAACACTCTAATAGACCAAAGACAAGTTCGTTTAGAACTTACAGCAGGACTGTTCTTATCAGAACAAAAAACTACTTAGCAAAGTTGATAATAAGCAGGACAAGTTCTTTTCAGAACTAATATCTTCTAAGCAGTAGTTATTACCACATGGTGTTACCGCAAACCGAAACGATACCAAATACTCTAATACCTTTTTTGTGATCAGTGGGCAGAACTTTAAAACGGTGTTTGCGTTCAAAATTCTGTAACTTGAAAAGTACATAAGTGATTTGAATGATTCTTATACTAAAAGAAAGCTCATTCATTGGGCTTTCGAATCCTAGATTTTGAAAGTGTTACAGGCATAACTTCATTCAAAAATTGCTCTTGCCAGTTGGGTTCCGTTATTTTTTACTCACCGTCTATGTACATGTATGCTTGTGGGGAGGTACATGTACACACTTGCCTTCATAAACTCTTTAGGCAGAGGTAAATTTGTTTAATGGAATTGGAAATCGAGTGTGTTGATAAGGTATTTGGTCAGCCTGTGGACTCTTTGTTTATAGTCTCTTACATTTAGTTTTAGTGAATCGTTCGCTCTTACTGCATCATCATGTATTTCTGTCTCAATCCTGCAGATACGTGAATTCAAGCTTGTTACCTTGACCCAGACCAGTGTCAATCTAGTATCTCTCTTGACTGTATCATCCAAAATATAAAGAAACAAACAATTTATATCAGTCTTTTTCCACAACTTCAGAAATGAAAGATACTTGTAAGATAAAATTACTGCTCCTAGTCTCCTGTTCACCCACCCCTTCTTTTGACCATCCCATTCTCCGCCTACAATCATGTACAAAGGTATCATTTGCAGAGAAATCTTGCCCATCATTTGTCATTTGTGCATTATGTTTGTTTGAAGCAACAAAAGTGCTCACAATCTAAAGAAGGGTGCTGAACAACCACATGTAATCTGATGAACTTTTAGCTCAGTGAATGCTGTTTATCCCGAGAAAACAATATTCTAGGATCTCGATTTCAAACAGAAGTAGGAGAGTCATGTTTTGAGTTGGGCCTGAACTCGGCATCCGATACACATTCTCACTGAGCCGATTGCAGCTACACGATAGCCCTTTTCACACTAGACAAATCTTGAGGTTGAAGCAGGCTTGACGCAGGGTTGAAAACATGCATCGTTTTCACACTTAAAGAATTTCAACCCTGCGTCAACCCCAAGATTGATTTCACCCCGGGTTGAACTCAACCCTGCTCCAGAACAGGGTTGAGATTTCCAACCAGGGTTGAAATTCTTGCCAGGGTTGAAAACAGTAAGTACATGTAACTGCGCATGATAAGCTTGATTTGCATGAAACAAGTGTGACACATTGCAGGGTTGAACGCGGGGTTGAAAAATAAATAACTCAACCCGGGGCGGCACTGGATTCGCCCAGGGTTGAGTTCAACCCAGGTTGAGAGGCTCTAGTGTGAAAAGGGCTTTATTGTTTGTGGAATAGTGTAACATTGGCCCTGTTCAATACTAAACTCAGTTTGGTTGTTTATATCCTACCTACACCCCAGGCAGTGTGGATCACTATGTGACCCCAGTCAAGGCCAACCGTATGATCTTGGAGGTGGGCGGCAAGATGGAGTTTCAGGAAGTCCAAGCCGTTCTAGTCCAAGTTGCTAAGAAGCTGCCGTTCCGTGCCGAGGTGGTCACAGCGGAGACTATGAAAGTGAAGGAGCAAGCTCGTCTTGAGAAGATTGAGAGTAATGCCAATCCGTGGACCTTTGAGAAGATTGCTGTTGGGAATTACCTCGGCATCTCTAATCGTCTCGGTCCCTATGATTACAAATGGTTTGGGGAGTACAGGTGAATGGTATCTGGACCTGTTTCTGTGGACTAGACATGTTGACGTCCCCTTGTTGCTATCCCTAGGTATGGATCAAAACTGCTGAGATGCATCAGAGACCGTCTCAGAACACATGACTGCATCGTCACTTGAGAAGTTGAAGGGATTAGCGGTTGGACTAGCCAAGAGCTTCAATATCACAGAACAAGAGCCAATGCCATTTCTCCCCCCCCCCCCCCAGGTGCGCGTTTTGTTGTACATGTACAAATCACTCTCATAAAAAAATATCATTTGTAGATGGGTAATTCCACACTAATGGGCCAATAAGGTAAGGTTAAGGATGTTGCAAATAAAGGGTAAAATATGAGCTAGTATTTTCTTCAGTTTTTTCCTATACCTTGCTAGGCTGAAAGTGACTTGGACAAGACAAGACAAAAGATGATATTTTTTTTATTTGAGAAAATAACAGGTCTTTTTTTCTGTATTAAACGTATGTAACATGGACAGACACAGGAAAAGGGTGCTTGGGACAAATTCAGGACAAAATTTACATTGTTATCAAGCGAAAATATAACAGTTTTCACACTGTCTTCAAATTTATGATGTAATTAGTGTTGCGTACGAACAGGGACAGACATTTTGTGACAAACGTCCAGTCTGTTCGTACGAATAATTCCTGATTATAAAATATCAAATAACTCTTCACATTGACTCTCAGGGTACATCTTTTTAAATACATCAATATCAAGGATCATTACATTTTATAATAATTATAATAATAATAGTGGATATTTATAAAGCGCACGTATCCACCAGGACTGGTGCTCAAGGCGCTACATCATTTATTTATGCTTAATTTGTGACTTGATCTCAAATGTCTGTCCTTCGTTGTGTACGTAACACTTTTTAAAACAATATCCACTATATTTTCTAAAATTCAAAACCTGTTATAAATATCATTTGCAGGTGAGGATATTTGTTCGAAGCTTGCAATGTTTACAGCAAAAATTGATAGACCGAGATCCTAGATTTATCTTTAAAACTTAAAGGTCTTCTCAAATGTCACACTTTTGGGCCCATTAGTGTGGAATTGCCCAGATGTTGCTGCCTCTGTGCCATCTTGTGCATCTGAAGATTTCCAAACTAGTCTTAAGAAATGTTAAGTTCTCGGATGAATACATCTGATTTTAAGTTACTATTGATAGTAATGGAATAATAATAAAGGCGGCTGCTTTATACAGGCAGAATCAATTCAGTGTACACAAAAAATAGTTTGTTATTCTAAGTTTGATATTACCAAAATAAGTTTTACAGTACACTGTATGGTGTACACAATTTTTTTTCTAAAGCTCAAGCTTCATATTAATTTTTGCCAACTGCTTTCCCCAAAGAAATGTAGTCTTGCCACAATTAGAGGCACACCTTCATGCAGAATGCAACCTTTTGAGCTCAAAAACACATTTATCAAAAAATGAAAATAGCTGGGAAGCCTTGTTAAAAAGTAAAATATAGACATTAAAAAAATCTGTACCTTAAAGGGAATGTACAACATTTGCTTTTGCTGCAATTTTCAGAAATAAATAGATTTGGAGGATTAGTATGTTATAAAAAAAAATGTTAAACTGACTTGTTTCACGTTTTGGGCTTGTTGTAGATGCTGGAAAAACCAAAAGAAAACCAATCTGCTCTTGTAGTCTGGTTCCCTGACCCCACTTACGATGAAAGAAGCAATTTATAAACATCAGGGAATTGTAAGGTCAGAGAATCAGTCTAGCAGGCTTGCACCCCTTCAATCAATGTGTAATCAATTGCAAAAAAGAATGCGGAATAACTAAATATGAATAATTAGGAGCAGTTTTTGAAATAAGCCAGTTTTCTCCAACGCTTGTCGGACGACCAGTGTTGGAAAAATACATTTTTTCTTGAAAAATGTCAGCACATCAGGAGCCACGATTTTACAGGATGCTTTAGACTGTCATTCCCTAAGAATGTAGTCAGGTATATTGTGATAATTGGATCATTTTCTTTTGTGATGTTTGTAAATGTATCTTCCCTTTAAAACTGTCTAGATTCTGTGTAATTACATGTATCATGGAAATGAATTCAGGGTACAAAAGTCTGGTCCTAAAATATTGAGATGTTGGAGTGCTACTACATGTAGATGTAGTATTGAATGAAATGAAACAATTCTCAAGCAAGTTGCTTTAAACGTGTTGTCATTATTGCGGGATCTGATTTCTAATAGCGACATATCACCTGCTTGGCGTGCAGTATACATGTACATGCGATGGCAGTCTGGCATTGACAGCTGAGAATTTGATAACCTTATGGAAATACATATAGGCAAGGGAAAATAGCTGTTGTGTCGGATGTAAACAAACAAGGTTTATCAACATTATTTTGTTAAATTCAGTTTATTATGTGGGTTTTCCCCAGAAATATGGTTAGTGAACAATAACACAAATGTATGGCTACTTTCAGCTGAATGTTACCTTTACTTGTGAAAGCCATTACAATCTTGCAGATTTTACAGCAGATGTTTCAAAATGTCAAACTCTGGTTTTTTTTGCATTCAGGGAAGTATGAACTGGCTTAAGTTGTCGGTTGTGTTACAAACATTCAGAGTTATACAAAAGAGTACGCAACATACCGGTAATAGAATTGTTTGTTTGGTTTGGGCTCAGGGGCATCAGTCCAGGGGGGCTCAGGGGCATCAATCCGGGGGGGGGGGGGGGGGGGGGGGTACCCCCCCCCCCCCCTTTTGATCGGGGATGGGCTATTGAATCATTATTCATAAGCAAAAAAATCCCAACAACCTATCAACAATCAATAGCACTAAAACAATTGAGGAAAAAAGTACAAAAGCTTAAAATGTGCTGTTTTATATGTAACTGCGAGTACACATACATGTAAGGATGTACATGTGTATCATGAACAGCGCCCCCAGTGTAATGTGATCACCACCACCACCACCACCCCCCCCCCCCCCCTTTTTTTCGAATTTCCACGGCTGGCACATTTTTGGATTTTGGTCTTCCCCCACTCGCCGGCACAGATTTATGCCACTGTTTGAGATTTGGAAATCCTCACCTGTCTAATTGGCCAGACTTGCTTGTGGCATCGCTATAAACCCTCAGTGCAATCAAGGACATGTCTGAAGTTCATTAACCTTCAAAAATGCTCATGGCTATGTGTCAGAGCTGGCGTCTTCATGACCAAAGTAGTACAAATTGAAATACGAGATTCTTGCATCAAAATGGCTGCAGGCTTGTAGACTGCTGTAAACAAACGGAGATGATATGAACAAAATGAAGGGGCAACAGTACAGTTCAGAAATTAGACTTGGATTACTACAGTGTATTTTGTATTAAAGAAGGCTATGCACCAGCCACTTGAGAAATTTGAGATGACGAGATTGAATTCTGGCTTCCTCTGTTGATGTTGGTTGTTGGTTAATCATTGTCGAAACCAGCTTAACCCTAAAAGGGCTGGGTTATTTTAGTTTATGCGGTACCCGCTGCTATGTGCATCAGATTCGAACCGGCCAACCGATCCCGTTACCTCGGTGGTTGAGTGGTAAGACATCTGCACTAGAAAGCAGGAGGTCGTGGGTTCATGAATAGAAACAACTATTCATGAACATACCCAAGAAATTTCATGACTATAGGTCAAAGGGTTTTGGAATTATGGCTAATTAATTATTCATATGCACGAATGGTAATTTTGCTCTGTGTAGACTGCTACGTATAGGGAAATTCAGTTTTCACGGCGCCTAGCGCCGGAAAATGTTTCACTTCGCAACCCGTGGTCCGAAGTGTATGTTTTTGGTATAAAAAATGCGCATGGCTCGAGGCTAAAAAGTCGGAACAGCTCGGGTCGCGAAAAATATATTCAAGGCTATCCCGGAAAAAGTTGGGGGCGGATTCTGCCGCCCCCCCCCCCCCGGCCCCTGTAGGGTTAAAGGGTTCATAAGGCCAAAAAAAATGAAAAAGTTTTTTTTTCAATGAAAGATGATGTCTCAAAACCGCCAAACTCTCTGGTTTGACTGGAATCCTGCTGCTGCACAATTTTAACGTGTTTTTAGATTGGGTTATGGTCGAGAATAAGCTTTATGTGGCCTCTCTGGACTCCCATATATTTGCACTAAGTTTAGTCGGGCACCATTTGCAGTCATCCGCCGACATTTGAAGCAAGAAAAACAGGTAAAAAAAAAAACAAAGCCGCGTCGCCGCACCACTTTTTGGGCAAGCTCCATACCAGAAACCGGAGACTTTTTTGGGGGGGGGGGCCTTATATGATGATTTTTTTTTATATTTCAGTACATGAAAACTATTTTACATCTTTTTTTTGGTAAAATTTATTGAAAAGTGCACTTATTTAAAAATCTTAGGTTTGCTGTTCAAATTGTGAATCCAAAACTTTCCTCATTGAAAACATTGGTGAGAAAAATTTGCTCATTAACTTACTACCATATTCTGACACACAGACGATTCGCCAAAGAAAAGAAAAATTCAGTTCATGTATACAGCAAAACTTCCCAAATTCTGGCAACTTTTGATGCTGGAATAGCAAGCTGTAAAAAAATGAGCATGCTTCTCCCTGAAATGACATAACGCTTTTTTTTTCATGAATATGGAAAGTAGCATAAAAACCGAAAAAGCACCAAAAATACCTTTAAAACGGCAAAAAGGATAATTGCGCAGTAGGCTTGCAGTAAAATGTTTCACTAAAGTACTTGTGTACAGGATGAAAAAAAATGACTACTTTTACATAATTGGCATTTTCTCAGCAACCCAAAGTGCTATTTTCATGTTTTTTTTCTTCAGTATTTGAAAGAAAAAAATCTCAGCTTTAATCTGATACCCAAAACATGAAAGTCCACCGATCGCAAAATGTTTAGAGTTTCAGTTTTGGGGGTTACACTGTATACTAGCGTTTTCTGGCCCAAATAATATTAAACACATACCGCCGCCTATTTGATGCGTGAATTTCCCATGAACCAACCATTGGCGTAGCCACTAGCCAGGATTTTGACAGTGGGAGGCCGGAGAAGGAACCAGCATAAGATGGGGCGGCACAAAGGGTAGACCCCGAAATTTCTAGGTGCTGCAAGTTCGAAAATAGGGGGCCCTCTTTTGACGCTAAAGGGTGCTGTTTTTCCTTTCCAATTTATTCACATTTCATAAACCCGTCGGCCAAGGATATTAGAATCGAGTAATAAACAGTCAACTTCACTTCTCTTCTGTTTCATCACTCAAATAAAGATTAAAAAGATTAAAAAAAGACATTTCTTTGGCATTCAAAAAGCAGCAAGTTTTGGGGTTTTGTGTGTGAGTTTGTTTATGCATTCAATAGGGGACGTTGAACAAAATAGAGGACAACTGAGGGTCCCCAGTTCCCGAAGGTCCCCAATTTGGCGATAAACATATGGGAGGTCTTCCTAAAAAGTTTACAGTACAAGCAAAAGAGGGACAATAGAAGGGTCCCCGATTGCAGGCAAATCACACTCGTATTGGGGGGGGGGGGGCACTGGGAATTGCGGGCCCCCTTGGCTACGCCACTGTAGGCCTAGCCAACACAGGTATTTTGATATAGACCTACATTTATTTGAATTCAAAAAAGTACGAATGCACTACTGCTCAGAAAACCAGGAGAAAAGAAAAATATGACGGGCAATAAATAAATCGTTCAGATTTGCATAAACCTCACTTGATTTTCAGGGATTTGAATTCCAAAGAAAAACATCGGTTATAAGGGACTGAAAAACTCCGACCCATTAGCCTTGGTCAAGGCGTTCGTCATTTATTCGTCCGTACGCGGGATCGGTGGAATATCCTCACCATGATCGATTACCGCATACGGACGAATAAAGACGAACGCCTTGACCAAGGCTACGGCCCACTGCACTAACCTGACCCTTAATATTCAATTATAATAGTGAACTCGTCCGTTCATCTTTTATGGACGTCTCGTTTACATTCTTGAAATACACACGCCTTTTGGAGTGTCACGCTATATAATTTAAAGAGGTTGTGGAATGCTCGAAGACATTTCCGTCATTTTTCGGGTATATGTAGCCTAAGGTGTGATGAAATAAAAACGACTATTGTGTCTGTCATGAAATGAGTACAAAAGGTACTTTTGAGAGCTGCTTTTCAGGTCCTGTTTCGACCCGAACGTGCAATTTGTGTAAAAGTCGTCGTTGGGGGCAGCAAACAAAACATAGTAAATCGTGACGTATAATAAACAGGACTCCCGATGCAGCGTAATATAAACGAGTCCTGTTTATTACGTCACGATTTACAATGTTTTGTTTGCTGCCCCCAACGACGACTTTTACACAAATTGCACGTTCGGGTCGAAACAGGACCTGAAAAACAGCTCTCAAAAGTACCTTTTGTACTCATTTCATGACAGTCGTTTTTATTTCATCATACCTTAGGCTACATATACCCGAAAAATGACGGAAATGTCTTCGAGCATTCCACAACCTCTTTAAACTCAAAATGTACACAGTGTCATCGATGCTTGGGTGTCGATGGCAAATGTGTAGCTGCTTCGTGCCGCAAGTTAACCTGGATACCAGGGATCGTGGATATTGTTATGGCACACTCTACTAGAACGAGTTTGCTTGATGCCGACATTATATGTCTCTCCACCTCATCGTACTGGCATGGATTTTAACCGCCCACTTGCAAGACGAAAGATACCCAAAGAAAGACGCAATGCATACTTCACTTTGGCTAGGCCTATTTATTCTGAGCTTTGTTGCAAGATGTGTACCATCAGAGACAGTTGTGCGTAGTTATCAATCTACAGGGTGTCCCAATACCATTGAGCATGAAACAAATCGCCGATTTTCTCAAAAGTTGGTCAGACTAGCTAATCAAATTTTATAGCATTTTCAAGCCGGCATGGTCTTGTTTAACATTGGTGAAAAAAACCCAGAGATATCTTTGATTTGGTAAGGCTATGTATTTTTCGACCTGCACAATGTAATATAAACGACATAAGAAACTGGCTGAAGCACGAGAAAAATCTGTCATTAACAGCATCTAAAATGAGCCATTCCCCCTCCCGCCCCCTCACTTTTCTTTTCTTTTTTTCTCGGTCGGAAAATTTCAAAATATTGTTTTATACCGTTAAATCCCCCGCGCGCTAAGTTACCATTTAATGTACTGCGTATAGTGACGCCACGTTTTCATGCAATATTGTGTTCAGCATATTAAAAGTGTGGTGATGCCAATCGAAAGACTTGTAACGTGCAGTGTGTTTTCATAAAGCATTAATTGTTCATTTCTAAAAGTGCCGTTTCACATTTACATTTCATCGTGAGTGTAGGTTAGTTCGTGGAACTACTTTCTTGCCGCCTCCAGTTTACAGGCGAGGACCACGAGCTTCGTCTGTTGAGGATTCGTACCCGCGGCGAAATATCGGAGTTGAGTATGCGATCAGTTTGCGGGCTTTGCCGGTGCTGCGCGCCGCTGGTCCTTGCAATGTTGCTGTCTGTGACCGGTGTTGAGTTAGCATGGCCGTACACTCTTTGATCTGTGGCTTGTCTTTGCTTTGAGCCTGCAGTTGTCTGGTGAGGTTTGTGATCGTGTTCACTGCTAACCAATACTTCAGGAATGTCAGTAACGCAAACGTTGGGGACTCGCATGACACTGCGATCGAATGAGCTCCAATCAATGGAGGCGTGACTGCTGCTAGACCCACTGCGACCCGATGTGCCGCGGCCTTTACCACCACGTGCTGATGAGGCCCAGCTTGCTTGCTCAGACGACCTACGCACAAAGCTTGGCCTCCCACGGTGAAACCTGTAAAAGGGGGGCAACAACATGAATTATATTAATTTTTAACATTTTTTATAGGTTTTCCTGGCCAATTTCCTGAAATGTTCATTCACTCCTGAAAATCGGTCATCATCGTCTGAATCCTATTTCAATTCAATGAAAGTTTAATCGTTTTCATTGTCCGTGCATTTGGTTTCGAGAAACAGATGGCAAATTACGTTACTTGGGAATTCATTTACGCAAGCATACCTTTTTCAAATCGAATTCAGGTACAGCTAAATTGATTGACGGTTGATGAAAAGGAAACCCCTAATTTTATTTAGTGCCGATTGCATTACACTAAAAGTGAAATAAAATGGTGAATGTTTGAAGTCGCCTTCTAAAAGCGAAAAAGAAGTCTCGTAAACGAATCTTAATGGACACAAACGAAAGGTGCTGCTCAATCACTTACTTGATTGAATTGAAATGGAATCAAATGCTCTGGTAGCGAAAATGAAACGCGTGTTTAGAGTAATTCTCGAATTCAGACGAAAATGAATGACCGATTTTCAGAAGTGAATGAACATTTTAGGAAATTGGATGGAAAAACCTTTATTTTTAAATTTGTTATTTTGTTCTGGTAATGAAACCAAGGATTCCTCAAATGGGTTCTGTGGCCCCAAAGCCTGAAGAACCCTTTAGAGAGAAAACAATGAGAAGAAATTACAGTTTTAGAGATGGGGGAAGAGCCCAGAGAAATATTTTGAGGAACGCCCGCGGAATCAGGCAGGGACTGAAAACCCAATCCAGATATTGGCCAAGGGCGGGAATCGAACCCGGGTCACAGCGGTGGAAGGCGAGGACAGTACCGCTACGCCACGGATCCTAGACACCAGGATAAACGACTGTTCTGAGCTCTAAGTACAAACTGCACTCAGTGGACTTGCCTTAATTGGTTAGACGCGTGATAACGGGCATTAATACCCGTTGGCGCGTAATCGCGAATTTTCCAGATGTGCCATTGTGTTGGGTTTTTGCACGACATCTAAAACGGAAATATTCATAAAACTGTAAGTAAAGCTACTTCTTTATTTAAAACATAATTGTTCCAAATTATTTTTAAAATAAATTCTTCAGGATATAACAGATGGTATTGTGCAGTTTTTGTCGTCATAGATACCCGGGAAATAAACGTCAAATTTCGAGGAGAACACCGTTTACCCAAATTTCGTTTCTAATTAGGCTTTTATTAAAACGTTTTAGAGAGATAGGATGCCGAACCGATGAAACAAAAGCGACATTTCATTGTTCATCTTGTGTTCGGCATTACCGATATTGTGCTCGGCATTACCATGGTTATGTATCAGAATTCAATCATAAAGACCAAAAACGTAGACTCATGAATATTCAAAAATATGATTCGCTGGCTTGACAGACTTCGAGGCCAGATCGGGTGATCGGGCTACGCCAACCTGACTCCCCTTAGGATCCGTGACGTGTCACGGATCCTACACACAAGGATTAACGACTCGGCCCAACTCCAGTTAGACGCGTGATAACGGCCTGTACTGGTGGCAAATACCATGAATACTTGTCAACAAAAGAGACCCCTGCACGCGGTGGCTTTCAGATTTGCAAGGCTCTTCGCCCGATCTGGCCTCGAAGTCTGTCAAGCCAGCGAATTATATTTTTGAATATTCATGAGTCTACGTTTTTGGTCTTTGTGATTGAATTCTGATAAGTGATAACTACATAAACCATGGCCCATGGTAATGCCGAGCACAATATCTTTAGCTTTAAGATGAACAATGAAATGTCGCTTTTGTTTCATCGGTTCGGCATCCTATCTCTCTAAAACGTTTTAATAAAAGCCTAATTAGAAACGAAATTTGGGTAAACGGTGTTCTCCTCGAAATTTGACGTTTATTTCCCGGGTAAATACCTGCATCTGTGACGACAAAAACTGCACAATACCATCTGTTATATCCTGAAGTATTTATTTTTAAAATAATTTGGAACAATTATATCTTAAATAAAGAAGTAGTTTTACTTACAGTTTTATGAATATTTCCGTTTTAGATGTCGTGCAAAAACCCAACACAATGGCACATCTGCAAAATTCGCGATTACGCGCCAGCGGATATTAATGCCCGTTATCACGCGTCTAACCAATTAAGGCAAGTCCACTGAGTGCATTTTGTACTTAGAGCTCAGAACAGTCGTTTATCCTGGTGTCTAGGATCCGTGGCCACTTTAAAGTACCGATCTTGCAGCGCTTTAATTCACGATTAAGGCATTATGTAATTAAAATGAATGGCTTTAGCATGGAGTTATATATGGTTTTAGTTAGGCCCCTATGCATATAGTCTAATGGTGGCAGATGTTACAATCTCAGTTTTCACATCTTATTACTGATTTTAAATTATCATTTGATTTTTCCTTTTGTAAATAAAAAAACCAGTTCAACAAAACTCGATATAAAATTTTTTATAGACGACTTTCCGGCATTATTCACCTAACATGGTGAATTCTGCAATTTTCTCCCAAATGTGTACTATAGGTTTTCCCGGCTATTTTTACAACATTTTTCATTCAAATTCACCAACTCTGACATTCAATTTTGTCCGAGAAACATTTCAAACGTTTAAACAAAACAAATTTAGTCATTTACCAATCATTTCAACATTTGGTCACCCTCTTTAGTCACCGGGTCGAGAATATTCGTCATTACAGATCAAATTTGTCTAAGCTGTTGCCGAAATGGCAGCATTCAGATATCAAATTCGTCTTTATAAATCAAATTTGATATCTGAATAACAAGGTTTGGCGCAGCCTACGAGACAAATCGAATACTCCGGGACAAAAACGTGTGCTCATTGTTGAATTTGTTTTAACTAAGTTTGAAATTGTCTGACAAGAGATGAAAGTGCACCAAATCGATGTTGATGGACGAATTTGAATATTAGAAACCGACAGTGCCTTCGAATGATAAACGTTTTAAAATAGCCGGGAAAGCTTACATTTCAAAACCTATAGTCACATTTCTCAATCAACAGTGCGTATTACCTGTCGTCGATATGTAGAATTTCTGGCGGGCTATTGACGCTTAGATGTCCGCCAGCACGATAGGCGAGTGATGTCTCCCCATTGGTCACGTGACGTCGTTGGCGCTCTACGTGATGCAATCTATGACGTGCCGGTGGACAGCACTCGATGTGTAAGGTGTAGCGCTTGACATGCCTGTACAATATTGAAAAGTGGCACAATGTACATCGTGTATGCCAAGGCAGGCACAAACTGATTAGAAATGGAAACAAGGCACTGCTACATTTGCAGTCAAAGTACAACATACAGTGTGTGTAGGGCCTATCCAAATAATGCAAACAATTCGTCGGCGTTTTCACGAAGTGGCGAATCCATCGAAAATCAGATTTTTTTCCAATTTCGGTTTTTGTGCTATTTTGACTTAAATTCGTGTCCTAAACATTTCTGCAAAGTTTTAAGACCGGACAATGTTTAATTAAATAGTTACGCTAATTGCATAAGTGGCGAATCTGCGGCCCTCTGCATTTTGCGTTTCACGAAGCGGCGAATTAAACTACAGATCCAATTGCAGAAATATGTATCTGGTCATGTCATTTGACTAATGAGCTGTCGTATCAATGAAAAATATTTTGAAATTCGGATTAAAAGTGGGGCGAAATGACCGTTTCAAAAAGTGACTAACTTCAAAACCGATTTTCTAAAAACGCAGCGTTCGCGCTGTGTGGGCGGATTCGCCACTTCGTGAAAACGCCGACGAATTATAATGGAATGCCAGGCGTAGAATGTGTTACCAACATAGATAATATAGGTTTTCCCGGTTATTGTAACACTTGTATCACACGAATTCCCTATAATCGATACTTTAATTTCGTCCCCAAACATCGCCAAGCTCAATACTCAATTTTAATTTTAAAAAAAGACACCACTAGATTTCATTTAAGGTTCAGTATAATTCAATTTTTTAGCATACCGATTCGTCCTAAATTTGTGAAATTCGTCTCGTTTAGCAATCGGCGTTGAATTAAAAAAGCAAATTCTTGTTTTTTTGTCATTCGTTTTAAACTTTTAATGTTGTCATTGCATCATTTCGTTTCTGATGACTTAAAAGTCACCAGAAACGAAATGAAATGACAACAACATCAAAACGAATGACAACAAACGAATTTGCTTTTTTCAATTCAACGCTGATTGCTACACGAGACGAATTTCAATTCCATTTCAATTCAACGAAAGTTCAATCGTTTTCATTGTCCGTGCATTCGGTTTTGAGAAACAGACGGCCAATTACGTTGCCTGTGCATTCATTTACGCAAGCATACCTTTTCTAAATTGATTTCAGGTACAGCTAATTTGATTGACGGTTAATGAAAAAGAAACCCATAATTGCATCTGGTGCCGATGGCATTAAACTAAAAGTAAAATACAATGGTGAATGTTTGAAATCGCCTTCTAAAAGCGAAAAAGAATTCTTGTAAACGAAAGGTGCTGCTCAATTGATTAAACTGAAATGGAATGAATGCTCTGGTAGCCAAAATGAAACGCGTGTTCAGAGCGATTCTCAAATTCAGACGAAAATGAATGACCGATTTTCAGAAGTGAATGAACATAGGAAATTGGCCGGGAAAACCTATATTAGCGCTACACAATCTCGATGTGCCGCACACCAAAAAGCACGGACGATATTTCACAGAGTTGTATGACTCGAGTCAATGACCCGACTCGAGTCCGAATCGATCCACAACTTTTGATGACTCGACTCGACTCGACTCCCTAAGGGCAAATGACTCCAATCGAATCGAGTCACTGCGAGGAAATGACTCAACTCGACTCGAGTTCCTCATCAGAATGACTCGACTCGCTCGAGGAAGGCTAATAAGACTCGAGACCCAAAAATAAAAGCAAAACTTTGTGAAAAAAATTTTGCAATGACTTACGCCGGTGCCGGTTTTTGTTCACGTCACGTTAGAATAATGCATACATATACATACTTGGTTTGATCAGTGTCCCCATTAGCTGAATGGCGATCAGCTGGCACCCTCATTTTATTTTCATTAAGAGTCAAATGCATGCGGTGTCACCACATGTAGTAGCCCGAATGTAAAATTGACTTTCTCTCTTGTGTGTATGTATTGTTTAGTGTTCAAATATTTGTGACCCGAATTGACTGAGCTAAATACTTGACTCAACTCGACTATCCTCTGCGACTCGACTCAACTCGACCTTCTTCACCTAATGACTCGACTCGCCTCGAGTCACTTCTTTAAAATGACTCGAATTGACTCGAGTCACAAAAATCATTGACTCGATACAACTCTGGTATATCAACTTCAAGTGTGCTTTAAATGATAACAGAATGATTCAAATTGCGAGATTTAATAACGGCCGGATCCCGTTTTTCCCCCAATAATTATTGTGGTGAATTACTTGCAGTAGTTAAGGAGCAATATCTTCTTGAAGGCCCGTCTGAAGAGCGGTTTACAGCAGATGTATATGATGGGGTTGAGGAGACTGTTGGCATAGCCCAGCCAGAGCGCTGCTCGGTCCAGAGCCACGGGAATGTAGCAACTGGGACAAAACGGTTTGATGACGTAGAGAAGAAAGAATGGCAGCCAACATACTACGAACACCGTCATGATGAGACCTGTAGGGGGATAATAAAATGTCTATTAAGATGTCTACTCCACTGTATAGCTTTCATTACCATGAAAGCTTTTCGGACGTTGCAAATTCGAAAAGCGGTGCAAATCTATGATCATTTGTCACATCTCGTCTTTCACTGTGAGGGTATACGCCCCCCCCCCCCCGGATTTACGATCTTGCATTCTTCATGTAAAAGTTCATGTGATTGCAACCAGATTATTTTCAGAGATTTGTCGCCCATTGTAATGGTCATATCAACGTCAAACTGGATCACTATTGGCCTTGAACGTATACCTCTTTGGCAATAAAACACCTCAAACATTCACGTATTGCAACTTGCATAAAATAGATGGATCCGTGCGCGTTATCACTTCTATCGTGAATTAGGCCCCGGCCCTTTAAAGGGAATACATCATTTTGCTTTTGCTGAAATTTTCAGAAATGGATGGATTTGGGGTGCAGGTAATATATAGCAAATATTGTTACACTGACTTTTTGACGTTATGGGTTCATAGATACTATAAAAACCAAGGAAAACAATCATTTTCCTGTAGTCTGGTTTCCTGACTCCATTTAAGATGAAACAGAGCAATTTATAGACATTGGGGAATTGTGTAAGGTCAGGGAACCAGTGTAGCTGGCTTGTACCCGTTCATAGTGTGTAATCAATTGCAAACAAATGCGGACTAACTCAATAGGGTCAATTTGGGCAAGTATTTGAAGGGAAAAAAGCCACTCCAACGCTGGTCGGCCGACCAGCTTTGGAAATTGATACAAAATACCACATTTCTTGAAAATGACAGTATATATACCAGGTGCCATGATTTTACAGGACGCTTTAGACTGTCATTCACTAACAGTCCAGCAAGGTGTTTCAAAATAATTTGTAGTTTTATTTTTTGATGTTTGCAAATGTTGTTTATTCCCTTTAATGGCGAACACATTGCGCTATAGCTGTTCAGGGCAACTGTCTTGAAACATTTTCTCAGTACAACCATGATAGGGCTCCGTTCGTGTACAGTGATCATGCGCCGGCCAGTTGCATTACCAGAATGATTGAGGTGTAATGCAACTCATGGTAAACGTTGGAGGCGTGAGGGATTTTTGAGTTAGCCTTTGGATCAAGTGGATCAAACAAATGGCAAGTGGTGAAATACATTCGACGAAGTAGTAAAAAATACACTGCACCGAATCACTGCAGTAGGCTATACTGTTTTTGAAATGGAACAGGGTTCGACTTTAGCGGTATAGCCCGCTAGCCAAATGCCAGTCAAAAAAAGCGCGGTGGGCTAGTCAAACTATTCCTAAAGTAGCCCGGCTGGCGAACCAAAAATTATTCGGATACACTGTTATTTCGGTTGTGTACTATATGAACCTAGCAACCAGTTGTGTAAAAAAAAATTGAACCAGTTGTGTAATATTTTACAAAAGTTGTGTAAACAACAGTTTACACAACGGGTTGCTAGGTTCATATAGTACACCGTCTGATTTTTACACAACCGAAATAACAGTGTACGGCAAAGATGAAAGGATCACAGGAAGAAAAAAATCATTAAATTCAGAAAGCAAACCTGTATCAATTTTGTATCAATTTGTGTCTAATTTTATTAACTGCTTATGGTTAAATTATTAGATAAGTTTATTAAAACACACTGACAAGATTGCCTCAGGATACACGTTGTACATGTATGCACATTTTAAGGGTTCCTATAAATATGATGGAAAACATGCGGGTTAGTGAAAATGCCCGCTAGCTAGTTAAGAGTCTGCTTCAGTAGCCTGGCTGGCTAGTGAAAAAAGGTAAGGACGGTCGAACCCTGTATCATGAAAGCTGTCTGTCTGTCAGTAACTGATCAGGCGGAACGTTTTAAAAAGTGAAGAGCACATAATAGTGCGTGCATCACCATTATACATTCTTCAGCCTGCAGATCTAAAGCAGTGAGGCCTGGGGAACGGCGACATTTTATGATTTTAAAACGTTTCCAGGTGTTTCCTCTTTCATAATTTGGCGGGAATATGATAACTTTAAAACGATATCTCCCCAGCATTGCACGCGTAGGCCAGTGTAATTTATGACAGCTTTTACTTGGGTTGTTTTGCGCCTCCAACGCATTAAAAAGAATATCCGCCTTCATGTTTTTCGGGTAGCAAACAATTTGAAATTTGTAAATTACGCACTCCATGACTAAACGTGGGCGGATTTTTTTCGTACGAGTCTCATTTAAAAGTAAATAGATTTTGTTCAGAATGGTTCAAACTCTAGTACACACGCTTAGAAGAGCCTAACTTACACGGTAATTTATTACTAATGCAAACACTTTCCTGACATTTCGATGGGCTTGAATTTCTGGTTTTGGTTTTCTTGCAACTCAAGCGCCATCGAGGATTACTGCTTCACTGAACCTGTGGAGACTACTGAGGTCTATTCTATTGACCGACATTTTTATACTCACGAGATAAGGCGAGGTAAAAAAAAAAACATGTTTCTCGTCCCCGCCCGCTTCCTTTTCGGAGGCCGCCTGGATTCTTTTATTGTTTTTTTATTTTTGAAAAATGCAGTAAAAAACACCAAAAAGTCCACAAATTCATCGGAAAATAAATAAAACTGTTCATTGTAGACCAATACAACTCTAAATAACACTGAAAATATGTTCAGTCCTCTTGTCCAATTTGTCTTTCATTTTAAAAGTTTCTTTGAACTGTGGAAACACCAACGATTGCAGGAAATTGTAAAAGGGCAGCCATCTGAATAAAAAATTAAAAAATTAAAAATAAAAAGCCCCTCTTCCTCCTTTTTTTCAAAAACCCGGACGAGAAACATGGTTTTTTTTATTCGGCCTAAAAAATAAAAACGGTGAGTCCGGCTGGCTCGCGTTACTGACAGATCATTGCAATACGTGGGTCATTTTCAGTGACGTCGCTTATATTCGCTCATATTTGCCAGTGATTCCAATATCCACAAAATGTCCCCGATGGATCAAAACAACACATGCCCGCGCTATGCGACGTTCAATAGTGTCAAGATTCAACTGGTGCGGCGTCGGCTGCATTTCACCAATTGCGACACTACATGCCATATGTTTTCATTATCTGAAGTCCATCTCTGATGATTTTGTCGCCAGAGTAAAAACACAGTTAATTTCTTTTTCTCTTGTAAATAGAAACAAATACTTGACTTAATGAGTAATGTCTGCCTCGCACGCGCACTAAATTGCGAACTCCGTCTATACATTGCCACATAGGAGAAGCTACGAACTACAATCTAATCAATAGAGTGCGTCATCAGCCAAAATGGCATACTGATCTAATAGTGACTGGTTCCTTCTTTATTTTTGGTAAGCATTATTGTTTTCCACTCGGGGCATCTTCATGACGTACGCTAGGCTCAGGTCCACCGAACATCATTGGTCTGTATTTGGTTCTTATTATTATCTTTAAATAGGACTTATTTACAATTGGCTCCTCATTAAATGTTAATAAAGGGTGAGGGAAAAAAAGTGTCAATTTGGAAAAGTTTTTGTCCCCCACAAAAACGGGAAAGGTTGTTATTTTTTCTCTTTAGCCAACATTCCATCTGGGTATTGACCACAGTCAGTAAAAGTTTCACTGATATTCAGCCTAAACATGCATGAAAAGGATATCAGGCCTTTCTTCACGACTTCCCAAAACACAATGTTCATAGACCTTTTGCCATGAACACAATGACAACAATGGGCCTCAGAACAATGGAGGAAATAAATGGAATAACAGAACAGGACATCAATCAAATTGAATTACATTTATTGAACTTGAAACTGAATAACAGATAAGGTATTAAGGTTCACAGGGGAGTGTGTGGCCTAGTGGTTAGGGTTCGTGACTCATGATCAGAGGGTCCGGGGTTCGAATCCAGCCGCTGGCCATACATTGTGTCCTTGGGCAAGGCACTTCACCCCCACTTGCCTCTCTCCACCCAGGAGTATAAATGGGTACCGGCATTAGCTGGGGAGTAACCTGCGATGGACTGGCATCCCATTTAGGGGGAGTAGAAATATTCTCAGTCGTTTCATGCCAAGGAAACCGGAGATAAACACCGGCCTGATGGGCCACATTGGCTCGAGACAGACTTTATCTATCTCTATTAAGGTTCACATATCTTGTTGCTCGCGATCGACCTCCCACCTGTCTGTCATTCTGATCAATGCATAGTTGTGCCCGTGTTCCCATGTCTACAATAACTCTGCGGACCATCCATGTTCTTCTGAGGGCTTCCAGTAATTCGTTGGTGAAAATCCTGCAGGGTGTTTGGCACAATGCGGTACGCCTGGTCCTTGAGGTACCCCCCACCCCCGAAAAAAATCAAAGGGGGATAAGATCTGGAGATTTTGGCGCCCCTCCTGCGCCATTAAATTACGTAAAACATATTAAATACATTTGTGTTGGTACTGTTTTGAGGTAACGTCACAAAGAAAGGCCGATATCTTTGCGTAATGCGTGTATGAATGTATCAGTGACATTTGTACTGAATGTGGTCAATACCCAGATCGAATGTTGGTTGAAGAGAGAACAACGGGTAACCTTTCCCGTTTTTGTGGGAGACAAGGAATTATCAAAAGGGACATTTTTTTTCCGACTCACACATAAAAAAAATATATATGCAATTTCGTGAGACCACAAGTATGAAACGTTCATTAAACTGTGTGGACAAAAACAACAACTGTCAATTCTCACATCAAGCTGTTCAATCGATCGGTGACACTCAACAGTACAGACTGTACTCCAAAATTGTCATTCTAAAATTAAAATGAACACGTTCGTTCTTGGATCGTTTTATCTGTACATGTAGTATAAACCATGCACGAAGAACCCTGTGATATGAAGAGTTCTCAAGCACTAAGGCACGTTTTGATTATAGCCTGGTTTATCACGAAAGGTGCCAGAAGGCAGAAGACATCACTTCGGTTATGCCGGAGACCGGGCGTGCCCAAAAATCAGTTGTGAGGATTCTCCTTAGACACTGAGTAATAAACCTCAAGGCTATACTTGAGAATTGGTGAATAAATCATGTTTACAATCATTGTTAAGTATGGCATGCAAGTCACTGAGACTCAGAAATCGACCGCAGTATATTTCATCCCTATATGGTTTGTATCACCTATAGCAATGACGTTCTTCCCATACGTCTCTATATTTACAAATTTAAAACCTATATCCATGCATCAAACAAAACCGGAGGCTGATGCCAACAGTATGTAAAGCTACATGGGATTTGTACGGTGTTTTTTGTTTGAAGCAACAAAATTGCTTAAATCTTAAAGGGAATATACATGATTTGCTTTTGCTGTAATTTTCAGAAATGGATGGAATTGGGGGGTTGGAAATATATAGCAAATATAGTTACACTGACTTTTTTTGAGGTTTTGGGTTCGAAAACGCTATAAAAACCAAGAAAAACAATCATTTTCCTGTAGTCTGGTTCCCTGACTCCATATAAGAAGAAACAGAGCAGTTTACATATATTGGGGAATTGTAAGGTCAGGGACCAGTCTAGCTGGCTTGTACCCGTTCATAGGTGTGTAATCGATTGCAAACAAGTGAGATGGTCAATTGGGGCCAGTATTTGAAAAAAAGCCAGTTTTTTTCCAACGCTGATCTTGAAAATGACAGTATACCAGGTGCCATGATTTTACAGGATGCTTTACACTGTCATTCACTAACAGTCCAGCAAGGTATTTCAAAATGATTTGGTAGTTTTATTTTTTGATATTTGCAAATGTTGTTTATTCCCTTTAATGGCGAACACATTGCGCTATAGCTGTTCAGGGCAACTGTCTTGAAACATTTTCTCAGTACAACCATGATAGGGCTCCGTTCGTGCACAGTGATCACGTGCCTGCCAGTGCCGGCCCTTCAAGTATGGTGTTTATAACAACTTGCCAATAAAGTTGCAGCTCATTGGATAAGTAACTATACCTTATTCTTTTTTTTATAGAAAAAGAAACAGAAAACATGCAATGATTAGGATCTCGTAACTATAATTTTCGTTGAAACGCACCCAAAAAAATTGCGCCCGCGCGAACACACATTATAAACCTTCTTTCAATGATTGTTTTCCACCGAAAGATACAATTTCAGGTTTGGAATTATTTCACAGGGTATTTGGTACCATCCTTACCTTCACCTTGAGCAAGATTTCTCTCATTAAATCGGTAGGTACATTTCAGGATAAATTACAAATGTTCCTCGTGCCTTGAATTTTTTTTTGGAGTAGCACGTAAGGGTTTCCATTGGGATTCGACGTACCATGTGCAACCCGATATAACAGCAAGCAGTTAATTTTTGCCAGAATCGCTTTTCATCCAAATATCCAATGTCGGCCGCCTGCCCATATGTCAGCACAAAATTAATAGCGATGCGTTATTTGAACAGCTACAGACAAACTGTTTGTTTCGTGCACTGAAGAAACTGTGTTGCCGTGCACGCATCAAGATTGCCGTTCCCTTGTATATATACACATGTAATCTAATATAGCTCTATGACTCCACTTCAGCAATACGAGATCGGCCAAAATGCACCGTGTTCACTGAGTTGAGAACATTTGCGAAAAATTTCTTTATGAAAACCTGCTGCGCATTCATCCCGTGAACATAAAACACTCGTACTTGTATTTTTGAGACAAGTGTCCCCGAAAAACAGGAATGAAACATAAAATCTTTAAAATAATTAAGGAAGCAATATAAACAAAAATTCTTAGCCTATCTTGCAGGGATTTGGTTTTTTTTGTGAAAAAAATGTTGCAACCCGACGCCACTTCCGCGATTGTGTACAAAGTCTTTGGAGAGTCATGAAAATGTTCAAAGTATTTCCTAGGAAACGTTTCTCAGTCCCGTGCAGATTCATGTCATCATCATTTTTGCAATGAATGACCTTCATTGAGATGATATGAAGAAAAAAGTGGCGTCAGGTTTTTCTCGTGAAGTGATTGAAGGGTCTCTCATAGATCAAGGAGGAATGAGAATGATTTGCTCTCCAGAAAAAAAACTCTTGAGGCTATATATGCACATGCACGTCTGTGTACTTTAAACCAAATGAGCAATAGTGGGATTACGGGGACACCTTAAATAAACTATATCAGGCGACAATCGGTAATTTTGTAATTAGCTTAAGTTCGTCTTCTCCAACTTAATACAGGTTGTATGCCCTTGGGTTATGTCTGACTCCTGATCTTTATTTTGATAGATGGACCATGCATTAATTCCCATCATTATGGTAATTGTTGCTTCTAGCAAACATGAATTATTACCCGTCATCCAGTCCATAATTTACTGGAAGCGAACTTTTAATTTTCCAAAGAACATACAATGTATCTTACGATATGACTATGCCTTTGTATATAGACAAATTATTTTTCTTTCTGCTATATAACTTGTTTGTCGTGATACTTTTATTGGGGGTTATGCTAATAATAAATGACCAATCGCGGTAGAATAGCGATAGATTCGCGTCAACGCATCTTGTGAAATATCGTTCAATTACCCATGATATACAAACGGACGCGGAAAGCGCCAAATCTGACACAAACAAACCCAAGTACATAGAAACTCCATAAGGGGCGTGGCTAAGTCGCAACTTTGTTAAAACTCCTTTTAAGAACATCTTAAAAACACCCAATGTTTGAGGAGTGATCTCTCTTACCTAATGTCTTGGCCGTTTTGACCTCGGCAAGATGCATTCCTGATTTATTCTGTTTCCTCTTCGAGGCAGCTCGGCGAACAAGACACCATACTTTCCGTCTTGTCCTTGCTCTATGCCGAGACAGTGCCTTGGCCTTGGATGAGTGGACTAGCTGGGCATTCGACGCAGCCCCGTCTGGATGCCTTGCGGTGATGGTAGAACCATGAAATCGATGATTGCTGTCCGTGTCATGACTAGGATCCGAGGCCGATCGATGGGTTCCGGTATGCCTTACCCTAGCTGGAGCCCCATTCTTCCGGGGCAGCGATCGTCGAAACTGCGCCCCCTTTTTCGACAGACGGTAAATTTTACAGTAGACTGTTAGCATGACAACAAGGGGGATGTAGAAGGACCCTAGGGCTGAGCAGATTACGTATAGTCGGTCTTGGTCGTACGTACACTGGTCGGTGATGTTGTTAGTTCTTTTGGGCCAGCCGAATATCGGAGGCGATGCGATGACGAAGGAGAGAAACCACACCGATAGGATCGTGAGGAAGGCCCGTTTATTGGTCTGTTTGGTGCCGTTCCTCAAATGAGAAGAGATGGACCAGTAACGATTGAGGCCAATAGTGCAGAGGTGGAGAATAGATGCTGTGCAACAGGACACGTCTACGAAGATGAAGAAATCGCAAGCGGCACGACCGAAATGCCACTTACCGTCTGATAGCTCCACGCTCAGGGTAAGGGGTAAGACGAACAAGGCAATAGACAGATCGGCGATGGCCAGCGAGGCAAAGAAGAAATTCTCAAAGGTCCGAAGCTGTCGCTCCAGGAGCACAGCCAGAACCACCAGGGAGTTGCCCAATGCAATGAGCACCGTGAGAGCGGTGAGCATAACCCCGATAGGCCAGCGCACTTGATGATCGACCTCCCTCTCTGGAGAGAACCCCCAACTCGTGTCGTCATCATCCTCAGGGTTCAGGACGGAACCTAGAATCGTCCAGTTGCTGTCGAGGTACTCGAGGCCACTTTCAGACTCCACAGAAAAATATGATTCGTTTGGCCGCATCATGGGTAACGCCGCGCTATTTGATGAGACGAATCCGATCCACCAGCCTCGTTGGCTGCTGCATTCGGCACCGCAGACTTATAAAAAGGAAGTTCTTGGGGTTTTTTCCATCCATAGTCCAGCTGCACGGTCACTAGGCCTAAGCTGTTCGCTACGTGCTCCAAGACGCTAGTGTACTCGTGGCTCGATGTCTACACACCACATGAATGTGTAGTATAACATTAAATTCAAGCTGGAAATACGATCGCTTGTGTCACTCCTGTTCTATCCGGCGGCCATTTCCCGATATGTTAAAAAACATAAATTCCGTCATGATCCCCGCGCGCCCACCAGAGAGTTGCTGCAACCACGAGCTCCGTCCAATCATAGAGAAAGGACACATGGTGTAAAGATGATGAGTTACAACTACGTGAGTGCACGTGGTGCTGCATGCAGTCGGGGTTACTTGCGGGCGTTGAAGTCGAATCCGCACCCGTGCCGTACATGCGTCAGTCGGCGATGATCGCATCTGCGCTGCTGCGCTGCTGCGCTGTCAGAATAAGCCGTTTCACAACTACAGAGGGCGGTATACTTTTGGTCAAAATGGGACTGATTCGATGCGGTAGTAGCCTCATACACTCTGGATGCCCGCAAAACAAGAAACGAAAATTGTAAAAAATTCAAAAAAAAAAAAAAAACAATACAAAACAAAACAACGCAAACAGCTAGGGGTACACTTACTGAATTTTACTTTTAACAAGGACTTCAGTTATAAATGTTACTTCTGACAATGTCAAAAAAAATGCAACTAGTACACTTACATTTTGTGCATTTGGCCATGTGGAAGCTATTAAATAAATACCGCACCAACATGCACAAGACAAACCGATCTGAAATTATTTATAGACGACATGATAATATGTTGACAAATTCCAAGCAACATCATTGTTGTCTCCCATCAGGTTGGCTTGCGGTACTTTTCTCGCCTTCCACTGCTGTGACCTTGGTTCGAATCCTGCCTGGGTCAATATGTGGATTGGGTTTTCTATCTCTGCCTGATTCCATTATTCTGGGATTTTCCTCCAACCACTCAAACTGTAATCTCTGTAAGGGACCCCACTGGATATAAGTCAAAAGTCTTTTGTGGGCTATCCCAGCCTATTGCCAAATATTCATCAATAAACAAATAAATTTCACCCTTCAACCATGAACTCAAACAACTCATCTTCCCATTTGAGTTTTTGTAAAGACCTTCCTCCAATTTATTTAATATACTCTAAATAACCCTGAGGTAAAGGACAACACAATTTATTTACACCTTTTACAAAAGTTGAAACAAACATTCTTTAAAAAGAATTTAATGTAAGCCTGACGTCGTGCTTTATCCAGTGCTATCGACACAGGTCAAATAAAGAAACTGTAGTGCAGAGGATGAAATGACAGTCAGACTCATCACATACATGGACCATATTCCATGTTTTCCCAAAATATATAAATGTTACGAGATATTTGCCTTCCTAACTGCAAGAGAATTTCTCTCTTGCAGTTAGGAAGGAGAGAGCTCAAAATTGATTGTGCTGGATAATATTTATACAAAAATGTACTGATGTAGCCCACATTAAAGATGTTCTGTCCCAGACTGGGACAGGCCAACTGTACTCACTCTTTAGCCAACAAAAATCTCCAAATTTTCAGTGGGCAAAGACAAGGTCCTCAAAGACTCAATTCAATTTTTTAAAGGAGACTTTTCTTCAATATTTTGCACATGAGATTGAGAGGGAAGTCAAGTGATTTCAAAATGAGGCTACAGACTAGACTGGTACAGGTCCTACCATGGTCCAATTGTTTGAAAAGACTGACCTCTGCATTCATTGTCATTAGTAGTCTGGTGGCCGACTATGGAGAATAGTACATGTACCAGACATGCGACATGTTTATTTTGGCACAGTTGATTGATGCAGTACTGATAATGGTTGTTGGACTGGTTGTTTCAGGTGCCAGTCTGTTTTCTGGTATTGCATGTTTTCAATACCTTAAGTTTTGGCACTCTCATACACAGTATTGAGAGTCCCACATTTTTGGACTAGTTCTGTCCATGCTCGTCCAAAAATTAGAATTTTTGTAAATGTATGTTACAACGGACAAACTACTTCTAAAGGCTTTTATTGGGGGTTACTGTTGCACTCAAACAGATCACTCTTTGAGTAGGTTGCTCGGGGGGGGGGGGGGGGGGGGGGGGGGG